ACAATTTTGGATTGTTTGAAATGGACATCTCGTCCATGGCCTAAGACTACACCATCTGATCTCTACCGTATCTTCACAGCTGCCAAGAGAAATAATTGGATGCTCGCCATCGAGAAAAAGAATGCCAAGGCAACGGGCAAATGCCGCGATCGCAATGTTCCACGAGAAAGAATCTCGATCTTGAAAGATTCCCATCGTCCATACATTTCCATGACGAAGATTAGCAGGGAACCTATGACGATCGAGGCTGCTGGAGACGATTTTCGTCGTTCCCCCTTCCACATTCTCGCGAAGGCGTCCCGATCGCTCCTCATTCCTGCAAATCTTGATGGCGCCTCCTCGTCAAGGCTCAAGAACGATGCCATGGAAAACCACCGCCACTGTAAGCTACAGCTCCACATTTTTTATCACATTCCACCGAGAGGGCTCTTCACCCTGCCGCCGCCAGGCGTGGTCTATGAGTCGAGCTGATCTGACCAAGCGTGGTCTTTCTTCTCTGGCTCAAACCAAGCTAGACATCTTCAAACTAGGCTCGCAAGCTCCACAGTATATATGGTCCTTTTCGCGCTCATTTTACTCTTGTCCAGATCGCTTCATTCCTCATTCCGTCACTCTCCAGCCTCGAGAAATTTCCATGCATTATGGTCACTCCAGGCCTTGGATGTTGATCAACTACAGTGGCCTCTATTTATCTACCTGTTTTTGTTTGTACTTTTGCAATTCAACTTTATAAAACTCCATTTTTATGCTCTCAGCTGATTAAGTTTGAGCTCGATCAAGACTCTTACAAGATTGGACCATAGTGTGAAAGACAGATCATGGCCGTGGTAGCAACAAGCTTCAGGTTCTGCGATTGGCTAGTTACACCAAGATCACCACCATGAGGTGTGACTTGTTTATGTTGAATCTAAGATTTTCCTTGTGGGCTTCCCAGGTTTATTGGATCCCTGGTGCAACCTAGAGTTTTTTTTGCACGTGAGTAATGTTTCACGGTTTCGAGCAGGTTTTCATATATTATTGCTAAGAAACGGCATCGAACTTGGAGCTCGAGTCTCACGCTCCCGAGGATTTGAAAAAATCGACACCTATACGGACCTCCAGCTTTGACAACCAAGTGAAGAATAGATGGGACCAGGGTGCCTGGATCAAATCAAAATCGAGCCTAAATAAGTCTTCTTCCAAAACAATATCTTACACGGATGTTGCTGGTTCGTACTTTGTTACTCAGGAGTAGCTTTTGCATCGGCTGCTTGCTGGGGTTGAGGTACAGAGTCCATCCAGACCACTTTCTTTGCCATGGCCTCGGGATTCTCTAAAACTAAATAGTGGAGCAACTGAAAGTTTCATTCCATCGAGAAGAGAATGGTTTCAATGAGCTTGACAGCAGAGAGCTGAGCGCCATGCCCAGAATTTGCGCCCAAGAGCTTGCGACGCTGTTTACATTAAGAAGCAATTAATCAAGAAATATATTGGCAAGGTCACAGGTTCAAATACACAACCAGAGACCCAATCATTTATTTTTTATGGTATACAGAATGCTAAGATAAATAAAACCCGCTCCGCTGCAGCGTTGCTGGAGCTTGACGCCGCGACCTGGAACGTGATGATCCACGCTTACGCCACTCAGGGTTCGATTGACGCAGCGGCTCGACTCTTCGATCGGATGCCCCTCGCGACGTGTGTTCTTGCTGTTCGCATTTGCCAGTGAAAGGGAATATCGCGCGATCCAAGAGCCTCTTTGATTGAATGCCCCAGAGGAATCTTGCGTCCTGCAACGCAGTTGTAAAATCCTAAATCGGAGATCCAATGTCAGCCAGGCAAAAAATATCTTCGATTCAATGCTGGATCATGTGGTCGCTAAGAACTCGCTCATTACACTGCATGCCCAGTCAGGGCATCTTGAAATTTCCAAGAACACGATCGTCTCTTGGAACGCGATGATCACCGCGTATGTGATGGCATCCCGGACCCGTGACTGTGAGGCTGTGTTTGAATGCGTCCCAGAGCGCCATGGAACTCGATGATAACGGCACAGGGGAAAATCGTGGCAGTGAAATCAACCTTCGACAAAATGCCGGCCAAGGATCTCGGGTCGTGGACGAATCTACTGCTGTACTACGCCCAGAATGACAGGACGTTCCATCGGTTCCCCTTCAACAACGCAGCCGTGAAGACAGAGGGGGCATTTGGACCACAAAAGAGATATTTGCCCATTCTCACAAATGCAAGGAGCATCACGCATACTGGATTCTTTCATGACGAAGCCTTGGTGGCTGTCGTCATCGCCGTCCACGCATTAGATGGAGCATGCATTCCAGAGGAAGCAGTACAATCTGTGGGCACAGGTGCGGGTTGGGAGCGAGCAGATCGCGTCAAGGATCTTATTCGTTAGCCGTCAAAATATTACTCGCCGTTGACCGTGCACTCAGGTTCGCAAAAGACCTCGCCGCCGGCCTGCTACTCGAGCCTCCCGCACGTCAGGCAGCACTTTAAGATACGCTTGACCACTTTGAGCCGAGTCATGAAGGCAAGCTGATAGCGGTACTCCACAGGCGTGTTTGTCAAGCCATGCCTCGGGGGACTTAAGAAGATTGCCATCAAGGAGCTCTATCGCCGTTTCAAGCACCCATAACCTGTCCTCCTCCGTTTCCAGCAGCCTTGACGACAGGTCGACGTCCTTGTCCAGGCTGAAGTTGCTAATTGCCGGTCGTCCCAAGATGAACATTGGACATAGGAGCGAAGAGGCTCGGCCTCCACGATGAGCACCCCACTGGCGGATATCAGCGTCATCTGGATCATAGCGGTGCAAACTCAACAAACGGCTTAAGGCGCCGGTGCAGCTTCTTACTTCCGCTTTCTTCCCTTACAGCTTCTACGACTTGCCTGTAGAATAAGTGCGTCACCAGCATGGTGTTTGCAACCAAGCCATTCCACTGCGCAAGCGTGTACGCCTTCTGCTGATCCATGAGGGCCAGGCAAGTGCCAGTATGTCCCTTGTGCCCGTCTATCAGTTCGAAGACGGATATCGCCATGTCTTTCACTTGGACACCTGAATCTGGGAAGTCGTCCGCCTCAGAAGCTCTATCGTTCGTCATCAGCAGGAGCGCTAGCACGTCCAAGAGATTTGCAGTGAAATCTGGGACGTTGGGCTGACAGTAGCTTGAGGAAGCATTATGTCAAAGCGCCATGTTATGCACAGCAGCATTCGGCATTGGTCTACCTGGTTAACATCACCATGGATGCTGATCTTGTGCTAGAGTCTTCAGAGCTCACCACTGGAATGGATGTGACTCACATCAAGGTCATCTACTCAGACAGCAGGACCCTCAACCTCATGTATATCCAAAAATAAATAAATTTTAACTTTTATATATCTATCTATGGTATAAAAAATAACAGATCTCAAATGTATAGATACATAAGAAAATCATCAACTGAGATAACATACCATTCTACCAAGTTAAATTGAAATTTCACTAGTACAAAAGAAAGCAAAGTTCTTCAATATAGATTACAAATCACAAATCAGTAGATCACAAATTAGTGAATTAGCTAAAACTTGCTTGCTGGATTAAGGTGATAAAAAAAAAGTAAAAGAATTTGTCCTAAACTTTGGTAATAAGCATACACCACAACCAGTAAATGATAAATATATTTCTATAAGTTTTAAAATGTTTAACTTTTTTATTTTATAGTGTTTTCAATTGTAGTACCACAACCTAAAAAGTAATAGGGTGATTGAATCTTTTAATATAATTTATAAAGATTTAAATATATAGAGAGAGAGCTTATGAACAAAAGTGCACCCTTTTTTTTAATTGATTAAAAGTGTTAAGATAATTGAGGTTAAACATCCTTGGATTTAAATAATATTAGGTTAAATGACCTTTTTGAAAGTTTAAATTCAGGAGTTTATATTTAATATTAAAGAACTTTTTGGGAATTGACTTTATTAGTTGGTTTAGTGAATCATATTATATATTGAGATTGATATCTAGCAAAAACTAATTCATAAAAGTTTAAATATAAAGGGAAAAAGCCCATAATAAAAATACATTTTTTTTTAATCAGTTAAGAGTTTTAGGATATTTGGTAACCTATTAAAAAGTCTAAATTTAGAAGCTTACATATTATCACATTATCATTATTTTATTGTTTAACTTGAAGTTTTATTGTAACTCAACTTGACCAATTGCTACACTAAAATCCTTAATTAAAATCTATTGCCATTTACTACCCACTTACTTTCTTGAGAGAATGTGATATTTACAATTTCTCCATCTTCAAAGTCAATCTTTTGGGATCATTTCACAAAAATCACTTTAAATCTCTAATTTAATAGATGTATAGGAAGCAATTTACTTCCAACCCACTTTACTTCTTGGATATAATTAATTGCAGCAATCTAGGTGCCATTGCTTGATAAATCTACCTTATTCTGAAATAAAAACCTCTTCATGCATGTACCCAAAATTTATCTAACAAAACCTTGCACCTATTTTAACCTTAAAAAGGAGTGGTAGTATAGAAACTGCTTTTTTATTTTCTTTTCAATGATGGTGTATAAAGTTTCATGGCCCGCAAAGCAATAGTCAATATACCACATGGCTGGTGAATTTTATCAATATACTTTTTGCAATGGAAGGATTCTTTCTGGACTATAGTTTCTTCTTTTCTCAGAAAGGAATTACAAGTCTTAAAAGGTGCTCATTCAAGCCTTTCAGTTTTTTTCCTCCAACGACAGTTGCAGCACGGCCTTCTGGACTTCAACATATTGTAAGTAAGTTACAAGCTTTCCTCCACTACTGTGAGAGACTTCGAAAAAATCTCTCGTTTGTTGAAAATTCGTTGGCACAAGAGCTAAAGCTCCTTTCAAGCCAGTTTCTTCTCGTTTATCTCCTTTTTCCAGGTTTCGAGGCCTTCGGAAAAAGCTGTGGACGCCATAGCTAGAAGAAAGCACAGAAGCGAAGGCCCAGATATTGATCAAACGATTCAGAAAGTTTTAGTTTAATAAAACCAGCGTAGTTTATTCAAATGCTCATCCAACTTTTTAGCAGCAAGTGAGTTTGCCATCGACATTGCCAATGCAATCGTCCAGCGCGCGGTTGGAGAAGCGCTTGTAGCCTTTGGCAGTGGCACAACGAGCACCGATGGTGATCCCATTGAACTCAACATCACCGCATTTGGCAGCAAAGTTGGAGGAACAATCGAGCTTGCCCGTGTAGTCGACTCCCACGCACTGGCTCACATCGATGGAGCTCTTGACATGCTTCCCATACGGAGTTCTACATTTCGCGTGCATGGTGTGGCCATCGAAGCTAATCCCCGTGCAAGACGAAGAGAACTGGCAAGCCTGAAGGAACCCATGGCCAAACTATCAATCGATATCAAACTCTCAAAGATTACCTGGATTGTGACGATGAGCATGCACAGGACGACGATGATCTCGCGGATGGATGCCATGGTAGTACAGGTAAAAGAAATCAAAGTGATATATGAAGAGCGAGCTCTTAAGAGTGCTATATACTGAAGAAGAAGGCTTGAATGATCATTCCAGAGCTTCCCTGGGCTTATATAGTCCGGATCCGTGTCATGCCATGAGTTGGAGCCTATCCCAAAGACCGACACGGCATTTGGTGCTAGCTATCATCATTCTTGAGTTTTGCGACTAAGCATTTTCAGAAAGACAAAAACAAAATGACTATGGACACTTGATTGAACTTGTGGGTCATTCTTGACCCAAGAAACTATGTTTGACATGATGCACGCTCTAGCCAAGAGGATGGTCTTTGTTGGCAAAGTGAATTGACAAGCAAAAGTGGAGTTTGCATGATCTTGTGTGCTCTCAAAAAGTATTCTATTTCCACGTATTGGATCCAAACATCTGCTAGCAATGATAAAATCTATGCCCGGACTGATAGAATCCAATTCTTCTCGACACTTCTATGAGTACAGCAATGTGACATTTTTATAAGGAAATACGTTTACAAAATGATTTTATTTCCAAACCACACAAACTTTACGTGATGGATCCAAACTTCTTAAGCAATCAAATGATTTATCTTTGCTCCAGACTGATGGAATCCAATTTCTTATGAGGAGATGGCTGTTTCTAGCAACAAATGAGGTGACCGTCATCGTTGCCAATGCATTCGTCCAGGGCCCGGTTGGAGAAGACCTCATGTCCATAGCCATCTTTGCAGGTGGCAGCCATTGTGATCCCATTGAATGCAACGTTGTGGCATCTGGGAACAAAGTTGGAGGAGCAATCGAGCTTGCCCGAATAGTCGACTCCCACACACTCGTTCACATCGATGGAGCTCCTCACCACTTTGCCAGCATCCGTCCTACAATTCGCGGACATGATGTTGCCGTAGAAGCGAATCTCGGTGCAAGACGAAGAGAAATGGCAACTGGCCTGCAAAATTTCACCAGAAACCTCTACAATTCTTATTCCATTCTTTGTTTTCAAGAAACAATTTACCTGGCTAACCACGATGAGCATGCTGAAGACAATGAGGATATCGCGAGTGGATGCCATGATCAAGAACTTATGGAAGACAGCACTGAAGAATAGCTTTAGATGATAGATAGATGGATTGAATGATTGTAATTGCATGATCGAGTTTGTGGGGTTTATATAGTCGTGCGATGTGGTGTGTTGGAACTTATCCAAGAACTTTAACACGGCATTTGCGTTAGCTTTGTTTGAATTTGGCGTCTGTAGCGAAACGGTCAAAGCTCGTTTCCAAGCTTACGAGGATATAACGTCAGCCCTAGCATGCTTTCCTTTACCCTTGAGCAAGTAAATAAAGGATAAAAGGTAAGCCAATGACATTTTGCCACGCTTTTGTAACTGGCGTTTTCCACGTGGCTTAGGGCTGAAGGTTTGAGAACAGGGGATAGGGCTGGCGGCGAGCGGGGCCGATGGATTTCGGCAAGCTGACCGCGGCGAGCAAGAGAATGCCGCGTGATCTCCTCACCGTGAGCTCGCGGCGCTTCCAATGCTGTGCGAATCGCCCACGCCGCTGCGTCAATCGCAGGTACGTCGCCGCCCATTCGCAACCGGAGCAAATCGCGAGTGCGGGCGCTGGGAATGGATCTCCAGCAGTGACGCTCAAGCTCCAGGAGCAGAAGCAACAACAGCAGCTGGTTTCCATGGATTTCCAGTCGCGCTACGGTGCCGCGGAGCCGCGAAAGGGCTGCGATGTTCTTGTCGAGGCCCTGGAGCGGCAGGGTGTAGATGTGGTGTTTGCTTACCCCGGTGGCGCGTCCGTGGAGATTCACCAGGCCTTGACGCGCTCGACTTGCATTCGCAATATCCTCTGCCGACACGAGCAAGGGGAGATCTTCGCCGCCGAGGGCTACGCCAAGGCGAGTGGAAAAGTCGGTGTTTGCATCGCTACGTCCGGGCCTGGAGCGACCAACTTGGTCACTGGCTTGGCCGACGCATTGCTCGACAGCGTTCCTCTCGTGGCGATCACTGGACAGGTATGTGAAGCTACAGTTTGGAGCATTTCTAGCTTGTTTTCTCGGATGCTCAGGTGCCGCGAAGAATGATCGGCACTGATGCGTTTCAAGAGACTCCAATCGTAGAGGTGACGCGGTCCATCACCAAGCACAACTATCTGGTGATGAACGTGGAGGACATTCCACGCGTGATCAAGGAAGCTTTTTTTCTGGCGTCGTCTGGAAGGCCTGGGCCGGTGCTTGTGGACATTCCCAAAGACATCCAGCAGCAGTTTTCCATCCCGGACTGGTCCCAGAAGATGAAGCTAGATGCTTATGTGCAAAGGCTGCCACCCCGGGTGTCCGAGCCGTCCCAGCTAGAACAGGTGCTCAGACTCATCCAGGAGGCGAAGAGGCCAGTGATTTACTGCGGAGGGGGGTGCATAGATTCTAGCGAGGAGGTCAGGGAATTTGTCGAAGCAACTGGGATTCCACTCGCCTCTACGTTGATGGGATTGGGAGTCTTCCCTCAGTCTGACGAACGCTGCCTTCAGATGCTGGGCATGCACGGGACCGTGTATGCCAATTACGCGATCGATAGCTGCGACTTGCTGCTGGCTTTTGGTGTCCGGTTTGATGACCGTGTAACCGGGAAGCTCGAGATGTTTGCGCGAAGGGCGAGCATTGTTCACGTAGACATCGACTCGGCCGAGATTGGGAAAAACAAGCAGCCGCATATATCGATATGGTCCGATGTGAAGCCGGTTCTACGTGGCTTGAACAGGATGTTGAAGAGCAGGGACATGAAGCTGGATTTCTCAGCGTGGAGGGACGAGCTCCAAGAGCAGAAGCAAAAGTTTCCGCTTACGTATCCGTGTTTTGACAACGACTGCATCGTTCCGCAGTATGCTATACGAACTCTGGCGGAGATAACGCAAGGCAACGCCATTATTTCCACTGGTGTGGGACAGCATCAGATGTGGGCTGCGCAGTGGTGTAAACACGAGGAGCCTCGTCGATGGCTGACTTCTGGAGGTGAGAGTTTGATTGATCCTTACTAGATTAAACACCTCTCTTGTAACTTTTTCTTCTTCTTTATGTGCCAGGTCTCGGAGCAATGGGATTTGGGCTCCCTGCCGCACTTGGTGCGGCTGCTGCGTCGCCTGGTATCCCTGTCGTTGATATCGATGGGGACGGCAGTTTTATCATGAACATTCAGGTGCATCTCTTGAACTTACGAAGACAAAATCGTTACTTATCTTTTACTCTGTGTGTGCTAGGAGCTGGCCACAATCCACGTCGAGAAGCTGCCGGTGAAGATAATGGTCTTGAATAACCAGCACCTGGGAATGGTTGTACAGTGGGAGGATCGATTTTACAAGGTATTGCTTTGACAACTTTGATAAGCATCGGCATTTATGATTTGGTTTCAGGCAAACCGAGCTCACACATACTTGGGTGATCCCGACGCGGAAGCAGAGATCTATCCCGACTTCCGTAAGTTTGCTGACGCTTGCAAAGTATGTTTGTATAATTACGCTCGGGTTTCACGAATGACTTTTTTTATTTCACTTTTTTCTCAGGTGCCTTCTGCTCGAGTAACAAGGAAATCGGAGCTCAAGGAAGCAATCTTGACGATGCTTCAAACGCCCGGCCCTTATCTCCTGGACGTGATTGTTCCTCATCAGGCAAGGAGAATTAGAATTTTTGCTACTTTGCGTTCTAGAGTAACAATTGAATTGACACTCAGGAGCATGTATTGCCGATGATACCGGGTGGTGCGTCATTCAAAGATATCATCACCGAAGGCGATGGAAGAATAAAGTACGAGTAAGTGAAGAAAAGTGTTGTTGTAGAGGAGAGGCAGGAATATACGGCCCGATGTTTGTACCTAACTATCTCGCTCCACGTGTTAGAGAGACCGGCTGCAGCCGGTTGCAAGAAACCGACGCGCCCTCAAGCCATCGTGAGATTTCTGATGATGTTGACGAGTTAGCTCTGCAGGAAGCACGAGTTCTCGTGCTGAAATGTGGGGTTAGAATGGATCTTCGCAGAGGAGGACACGAAAGAAGTTCCATCGAAGGAGAAAGCTCGGGGTTTTGAGTACACATCGCAACAGGGCGTAGAGCTGTGGAAGATGGCGTCTTTCATTATGAGAACTCTCACGTAAGTGTTTTGGAGTCTTGGTTCCTGGATGTTCTTCACAGTCGTCTTCTTTTCAGGATGTTCCTTGGCTACGTTTATCCTGCATACGAGTGCTTTAAGAGCATCGAGAACAGGAAAACCGATGCGGAAGAACAAACGTTTTGGTGCCAATACTGGTAACTGTTGGAAGCTTTTTTCTCTTTGCAGCTATAACCAGTTTGTTTGTCTAGGGTGCTAATTGCGGTGGTGACGTTTGTGGAAAGAATAACCGACATTCTCATTTCCTGGTAATATCCAGAGCTAGCTAGAATAGCAAGCAGTCTGAGGTGTCTTTGCTTGCTGCAGGCTTCCGATGTACAATGAAGCAAAGCTTGCTTTTATAGTCTACTTGTGGTATCCCAAGACTAAGGTTTGCTATAGTTTTTGTTTGTACTGTCTGGGGCCAGATCGAATTTATACTTTCAGGGGACAAACTACATTTACACGACGTTTTTGAAACCGTTTGTGACGAGCTACGAACCAGAAATTGACCGGAGATTGGGTGAACTGAGGGGACAGGCCAAAGACTTGACGTATCTTCTCTGGCAGCGCGCTTCTCTATTCGCCCAGTCCAAGTTTTTCGAGCTCCTTCATTGCTTAGCCTCTCCGCAAATACGTCTTCAGGCCTACAGGCGCCATTTTCCACAGGTTCGTGCTCTTCTTGTGTCTCTCTTTCTCTTCCTGTTTTCTCTAACAGTAGTTTCGAAGCAATGCAGTTGCAACCGAGTTTACAGTCGCCAGAAAATGTGGATCCCGCATACTACAGTCAAGTTGTGATTCGGGAAGAAAGCGAAGAGATCAAGAGCAGCTTGACAAGTGACAGTGGCAAGCACGAGCAGTCTTCATTGACACCTCACAAAATTGACCGCGAACCACCTTCGCCATCATCTTTCTTCAAAGCAACTCGTGCACGGCAACACAGGGCAACTTACATTCGCGTCCCTTGACAACCGTAATTCCTTCTCCCAACACAAGAAAAGAAAAGCAAAGTAAACTTGCTGGATCCAACTCGAGCTTCTAGAGGTACGGACAGAGTTTCCAAGTTTCTTCAACAACTACTCGTCACAGGTTGGCTGGATCAACTCAAAAGAACTTCTAGAGGTATGGAGAGAGCACTTTTTAAGTTTTTCCTTTTGGCGAGGATTACCACTGCTGTACTTATCACAGGATTAGATTCGGCGAGCTTTCCTCCTCTTCCACGGACAAGCCAATGGAGTGTCGTTTTCGGATGGATGCTATAAGCCTGCCGTAGATGGCTAAACATGTGGCAAAACTTTCCTTTCTCCAGCTTTTACATTGATTTTCTCGTCCTCCAGTGTTTTGATCCCGCTCTCACTTTAGTTGCTTGTCAACTCGAAATGGACGATCGATCCATTGGTCGCTCCCAACCTGACGATCATGAGGGGCTTCTCCTACAGCTTTGGCACCCGCCTTTCGCACCCGCCATCGTTCTACTTGTCGATCTGGAAGCCCGACTTCAAGGACGTCGAATGCAGCTCTTCCACCACCGTTGCCAGTTTCTGGCAAGCCTTCCCAGACGCGACCCTCGCATTTGGCGACGATGGAAACTTAGTCCTGAGCCAGGGACCTCTCCAGGTATGGTCTTCCAACACCTCCGGCCAAGGAACAGGAGTCGTGGCTATGGCGGTCTATACTCGTCCTCCTCCGCAGGAATGGCTAGGAAGTCTGGCAGAGCTTCGACCACCCCACGGACTCGCTGTTCGTCAACGACATACTAAAGCTTGTCTCCAGCGCCTCTCCCACAAACAAAAGCCATGGAAGCTTTTATCTCGAGCTCCAGCCTCACGCTGTGGTTGGCTTCACCCCCTGGAACGGCACAAACTTAAATCATCTGGGATCTGGGGAGCTACCTGGTGCTCGACGGCTGCCATCTCCATCGACATTCTGCTTCCCGGAGAGTATAGAGTTATCCGGCAAGGGACCTGCGCTTGCCTCGACTTTGATCCATCCACGCTCAAGCTGGAGCCAGTGATCGATGGGAATGTCCCCGAGGAAATCTCGTCCGTGGAGGAGAATGCACTGCTAGACGCGACACTCACCAGATCCTGGAAGCCTACGACTGCCGCTCCAATTCATGCAAGAAATTAGAAATCATGCCTCTCGGATTGGCCAAGCCAGCGCCTGCTACCGCGTCAGCAACCTCTACACCATCCCCTGCGCCCTCGGCGATGCCCGCTAGAACCCTAGCCCTCCAATAAAAGGAGTGATCAGTTTGAAGAGGGTCCCTCCTCTTCCAGGGTCTCGATCCTGGGATTCGGCTCTATAGGATTATCCCATCTCCCCGGGCTTAACCACTACCCCTAGGGCTGATCACTTGAAACATATTGTTTTAATATTCACTATGAAGTGTGAATATTCCACGTAGAATATTCTATTTTCAAACTAGTCAAAGTCTATTTGGGCCGGAAACACTGTCTTGGAATTCATGTAACTTGTCCTTCACAAAAAGAATTTCGATCCATATAATACACGCTCGGATAAAAAGAATTCACGGGCAGTTCACTGGAGCCCTCCAAGATATTTGGAAGTGTTGCCTCTGATCCGGTGTCATGAGCTTAAACAAGCTCCAGCCCTCGGCAACCAGCTCCAGGTTCATCATCTTCTTCTCCAGGCCGATGCAGCAATTGGCGTGCATGGTGCAAACCACGTCCAGATCCTTTGCTTTCTCACAGAACCCGCCGAAATACTCCGTGCCCAACAGCCGGACGTTCAAGCCCAGAGCTCCAAACTCCGGGCTGAGTTTGATCGCGTCAAAGACGTGCTGATCGTGCTTGCCCGGGAACCTGAGACGGGATTCGTACCACAGCTTGTAGAGCGAGATTGTCTTGCTGTTGGAGACGACGTGGAGGAAGCCTCCGTTCACTGGATTGCTCAAGTCGGCATCGGCGCCATTGAATCTGTCGCAGGCGATTTCAAAGTCGGCACCCGCATGGAAACGAGGGAATGGATCGCGAAACCACAACACGTCAGTGTCCTGGAAGGATAAAAACAACGCGTCATTCAAGCAAAAGTCAATGGAAAACTTCTCGAGCTCACTGTGAAGACGAAGCTGTAGCCGAGCTCGAGGACGACACTGAGCAGCTGAATCCTTCTCCACATCATCTTCAAGTAGTCCTCAGCCATGTAACTCTTTTGATCTCCCGAGAAATCCACTCCCTCGGTCTTGAGAACAACACAGTGCTTGTGAACTTGGACGCACCGCTGAAAGGAAGGCTCGTCGAGTGCCACAATGACAAGATGATCCAGCAGCTTCTCTGTCCCAATCCCCTCGTGAAAGCTGCGAAGGAACATCTCGATCATGCTGCCATTTGCTGCCCAGGCCTGGTTGAGATGCGTGAGAATTATCGTGTTGTCACCAAACTTGGCATCGTGTAGCACTTGATTCAAGCCTCTCAGCTCCTCCACGGTCTATGCAAGGAAACGAGTTAGCGAATATACGTTCGACCTTAGTTTGCTACTTACGAATTGATTGCTGGCTGCGAGGCTCTCGGGAGTGGCTGCAAAAAATCTGGACGAACCAGCCAGAGTCTGGCCTGACAGAAATCCAAGATCAAATGGCCCCAAAACAACCACCAGCGCAAGCAGTATGAATACGAAGACAGCCGAAGCATACACCGCTGGAGGCTTGCTCGTTCTCTTCATGTTGGCTGCCGAGGTTGAGAAATGGATCTGTCCAAAGAGGTGTTGCCCTCTTGAAGCATCAAAACCCGGATCCATCTTCCCGTGTGCTCATACCGAGTCCATCCATACCGAGTCAACATATCCAAGTCAAAAGAGATTGCCGTCTGCCGAAGGTTCTCCGTGCCACTCGTCTCTGAGACAACAGGTTAATGCTGACGATACTTCCAGAGTACTAGCAACAAGATTCTATTTACAATAAGTCCAACATAGTAACGGTCTCTGGAGATGATTGCTTTGAAGACCGCGTCGATTGTCTCCTCGGGAACCTGAGACTGCGGAGTGACTTATGCTTCACCTTTCTGGAAAAGGAAAATGAAAACGCGTAGTGGTTTTCCCTGTGTATCTGGCAATTTTCTCCTTTCGAAATCCTTGCATCTTCAGCTTGGAAGCTGAACGCAAATGAACAGCCTTCCACGTCACAAGAGTTAGAACACGATTAAACCGTACGCGTGGCCCAGTCAAGGGAATCCGGCTCGTTGTCCAAAGTAATAGAGCATCTGCGGCAGAACCTGGCATTCAAAATTAGGCAACTCGCACACCGGGAACTCAAAGATGCGAGGTCCTCCACAAAGTTGACATGGTGAGATATCAGGCTGATCGTCCGGTGTCATCCCAATTTTTGTTCCGACAGTATCTGAAGAGTAGCAATTCAACACACAAGAAATAAATGGAATCTCCAAACGTCACCACTTGACTTGGGGCTCTTTGTATACGTACTTGAAATTTCGCCCAACCCTGTTTCTCTTCAGATGCCTGCGATTCAAGGTAGAACCACAAACCTCTTCAAAGCCTTGAACCTCTGAGTTTAAGGCAAGAGACTGGTTAGCGGGTAGGATGGGAAGAGTGTTTCCAGTTTCTTCATCTCTTTGTTCTTCGCTCTCCATTTCGGGCCATAAGTTATTGCTCGAGTTATTCGTTGGCGCAGGTGTGCATGAAGAGGAATGACCAGCGCGCCAGGGCTTATGGATCTTCCAGTATTCTTAGGTTTCGGCGAGATATGTATATAAAAGCCGTCGGCGTCTAGCTCGGCCTGCTGCTACGTATCCTTTGGGAGACCAGGGACACGTGGCAATGTATTAGGGCTTTTGATATGCCCGAGAAGCAAACGAGATTGCGCACAGCGTGTACGAGCGCATCGGAAATCCGAGCCATGGCTACTACGCCGCTGGGACGGGCAGCAGCTCCAGCGTGGGTTCGCTATGACGGCCGCGGTCCTTTTGATGCCCGGCGACTAATAATCTTTCCATCCAAGTAAAAGTCCGAAATTTGAGAGCTCAGTGATTGATAGATCGTGTTTTTTATAGGACTGGTGTCATCTACCTGGGGACATCTGTAATCCAAGCTTCTGTGAGTGCGAGTGTTGAATCGGTTCATCCATTCTTCAATGTGCATACTGAGTTTGATGAGCCTCCACTCGATATTGGGCCTGAAGAGCTGTCAAGAAAGATTACCTGCTTCTTGAGGTATTTTTCTATGTGCAAAACGGAGCTATATTTGTTCACACATTTTTGCAGTGAGTGTGTCTGCGCTATGCCAGGAAAAAGCTTACGCATTGCAATCTGGGTTAGACATCAGGGCGGGTAATGCTCTTTTTGCTTTTTATTTTCCTTTCCAGACATTATTGAATTGTTTTGTGTTTTTGCAGGAATGTGATTGATGGTGCCAATATTGCTGTTTTGGCGGCCATACTCTCCTTTCAGAGACGAGAGGCAGAGGTAAGGATTCACTATGAACAATTTGTCTAAGGTTCTTACATATTTCTCTTGTCCCAGTTCATGGTCAAGGTACAGCAGCTACCTATCACTGTAACGTTTGGCGTTTTTGATAGCAACGAATTAGTGGTGAGTTTGAAGGTTATAAGCTGCTTTTTACGTGAAACTGTCCTGTAGGTTCTTGATCCGTGTTTCCGTGAGGAACCCCTGCTGCGAGGAACTTTAACATTTACTGTGAGTGACGGGAAAATCCCTCTAATGGAGTCTCGAAGAATCGGCCGTTCGGCTGATATCTTAGGACAGTGGGATGATATATTGCGACGTGTTGCTTTAGCTAAAGCTAAAGCAACACTTGCTTCATTGATGGAATGGGTAAGAATTTGATTTTGCGTTGCAATCCTTGATGTGTAATTTACAGGATGCAAAAGAGCAACCTCAAGTTCTTAAATCTACTTGGGGTTTCAAGATCACAAAAACGCTCGGTAAAATTCTTGTTTTTCTTAGCTAACTGTTCTAATATGTTGGTCACAGAGCTTGCAACCAGCTGCAAGCGCACAATACAGTATATATCCATAAAACGGATAGATAAAAAAACTCTAGATTCTCTAAGCTACATCCAGAGTAAGTGTCATAACTTGTTTATTATTGATATCTTTGAGTTTTAATCTTTTCCAGGGACTAAAGTTAAAGGAAGTCACAGGCTTGTACAGCTCATCGTTTCCATTACAAGCTTTGGAAGAACATCAGTGTGTTTCATGTTCCGAAAGCTATTGGTACATTAATTGTTCTACGTGATAGTAAGACTCTTTCACTTTCAGGGTGCTTTCGTGGAGCGGGTGTACGCAGGGGATGCCCTTTCAAGGGCCAGGACACTCGTCGGAGAAATGATGATGGAGTTCACTCCCAATCCTGAGTTGATTTTCAGCGAAGTGCCACCACTGTACTTAAGAGGCTTTGAGACCTTGTGGAGGAGCAAACTTCCCGTGGAAAATATCTTTACGAGCACTGTGGATGCACAACAATGGCTTAAAAGCAAACAACAAAAGCAAGAGGTATGGTCTAGATTAGATTTAACAACTGTTCACAAAGTATTTCTTTTTGTAGCATCTCTTGGCTAAAACGAAGCGGTCAAATAGACGTGATGACAAAGACGATTTACCGTGGGAGCTGCGCACCGACAAAGTTGTGGTCATTGGATGTTACATCCCTGTTTTGCTCGAGCCCGTCACACCTTTTGAACCATGCCCGCCTTTTGGAACAGAAGATGAGGTTCGTTTAATGATTTTGTTGACGTGTTGTAATTTTGATATATCTTAATGGCACAGGAAGATGCAAAAGAAGCAGAATTAGAAAAATTGCTCTTCCTCCCCAGGCTTCGTGATAAAATTTTAATGGTTATGTTAAAGCCTGGTTTAAAGCTTTTCCAAGTATCATACACTAGGAAGGAAGGTGACGGATGGATATCATTTCAAAAAGATATGCCAAACGGCAACTGGGAAACTTTGTAGTAAATTTCTAAATTCTGTTCTCTCCCCGAAGGTAGTCTAAAGAATGAATCACTCTTATTTTCACACTCGAGGCTGTCATCAGCGTTGGAGGCATTTGGACGTTAAGTTTCTGGATTCGAGAGAGCAAATGGTGTAAATGATTCAGCCTGGGAAGACGGGGTGGTAACACCAACGCTTTTGTGAACTCGACTTCTTTATAGGCGCGCTTGGATCCACTTGAAGTTATGTTGTAGATGGGTTGCGATGCACAGGTGGTAAAGCATGCGCTGGATTTGTGAACGTGAATCCAGCCATGTTTTGGTAGTTGAAGTCCTGGGATCTCAAATAGTAGATAGATGATCGAGAAAACCTCCCGCTTTACTCGAGCAGAGTGTTTTCGACTGCGTCAAGTTGCTAGATCAACATTGCTGTTGTAGGTTGTTTCATGGTTGGAAAGAAGAGTAAGAAACAAATACCGTAGATATTTGTCTTCGTGGTCGTGATGGACTTGGATCCAAATTATAATAAACGACATAGACAAAAGCTAGTTTTGAAAAACTCTGGACGTCTGGCGAAGGTTCTCCGTTCTGAGACATCAACTTGGCCAAATGTTGATGATACTTCCCAAGCACCAGCAACAAGATTCGACATATTTGTCTTCTGATTGCTTTGGAGACCGCGTCGATTGACTGCTTGGGAACCTGAGACTGCGGAGTGACTTATGCTTCACCTTGCTGGAAAAGAAAAATGAAAACGTGCATCGAAACCATAGTGGTTTTCCCTGCGAAAGAGTTAAGGGAGATAAAATTCAACGTAAGATCATATCTGGCAAGTTTCTCCTTTCGAAGTTAAAGTCACTTGCTTCTTCAGCTCGGAAGCTGAACCCAAATGAACTCTCGGGCGTAGCCTTCCACTTCGCAAGAGTTAGAACACGAGTAAACCGCAAGCGTGGCCCAGTCAAGGGAATCCGGCTCGTTATCTACTCCAAAGTAATAGAGCAGCTGCGGCAGAACCTGGAATCAAAATTCGGGATTAACACAGGCAACTCATGACACATGCACACCTGGAACTCAAAGATGAGAGGTCCTCCACAAAGTTGACAAGGTGAGATATCCACGGCCGTAGGCTGATCGTCCGGTCTCATCCACAACACTTTGGCATTTTTGTTCCGACAGTATCTGAAGTGTGGCAATTCAACACACAAGAAACAGATGGAACTCATAATCCAAACCTGAGCACTTGACTTGGGGCTCTTTGTATACGTGCTTGAAAGTTTGCCCAGCACTGTTTCTCTCCAGATGCCTGCGATTCAGAGTTCAGGGTAAGAAAGTCTAGGAACTAAGTGACAGACCTCTTCAAAGCCTTGAAGCTCTGCGTTCAAGGCAAGAGACTGGTTAGCGGGTACGATTGGAAGAGTGTTTCCAGTTTCTTCATCTCTTTCTTCTTCACCCAGTACTATCTCCATTTCGGGCCATAAGGTATTGCTCGAGTTATTCGTTGGCACAGGTGCCTGAGTTTTGCATGAAGAGGAATGACCAGCGCGCCAGTGCTCTACCTGGAGAATAGCATGTCCAACACTGACAATGTCAATTAAGCGAAAGTAGGTATGCACCTGATGTTGGCGAGAGCAGTATCTTGTTGTCTTACACCCTCCACAGACTTTTTCGCCTCTCCATGTACGACACCACGTACAGAGATCCACTACAAAAAGTTCATGTTAGGCGGGAGAACATCAATACTTTGTACCTCCAGTCGTCAAAGGACGATCATTCTTCCCTCTGGACGGCGTATCGGAGTAGAAAATGTTCTTAAGCGGAAGCTGCGATCGAAAGACCTTCACACTGCAATAGAAAATTTTAAAACAACGGAAAGCTCGACGTCGAAAGAAAAAACTACCTTCTCGAAGACGGCTGCGCGGGCTTCTTCTGCTCGGCTTGATCTCTTCTCAAGCACTCCATCTTCGAGCACATGAACATAAAGAGCGTTCGATGAAACGTATCGCTCCTCTCCTCCAGCGAAGCATAAATCTGCACAACCAAACGAATCTAGAACAAATCAAGGTCCAATCAATACCTGAAGCAAAAAACGGAGAGGCTCCTCGCAAAAATCACAGCACGAATCTGGAGTCCTCGGGACGCTGTCAGGATCGAGCCAAGCCTGCCAATCAAACCACCACAATCACTCACTCCTTTAAAAAAGGACAAAACAAGACGCGCCCGCCTTGATTCCCTTCACATGCGAGGCAGCACAGAAACAAGAGCTTCTTTTACCGCCGCTCCGCCAGCTTTACAGGGAAAATGCTGGCGCCGAAGCATCCATGGCGCCTCTGGCGCTTGGACGAAACCTAATTCCACCTCCCCCTCCTCATCGCTGTCGGATTCCTCGTCCAGCGCCAGGCGCGAGAGCTCCTCCTCCGCCATCAAAGCCCTAAAAGAAAAACCCTACCAAAACCCTAGAAACCGATATAATGCGGCATTAATGGCGAGACACATGGTGTCGGGATTTTGTTTCCTTTCGCCCTTTTCACCATTGATCTAGGGAAAAGATTTCCACGACTCAAGCACTTTCACTACCAACCAAGGGATTTTTCGAGTCCCCCCTTTACAAACCTTTCTCCTCCAGATCCACTTTGGAGTGGCGCAACTTCGGCGGGACGAGAGCCACGCATCCTCCAAATCCAATCCCCCCCCCATGCTCCTCTCTCGTGATCTGGAATGAGTCGTTCTAAGTTCTAGTGGTGGCGCCAGCGATCGTCGTGGTGGTGGTGGTGGTGGTGGTGGTGGTGGTGGTGGAATCTCCCGCGGCTGCTATATAATCTCTAGAGTTTTCCAACCTCAAAGATCTTCCATCACCAAGCAGTGCTTTGATCTTCTTCCATCACCAAGATCTTAGAGCGTTTCGTGCATCCCCGAGCACTCACTCACACTCGAGTTCTTCCAAGATGATCTACGTCCAGCTCCGGAAATCCACCACCGAGAACGCCGACGCCGATGGAGCTCGCCTCTTTGATCCTATCGACACGGCCGACGCCCGGCCCGAGCAGCGAGTGGTATCGCTCCTCGAGGGCGGCCTTCTCCGATCGAGCTCTACATTTCCATACTTCTTCCTCGTCGCGCTCGAGGCCGGGAGTCCTCTCAGAGCTCTCCTCCTCCTCGCCTTCTTCCCCATCGTCTGGATCCTCACCCACATCCTCCAATGCCGCGATGCGGACATCCGGCTGTACGCCTTTGTGACGTTCGCGGGGCTGCACGACGCGGCGGTACGATGCGTCGCCCGCGCGGTACTGCCAAAGGCCTTTCTTGACGACGTGCACCGCGGCGTCCACCGCGTCTTTGCGACATGTGACCGGCGGTACGTCGTCACGTCCCTACCGCGCGTCATGGTGGAGTCGTTCGCAAAGAGCTTCCTGGAGACGGAGCATGTGCTGGGCAGCGAGCTGCACGTGACGCGCGGCGGATGGTACACTGGGCTGGTCCGCGGCATACCGCGCGGACGGGAGAGGTACCGCGCGGTCAAGGAGCTTAACAGCCCGGATATAGGCATTGGGTCCGACTCCTTCGCGGAGCTCTGCAAGGTAAGATTTCGTCGTCTTTGGATCGAGACTGATGGTGTATTGCATGGATTTGATCGCGCAGAAGGCTTACATTGTGGGGGATCACGATGGCGATGGCGAGCAGGCAAAGATCTCCGCGCCGCCGCTCATCTTCCACGACGGTAGGCTCGTTCACAGGCCGACCCCTCTCTGGGCGCTCACGATCCTCCTCTGGCTCCCATTCGCGATCCCGCTCGCGATCACTCGCATCCTGTTGGGTATCTGCCTCCCCAAGCGCGTCGCGCTGCCCGTCGAGCACCTCCTCGGGGTGTCCGTCCGCGTCAGGGGGCGTCTCCCGCCGCGGATATTCCAGCCCTCCCAGCGGGGCGTCCTCTTCGTCCTCTCCCACCGTACGCTTCTCGACCCCGTCTTCATCTCCTTCGTGATGGGCCAGGCCGTCGCGGCCGTCACCTACAGCCTCAGCCGGGTGTCCGAGCTCTTCTCCCCGATACGCACCGCGCGGCTCACGCGCTGCAAGGACCGAGACGCCCGCAGCATGACGCGGCTGCTCGCGCAGGGCCACCTGGCGGTATGCCCCGAGGGCACGACGTGCCGCCAGCCCTGCTTGCTGCGCTTCAGCGCCCTCTTCGCGGAGCTCACGGACACCATCGTCCCCGTGTCCCTGGCGACTACCATGCCGGTCTTCCACGGCACCAGCGCGCGCGGGTGGAAGTGCCTGGATTTCCTCTTCTTCTTCATGAATCCGGCCGTGAGGTACGAGATGGAATTCCTGGAGCAGCTCCCACCGGATCAAACATGCGGCGGCGGCGGGCGGAGCAGCCACGACGTCGCCAACCACGTCCAGCGGCTAATCGCGGACGCCATGGGCTACCAGTGTACCACTCTCACGCGCAAGGACAAGTATCGCGCCCTCGCGGGGAACGATGGCATTGTCACAAGCAAGAACCCTAATTTGGGATTGTAAACGAGATTTTTTGAATTGCAAGGAACCCTAAAAACAGAGTGATAGTGGACAGATCTCACGGGCTGCTTGCGTGCTTGGGTCGGTGGTATTTAAAAATCAGCACGGACAACGGAGCGCGATTATCTGATATAGAACAGCGACAGGCGGATGAACAAAACACGTAGAGTGGAATGGTGCGATCAATCAATCAATCAATCAGCTGCTGCTGCTATGGCTATGGCTAGAAGGAAGGAAAAACAAAGACCCAAAAACCATCACGACGAATCCATAGCTGTCTCTACTCGCTCGCTCGCTCGCGGATCAGTCGCTGCATCGCTCTATGAGGTGCATTTCCACGCCAACAGAGCTGCTGCTGCGAGGATCAATGTCCCGGAAGAAGTCGCCATTGTTGCTGCTCCTGTGGGCGTCGCGGCTGCACCAGATCCAGCTCCCGGAGACCCCGTCTCGCTCCCGGACACCATAGCCGGCCCAGGCCCCGCGGCTAGAGCCACAACAAAAGCAGAGAAACGCAATGTCAGTACGATCTATCGCCGAGAAACCATGGGTTTACCCTGAGGAGCTGCAGCTGGAGTTCCTAGAATCGCTGGAAGAACGAGAGAAACACAATGAGATTCGAGCTTCGCAACAGAGAATGGAATGGAAAGCTTACCCGCGCACCGGCTCCGATCGGCGCCCTTGATCTTGCAAACCGTGGGGAGGCTGAGCGCTCGCTTCATATCCACGGTGACGCCCAGCGCCGAGAGATTGAGCTTGCCCTCGGAGAGCTGGCACAGGCAGACGGGGCTGGTGGTCACCAGCGACGACAATCCCTTGCAGCAATCCGAGGATGGCGTCTTGCCATTGCCCTGGACGTAATCCAGGCACGGCGCCACCGGCGCGAGCTGGGACGTGCAATCCACCGCCGCCGCGGGCTGCCCATTCCCCTCCCCGATCAGCGCCGCCGCCACGAGCAGCGCGCAAATCCACGCCGCGCTCGATCCCATCTTCTTCTTGCTCTCTTCCTCTCTTCTCTGGTATCTAAGCGCAACGCCTCTTCTTCTTCCTCCTCCTAGTTCTCACTCTCTCTCCTCTTCCAGTCTTTTGAATGCGCGGGGCTTATGACATGGCCGGCAATCCGGGGGAAATGCCTGGTGCCGTTGACTGCCACTAATGGCACGGCGCCACGTGGACACGGCCATGGCCTTTTACCAGGCGATCATGAGGGGAGCGACGACGCGAAGAAAGCAGCGGCCACGCACCGACTTTCGAGGCCTGGGAAAAGCAAAATGGAGATTTTTAGTGCGCTCCGCTTTATCACCCAGAAGGAAGAACAGGTGTCGAGCTCGATAGCGCAAACTCTCATAAAGTTTGATCCAGTTGCTGAGAGCCAAGATCAGAGAGCGTGAAGCTGTCCTGCTGGATGATCGTGACTTAGAGCGTATAAAAGCTCTGCGTGATCTGCCTGGAATCATGAAATCGGTACAGAAGAGTGAAAACAAACGAGATACCCCGCAAGTCCGCGCTAGTCATTTGTTGTGTTTAAGGCCGACTGGAGCGCCTCTTCGAGATGCTTCTCCGCGGCCTCGTACTCTCTTCGCTTGTCTTCAATCGCGAGCTCGGCGAGAGCTTTGTCCTGGCAAAGCGCATTGATTTTAAGAACATGGACAGCTGAGGCTCTTACCGGCGGCAAATCCTGGTAGCTCCGCAGGGTGTCGAGGATTGGCTTTGTTTTTCTCTCCAGGTCCTTTCGGTGCTCAACCATTTGCATTAACACGCCGTGGCTGATCTCGGGTGTGTATCCCACACGGGAAAGGATTGCCTGTAAAGAAAAGAAAGCAAAAGGCGTTGGAACTTTTTCCAGACAGAAGTGACACTACCTTGTAGTTGGCAAGCTGTTGCAAGTATTGGCGCTCTTTGGAGGCCATCACCTTTAGGTTTGTCTCCCACTGTCCCATGAGTCCATCTCGTGCGGCCACTTCCTCTTCGAGCTGTCCAAGAGTTCTAGGAGTAAAAGAAAGGCAATAAGAACTGATAAAAACCTCGAGAACACCACCTCTTTAGATATGTCAATCTGGAAATGGCTTTTCGCGTGTTGTCGAGGAGCATTTTCGACTCTTTCTTTACCGCCGCGCGCTTCTCTTCAATGTCGGTTTTCTTAAGGGAGAGGTCTGCCATGGCTATCAAGAAGCTGTAAGCAAGCATGGTGTTTTGAAACAAGCTCGTAAGAAAGAAAACAAAGTTCCAACCTTCCGGTCTCGGTGTCTTTAAGATCCAGCAAATGGGCGGCTGTTGCAAGCGTCTGAGCGGCAGCCACTCCACTCTGCGAGAAATTCTCCTGCGCCAAGCCCGCGCAGTCCAGAATTTCCCTCACTCTGGCAGCTAGTACCAAAGCAAAGATCATCGCGATCGGGATTTCCAGAAAATGTGATCTACGCACACGCACCTTCCGCTCGAAACTCCGCTGCCTTCTGCCGCAGATCGGCCGCCACAATCCCCACTACCTGCGTGCGATTCTGCGATAGGGTTGCCAGGCCGTGGAGATGCGCGACGGTGCGCGGCGTGTACTCGAATGCCGGTACCTCTCGATTCACCGCCTCGAAAGTGCTGGTGATCCATGCCTTGACCTCGGCGACGTGAGCGGCGTCGAAGGGCGTCGCGGCGCCTCCACCTCCTACTCCATCGCCGCTCTCCGCCATAGCCTAGCTCGTAAAAACCCTCCAAAAAATATTTTCAAACACCAAGACATATAGTGCCATCTCCAGAGATTCGAACACGCGATCTTCAACTTTTCTCGCAGGATTCGAACCAGCGCTCTGTCTTTTCTATGGATTCGAACCCTCGCCGGTGAAATTCTAGTTACCACTAGAGACGTCCGTTAACTGTGTTTACAAACGGCTACTTTTTCCAGTGGCCGTTACCGGTACCCATTCCGCCCGGTGTGGAATATGCCACGTCCGACGGAATGTCCCGTACGAATGTCCAGCTGGCGGTGGCATATTCTGGTATGCAGTCGGTGGTACTTCCACTTCTCGAAAAATACACGCACAGGGCATTCGCTCTCGCGAGAAGAAAATTCGTTCTTTTGGCTATGGCGGCTAGGTAGTCCATTCCATCGCATGCAGCAAGCAAGGGATTGCGGTGTCTGGCTGGATCGTCCGTGCACAGCGAGCGCGCCGCTCCATCGATTCGCCACTGGCGCTGTCCCCGCCGCCGCCGCGGCCGATGAGCCGGAGATTCTAGGGATTTAGGGGCGCCGGGGGTTGGCGTCGATTCTGGTGCTCATCCAGATTCCAGGCGTGTTTCTAGGGTTTCGATCCGTTCATGGTAAGTAAATCTCTCTCGCTGTGCCCCAAAACATGTGGCTGTGTGTGTGTGAGCTGCTTTGTTTGGATTGTTGCTCTAGGGATGTAGATGGTAGCGTCTTTTCGAAAGCTCAATCTCAAAAGGCCGCTTTGGATTTGTTTTTTTTTTTTTTCTTAGGCTGAGAACTTACCTCCCAAGGTAATCCGAGCGCTTGCAAAGGAGCTCAAGAGCCTAGACGAGAGCCCTCCAGAGGACATCCGTGTTCATGTAAATGACGACAACTTCTCGAGCATTTTCGCAGATATTGAGGGACCACGTAAGGATTTTTTGTTTGTTATTCTTCGTCTGCTCGACTGATTCCTGTAGTGGTTTTGGCGCTTCAGCCGGAACACCGTACGAAAGTGGCGTCTTCCGGATCAGATTGTTGCTTAGCCCCGACTTCCCCCAAACGCCTCCCAAAGGTACATTTTTTAGTGACTCCTGGCTTTCAACTCGAGCGTTTTCGTTTTTTTTCTTCTTCTGTAGGATACTTTGTCACCAAGATCTTCCATCCAAACATTGCAAAAAACGGAGAGATTTGCGTGAACGTTTTGAAGAAAGATTGGAAGCCCACGCTCGGCTTGAGGCATGTTCTTCTCGTAAGTAACCCCACACTTTTGCGTTGGTGACGCTTCCTTTCCAGACGAGAATATAACGAAACAATGTGTCACTCCACCTCCAGGTCGTGCGCTGCTTGCTCATAGAGCCGTTTCCAGAGTCGGCGCTCAATGAAGACGCTGGAAAGATGCTGATGGAGGATTACGAGGGCTACGCAAAGCACGCCAGGTAAGTGGTGTACTACATTTCAGGCTTTTTCATGATTCTCTCACGTTCCTTTCCTGTTCTTTTCTCTCTGGCAGATTAATGACCAACATCCACGCGATGAAGTCCAAGCCCAGGACGAACAAAGTCGCCATAGCCGAGTCGACAGTGGTGAACAGCAACGCGGAGGAGATCCACATCCCTCTCACGCTCAACACCGCCAACAAGGACACGAGCGGCGCGGACGCGGGCTGCAACGCCGCGGGGGGCGAGGCGCCATCGTCGGCCTGCCCGTCCCCCAGCGCCAAGAAGCCAAAGGGCGACGTTGGAACGCTCAAGCTCCAGGTAGACAAGAAGAAGATGGATGTAAGGAAGAAGAGCCTCAAGCGCTTGTAGCAGCTCTCTCTTCTCTTTAGTTTGTGTGTGTAGTGTGATTACTCTGGACAGGGAGAGGGACAGAGAAAGATAAAAAAAGGAAATGATATGATATTTTTTTATTTCGTTATATGTTTTTAGGGCTTCTGTCCGAAAGTTGGTGGGAATTTAGGGTTTTCTATCAATGTCGTGTCCTTTGGAGGAGTGGACGTATGATTAAAGACACTCGCCCAGAACCCTGACAATGGCAATTTATACCGGTCCAAGATCAAGTAGGTACCACGTTACATAAGTGATTTTATCAAAGCAATGTGATAAATTAGATATCATGTGACAGCATTCAAAGACTAGGTAGTAGTATATATACGTAAGAACAGGACTTGGCACCCTCTGTGGTTTCGTTTCGCTACCCACCAAAAGGATACATTAATTGCTGTCCCTCTCGGCTTGGTTTACAGCTAGCGCCATCTCTTTCTTTCCTTCGCTTCGTCGCTTTCAAGCTTTTCTAGTTCGCTTCGTGGACAAGCGCATGGACACAAGAGAGGACAGACCTTCTCTTTACTCTCCTATCGATCACGATGCTCTCCACCCGATCGATCTATTCCTGATGAGTCAATCGAGAGAGCAAGCCAGTAGCTTAGCTTACATTCACTTATAACGAAGGAGCGCGTGAGACCCGACCCATGGCATGGATCCACGATCCTCGCAAATCAATCTTAGCTACAGCCATTTACCTGGTCTTGCCCCTGGGCCGCTTGCTCGTCCTCCGGGAGATCCTTGGCGGCGCCGCCACCTCCGCCGCCGCTCCTCCGCCTCTCCGGCACGGTGCCGTCGTTCCCCGCCAGCATCCCGTACTTGTCCTTGCGGGTGAAGTTCGTGCACTCGAATCCCAGCGTGTCCGCGATCACCCGCTGGATGTGATTCGCCACCTCGATCGCGCTCTTGCCGCCCTGCTGGACCGTCAACTCCGGCGGGAGCTGCTGGAGGAACGTCACCTCGTACGTCGGGAAGGGATTCATGAAGAAGAAGAATGGATCCAACCCCTTCCACCCGCGCACCGTTGTCCCGTGGAAAGTGCTCCCCTTCGTGCACAGCGCCACCGGCACGATCTTGTCAGTCAGCTCCGCGAACAGTGCGCTGAATCGCAAAAGGAATGGCTCGCGGCAGGTGGTTCCCTCGGGACAGATGCACAGGTCCCCCTTCTGGAGCAGCGCCTTGATCTTGGCCGCGTCCCTCTCGCGGTCCCTGGACAGGCCCACCGTCTTAATCGGGGACAGGAACTCCGACACCCTGCTGATGCTGTAGGTGAGCGCCGTCACCTCCCGCCGGGCCCCGACCCCCACGAACACCGGATCGCACAGTGTCCTGTGGCTGGAGACGAAGAGCACGCCGGACTCGCCCCGCTTCTTGGGCGGCGGGATCGGCCCCTTGACGATGAGCCGGATGCCGACGAGCTTGTAGACGATGGTCACGTACTCGCGCGGGCAGGGTACCGTGACCATGATCCGGAAGACCGCCAGCACGAAGCTGACGGGCAGCCACAGGAAGGTGACGAGGGCGGTCAAGGGCGTGGGCCGCTGGACGAGGCGGCCGTCGTGGAAGACGACGGGCTTGACGAGCTTGTCTCGGCTCAGCGCCTCCACTTTGGAGGGTGGGACGACGTATGCTTCCTGATAGTGGTCAGCAAATGGGTTCGTTAGTTGACTGGAAAGAAGTTTCTACTGCTGCTTGGAAGAGATTCTTTTAGGCTAGTGCTAGTGCGCTTGTAAGAATGTGTGCATGAGACAAGGAAAAAAGATAAACAAAAGAAACAAGAGAATCATCCACTCATGCAGCAATTGCAGGGATGGATCATCGATCGAAAACAATGCCCAGAGTGTTGATCTAATGCATCGAGCTCGATCGAGAACTAAGCAACCACTCCACCCACCAAGCAGAGCGGGATTGGATTCGAGATAAGTACCTTGCAGAGCGCCATGAAAGCAAAGTCCGTGGCTCGATCGCCAATGCCGACATGGGGCAAATGCTCGCCGAATTCCTGCCTCACAGCCTTGCGCTTGTTGACCCCCACGAGAACTCCCGGCCGCTTGAGGAATCCCGTCGCGTAGCCACTCCTCGTCACCTCAATCTCGGTCCCCAGCACCTTGTCCGCCCCCAGGCACGTCTTGGCGAAGTGCTCCACCATGATCCGGGGATTGGCGGTCACCACCACACGCTTGCCGCACGAGGAGAACACTCGGTAGGCCTCGCTGTGGACGTCCTCCGAGTAGAATTTGGGCAGCACGGCGCGCGACACCGACTCGATCTGCTTGGCCTTCATCCCGGCGAAGGAGATGAAGATGAGGAGGCGGATGCCGGCGGATTCCGAGACGAAATGGTAGAGGATCCAGGCGAGCGGCGCGAAGAGGCCAAGAATCACGCTCCGGATGAGGCCTCCTCCCTCTAGCGCCACCAGCATGAAATACGGGAAGGAGCTCCGGCCGCGGATGAGAGTACCGTCGAAATCCGCCACGCACGTCTGCTTCTCACGCCCCGCCGACGAGCATCGCTCCACCGGCTCGAATGGAGCATCTACCAGGAAAGAATCCGTGACCTTGCCGCCGTCGAGCGACATCCTTGCCGCCGCGTCTAGCTAGCGCTGCAAGCCAGGAGCAACGTTAGATCACCTGCATTGCCCGAAATTTCCAGCTCCAGGATCGATACCTCAAGGCGCGCGGGACGATCGGCCGGCGCCGATCGATAGAATAGGAGCTCGCTCGTCGCCGCCGCGAGTGAGATTTCCACTGTAAAGATTGGAGATCGAGCGCCGCAAGCCGAGAAAGAAGAACAGAGAAGGCGCAAGAAGGTAGTGTATCCCTAGCTATGGCGACATGATAGAGAGAGAGCTGGGAAAGAATTTGTAGGCCGCGCAATAGGCTATGTCGTCGACGGCTTTGGCTAGTATGACATGAGCACGAGGGAAAGAGTGGGAGTTTAGTGCACTTTAAATGCCGCCGGGGCGGGGCCGTTTACGCGGGCCACGTGTCGCGGCGCGAGTGGCGAGTGAGTTATGGAACTGACCGCCGGATTGACCCCTGGCCGTGAAAATGCCAACCCGGTCGATTTGGCTGGGCTGGCGACATTATACGTACCTGCATTTGGTGGATACAGTTGCGTATAGAATATGTCGGGGGAATATGCCTGCGGGCAATTGGAGATTTCAACGATAGCTATTACATAGACAGCGTAAAAGTTGTGCAAAAGTTCTCGACGCAATAGCAGTTTGATTCCCAAAGGTACAAAGACTCTCTCGCTTCCTTTTTTTCTTCGCCTCCACAAAGACCAGGCAAGAAGAAAACAAAAACGAAGTTTCGGTGTGTTGGATCTTTGATTCCTCTAACACATTTGTTCAGTTCGGAAAGGTGGCAGAAGAACTCCAGGAGAGAGAAAAGGTGGCGGAGGTTGGGAGTGGCATTTCGCTGGCAATGCGAGACACGAGCGCCGTACCGCCGGCCGGACGCCATGCTGCCTGTGTGAGGATGCCAGCTCGCTTCCGTGCCCTAGACCACCCCTCCGTGCCCTAAAACCTTTGCCCCCTTTAAATGAACGAAGTCAATATTTTCTGTCCCACCCATGTGGAAGGATTAAAATCGCCTGCCTGCTTGAAAAACCTTTAGCATTTACTAGTGCAAGCTAGATAGCCAGCCAACACCAAAAAAAAAAAATTCAACCGTCAACTCTAGTCAATTCAAGTCAACACCAGTCAACGGTTCCATCTTGTTTTCTTTTCCAACCCCTTCCTATTTCGTGGGGACTGTTCCATCGCTGCCATTGAGCATCAGGTACTTGTCCTTGCGGGTGAAGGTCGTGCACTCGTATCCCAGCTTGTCGCCCAGCATCTTCTGGATGAAATTGGCCGTCTCGAACGAGCTCTTGCCGCCCTTTTGGACGCTCATCTCCACGGGGAGCTCCTCCAAAAACTCCACCTCGTACGTCGGGAATGGATTCATGAAGAAGAAGAATGGATCCATCCCCTTCCACCCCCGCACCGCCGTCCCGTTAAACATGCTCTGCCTCGTCTTCACGGCCGCCGGGACGATCCTGTGCGTGAGCTCGGTGAAGAGAGCGCTGAATCGCAGCAAGAAAGGCTCCCGGCAAGTCGTCCCCTCCGGACACAGGCACAGGTCCCTCCCCCTCTCCAGCAGCGACTTCATCTTCGTAAAGTCGCGCTGCTTGTCTCTCGTCAGCCGGACCGTGACGATGGGCGATAGCACCTCGGACACCCGGCTGATGCTGTAAGTGAGCCCGGTCACGTCCCTCTCGGCGGCCAATCCCACGAAGATGGGATCCACCAGAGTCCTGTGGTTGCACACGAAGAGGAGCCCCCTGCCGTCTTGTTTGCGAGGAACTTTGCCTTTGGTGATGCGGCGGACGCCGAGGATGGCGTAGATCATTCCCATGTACTTTCGGGGGCAACGGGAGGTGAGGCCGATCCGGAGCACTGCGAGCGCGAAGCCGATAGGGAGCCAGAGGAAAGTGACGAGCGCCACGAACGGCGTTGGGAGCTGGACCAGCCTACCATCATGGAAGATCACGCGCTGCGCCAGAGCGCTGCCGTCCACTGCGTCAACCTTCCTCTTGGGAACAACGTAAGCTTCCTGTATCACACGGTTACAACCAGAGTTAGAAAACTCGCTTCTCGTAACTGATTCTGGAGTGTCACGCAAATCCTGGCACCCCTCAACAGTTAAAGCAGCACGAAAGAGGCAGAGCTAAGTATTATATGCTCGAAATGCAAAATATGTATATGATATGGAAAGAGTGCGCTTACCTTGCAAAGCGACATGAAGGCGAAGTCGGTTTCTCGATCGCCGAGTCCGATCTCGGGAAGCTCCCCGTCCACGAACTCGAGCTTCAAGGCGGTCCTCTTGTTTTGACTCACGAGCACACCTGGGAACTTGACGAAGCCTGTAGCACGTCCATCATCGTCCACTTCGATTTCCGTCCCAATAACTTTGTCCGCGCCAAGGAAGGCCTTGCAGAAATACTCCACCATGATCCGAGGATTGGCAGTGATGACATACTTCTTCCCGCAGGACGAGAAAACTCTGAAAGCATCACTGTGGACGTCCTGGGAGTAAAACTTCGGCAGAACCGCCGTTGCCACCTTCTCAATCTCGGACACCTTCTGCCCCGAAAAAGAGACATAGATGAGAAGTTGAATTGCTGCTGCCTCCGAGACGAAGTGGTAAAGCAGCCAGGCGATAGGGGCCAAAAGTCCGAGAACAACTGCTCTGAAGAGGCTACCTCCTTCAAGAGCCACCAGCAGGAAGTATGGAAACGAGCTTCTGCCTCTGAGCAGTGTACCATCCAAATCCGCCGCAACTGTGTGCATTCCACGTCCTTCAGATGAGCAATTCTCCACGAGGCCGAACCGGAAGAGCCGCGAGTACTTTAAGTCGGCCATGTCGAATCCTGGGACAACTCCGAGTTAGAAAGAACGCCACAGAGGAGAATAAATGCTTCCAACGTGCTCACTTGAAATGGAACTGGAGAAAAATGCCTTTCAAGTCCGTCCAGCCCCTGTACTGCTGGCTCAGAAGCTTGGCTCGAGATGAAAACCTTGAGCGCTGCCAGTCCAATTTATATTGGAAAGACGCCAACATTCCATCCGGCACACGCATCAGCATGTCAAAGGGGCTGGCGAACCCGTGCCAACGTGCCAAGCTGCCATTGGCTGTGGTGGCTGGTTGGTTGAGACCTGATGAAAAAAAAAAGATAAGTTTTAGCTTGGGGGACCGCTCACCGGCAGATCATGAGAGAAAACCTTCGAGTGTACTGGAACGAGGCAACTCTAAACCACACAAACACCCTCCGATTCCTGAAAACAACTGTGTCATTACTGCCAGAAAATCGTCAATACCTACTCAAACGTTCGCTCTCGACACGATGACCGGCGGGCTCCTCCCGTAAGACTTCCAACTCGGAAACAACACCTACAATTTGTCCATGGAGACAAAAGTCAACCCAGTGAAATCGATCTACAGTCAAAATCAACCGCCTCAAAAGGCATCGAAATGACTCCTCACCTTGTGGCTCTGGTGTATCCGCGAGTGAAGCCTGACTTCTAGAACGAACTGAATCGGATATTTCAAACCGCCTTCAGGCTGAGGCTGCAAAAACAAAATTAAGATCGAATAATGCAAGCAAAGAAGAATACCTTACCGAGAGCTGCTTGTAACTTCCCGAGCCGCCTACTGAAGAAAGAAACAGCTTTTTTTTCTGCTGGACGGCATCAAGTCTGCTGCGCGTGGTCCATCACTTGCCTTTAGAACTCTGAATCCCATGAGCGAGAGCATAGGTGGTATACGTGTTGGGATAGAAGCCGTGCTTGAGCATGTCCTTCATAACTTCCCTCGCGTCATGCATCGCTCCGGCCTTGCAAAATGCCAGGATGATTGTGTTGAACGTCGTCATGTCCGGAGCGGTCATCCGGTCCAGTATGTTTCTCGCTTCCTCCACCTTCTTTTGCGCGCACAGTCCCCGGATTAAAAAGTTGAACGTCGTCACGTTTGGAGCACAGGCCATCCCATCGAAAAGCCTCTGAGCGTCTTCGACTCTGTTGGCGCTGCAAAGCCCGGAGATGAGGCAGTTGTAAGTGATAACGTCCGGTTTGCAGCCTTCGGCGTGCATATGACACAGGAGGCGGAGGCCATCGTTTGCTCTTTCCGCTTTGCACAGACCATCGATGAGCGTGTTGAAAATCACCGTGTTCGGAGCGCAGCCGGCGAGCTTCATCTTCTCAAAGAACAGGAGCGCGCTTTTCAGCTCTCCACACTTGCAAAACCCGTTGATGAGGCCCCCGTAAGTGACCACGGTTGGAGTGTAGCCGTGAGCTTTCATGTCCTCCAGTGTTTTCGCCGCTTCCTTCATTCTTCGCACCTTGCAAAGGCCGTCGATGAGGATGCTGTAAGTTATTACGTTTGGTGCACACTTCCCTTCCATCTCGTCAAAGTACTGCATTGCCTCGGATAGCCGCCTCGCGTCACAAAACCCCTGGATGAGAGAGTTGTACGTGACAATAGTGGGAGTAAGGCCAGCTCCCTCGAGCTTGTTGAAAAGGTCGACAGCCGTGTAAACTCCTCCCCTCTTTTTGCAAAGGCTGTCGATCAGAGTATTATACGTGACTATAGTTGCCTTGCACCCAATTTTCTCCATCTCAGCGAAGAGCTTGATAGCGTCCTCGAGCATCCCAGCCTTGCAGAACCCGGCAATAAGAGTGTTGAAGGTGACGGCATTTGGAACACAGTTACTCTCGATCATCTTCATGAATACCTCCCAGGCCTCTTCAACCTTATCCAATTTGCAGTAGCAGTTGATGATGATGCTGTAAGTGAAAACGTTTGGCTCGTACCCGGCTTTGAGTATCTCCTTCATCAGGCTCTGCGCCTCGTAAGTCTGGCCAATCTTGCAATACCCATCCATGAGAACGTTGTAAGTCATGATGTCCGGAGAGCACGTCATTGCCGAAAAGAGAGCGTGCGCCTCGGCCATCCTTCCAGAGTCGGACAAAGCCGAGAGAAGTATATGGTAGCTCTCAAGGTCGGGCTCCACACCACTAGCCTTCATCTCCTTGAAAAACTCCATCGCCTGCTCGAGCCGGTTGGCCGACTTGTTCTCCCAGCACAGCCCCTTGAGAACCAGGTTGTAAGTTCCAGTTGCCACCGAGCTCGAGCTCTTCCTCATATCCTGGAGGTGAGCGAGCGCATCCCTCACCCTCCCGGCCATGAAAAAACCCCGCAAGAGGATGTTGTGCGAGGCGCTAGTCGGGAGGAAAGGCCCGGCTTGCATCTCCCGGAAGAGCTTGAGAGCGCTGGACATCTGGCCGATCTCACAGAGCCCCAGGAGCAGCGTGTTCATGGTGCTGGCGTTTGGAAGCAAGCCACTGGATTTCATGTCGGAGAAGACGCTCACCGCCTGGTGCATTTGCCCGCCCTTGCAGAAGCCCCGGATGAGCACATTGTAGGTGTGAGCGTTGGGCGCAAACAGCCCCGCCAGGACCTCCTTGAAGAGCCGCAGCGCTTGATCGTGCTTGCGCGCCGACACCAGGCCCGACAGCAGCGCATTGCACGTCTCCGTCCGGAACAAGAATCCCCTCTGCTGGAGCAGCTGGAGCTGATAATCCGCCGCCTCGCGATCCTCCGGGGCGGCGTCGTCGGGATCCAGCCCCGTCCACGGCGATTCTTCGCAATGCAGCTGCGCCTGGCTGTGAAATCCTACCGAGCTCACATCGAATCCATTGCCGCTGCCCTGGCACAAGAGGATCGAGTTGCCCCGCGCCAGCGCCACTCGCCCCGCTCCTCCCGCCATCGCCCCCGGGACCAGGGCTTTCATCCACCCTTAAACCCTAGAATATCCCATAAACCCTAGTGACATCATCTTTATACTTTACCCCTTCTAACCCTATCAATTGCCCTAAATAACTATATCCCTAAATCGTGATAGATCCTATTTTTGCCACCCAAGATCAAAAATATTGATGCTGAGGAAGGACGAGCCAAGGTATACGAGCATGCGCGATGTGATCGCCTCGGTGAGATTGGAGCACGCAAACTCTTTGGACGCGGAAGAAGATTTCACCTCCCACTCCAACTCGCCATGCTCGTGTTCTTCCTGCTCTTGGTGCCGCAATAGGAGCTCTTCCAGGATCTTTGGAGTGGCGCCGTACGTGAGATCATCGTCCGAGAGTGATTTTAGCATCCCGGAGTCGTGTTGCCGGTGCCTAGCGAGGTTTTTAAAGAAGTTACTGAAGTGGCCGCTCTGGGGATTGCTGCTGTGCTCTTCCGATCACAACAGGCACCGTCGGAGCCAAAGGCTAGTCTCGTGAACTTGTAAGAGTTTTCTTAGACCAGCTATTCGGGTTTCCATACAGTTTTTGCCAATCTCGAAATGCTTGCATGAAAGGTCAACATGTCCGAGTGGTTAAGGAGACAGACTTGAAATCTGTTGGGCTTGCCCGCGCAGGTTCGAACCCTGCTGTTGACGATTCCCTTTTAATATGCTATATTCCTTTTTAGCCCTAAAACTTGAAAGCAGTGCCCTAGAAACAGGGCATGGCCGGGAATGGAGGAGGCGATGGCATTGGCACCGCGCGGCCTTGGTATGTTCTCCCCGTGCTCGTACTGGCTGTGTTTGCGATCTCCTCGGCGGGCGCGGTAATGCTACAGATCTGTCGAGATTTTCTTTTCCATTTGCGTAATGCTCTCTCGATCTCGATGCACAACAGGTGACCAAGCTCATGCGCGATGCCGCGCCGGTGTCGTCGGCTGCATGGAGGCTCGAGGCCACCGCCTTGATCCTTCTCCCTGGATTCGTCTGGCAGGGGCGCTGGCTTCCCATCGAGCAGCGCCGCCGCGCGTACCAATGCCAGGTCGTGTTAAGCGCATTGGCTCTGGCTCTTCACTTTGGACTCTGGGTAAGTTCTTTCGTCCAAGATCATACTTTTCACACCTTGTTCTCTCTTGATCGATTCAGGTCTGGTCGCTGCTTCACACTTCTCTGCCGCATAGTCTCCTCCTCGTCTCCATGCCGCCCATAATTCTCGCGGTGGTCTCCTGGCTGCGTTGCCAGCCTTTGTCGCTTGGAGAAACTTTCGGGATCATCACGGGGCTTCTCGGCGTTGTGATCATCGCTGCAATGTCCCGGGTGGAGAATGACGCGGAAGTGACACTCGTCGGTGATTGTGCTGCGTTTCTAGCAGCCTGTGCCTTTGTGATCTACATGGTTTCCGGGAGCCACCTGAGAGGTATAGAAATACATGGAGACTATAACTTCTAACTTCCATGAATTTCGCGTTTGTGGTGCAGTGCAGCTTGGATGCCTCTCTACATTTATGTCTTTCCTGTCACGGCCGGAGCGTCCATCTTTCTGAGCTTGTCTTGTGCTTTCGTGGATGGAGAAACAGTCCCGGGATACGTAAGCGGCCCTTTTGGCTGGTTCAACAAAGGTTGGTTTTTTGTTCTTTTCGATCCTTTGGACTTTCAACTTCCGTGTTTCTTGTGCCAGAGTTTTGGTTTCCAGTTGTTTTCCTGGCACTCGGCCCGGGATTTGTAGGCCACACTGGCTTGAATGCAGTCCTTAAGTACTGCAGTCCTCTTCTTGTCTCCATGGCAGTAACGCTGGAGCCCGTCTTTGGATCCGTCGTTGGCTGGCTGCTCGATGTCTCTCCTCCTCCTGGGTATGAAAACCATTTTCTAGTCTCAGGAACTTAATGTAGCTCGTTTCTCCAGAATATCTACGTGCATAGGTGGAGCTCTTTTGGTGTTGGGAACGATATGGGTTACTTACGCGAGCCAGCCAAAAAAATCCATGGTAAGACGCTGGATTTATTCACTGCTCTCAGTTTTCTCGCCTTCCAGCAAAGCGCTGTAGCCAACCATCCCATCGATTCCCAGCCCTTGCTAAGTTCACTAACGAAGAACGAAGAACCAGTCTAAAACTCCAATTGAATCTTCAAACGGTAACTTCATCACTAACATTGTGCACAGAAGTGGACTAGTTTTGAGCTCGAAGCACTCGCAATGGCAAGCTAAGTTGATTTTCATATCTCAAAGGCCTGTCTCGAGTCACCGAGACAGGAAATAAATTTGGCTGACGCTCTAGTTTCAGTACTAAGAAGTGTGCAGATCAAGCAAATCTCGCGGAAGGAATAGAAAAGAACCTGTACTGTACAACGCAGAACAAAATGCTTGGCAGCATCAGGTACGTAATGATGCCCTTGGCACGGCTGGAAATCCATACTCGTCCGCGGCCTGCACACGCGCATCGACAGAGAGTTACGGCCAAACAGTGGAATGAATCAGTCCAAAGTTCCTACCTGTGGATTGGCTTGAGCACCATGCGCAGTCGATGGAGCAGCGGGAAGATTTAGCTCCGATTCTAGATCGCCATCTTTCTCCGGTTGCAAATAAGACGGAACTCCTCCATCGTGCTCCGTCTCTCCCATCTCAGCTTCGAGAGCGCTCAGCTCTAAACTGGAACTTGTTACTGATCGAAACACGAATGAAGTCTCTTAGCTTACCTCCCATCAATTCCTCCTCGTCGAGATCATCCGGAACGTTGTAACTTCTACCGAGTGATTCCTGTATCTCGGTGCTGTAATCCACGAGGTCGAGCATCTCGTCTTGCATTTTCTGCAAGGCACCAGTAGAAAGCTAAGGCCGAGACAAAGAAAACGGAAAAACTCACGTCAATATCGTCGATCTTGAGCGTCTTCATCGTGCCTTTGAGCTCTTTGTTCGCTGCCTTCATAGCTGACATCTAAGCCATGGAGAAGTGAGCCACAGATGGAGTGAAACGCAAGCTTTTTTCTTACAGTTTGCTGCGCGTCCTTGATGCCTTCCGTGGCAAACGAAACTTGCTCGAGATTAAACGTTTGACTGTAGAGCATGTCCCTCTGTCCCTCGTACCTGCGAAGGAGAAAGTTTGATCGATCACGAAAGCACGAGAAAGTTTGATCGACAAACCAAAAACTTACATTTTCTTCTGTTTTAAAATTCTCATCGCTCGAGCCTTGACCGCTTCCTGCGCAGGCCCCGGTCTCGTTCTCTTGATTTGCTCGCGGTACTTCACGAGCTCCGCATCGAGTTTCTTGATTTTATCGTCCACTCCATCGCCTCTCTTGTTGATCTGAGTAGAGGGAAAGGGAGAGAATCGAGTAAGAAAAAAAAAAGGGATTCCCTGGCCAGTGATTTCGATTACCCGTTCTGTCGCCTCTTCGACTGTAGGCGGCGGAGTTTTCTCCTTCCTCGCCCCAAAGACGCGCTTCATGCCTCGGAGAGATTACCCTACGATTCGATCCCGATTGGCGAGACGCGAGCTCCAATCGATCGGCGCGCACCTGGATCACTCCGCGCCCATGAATTTACCCCTCGAGCGCGTTGCCGGCGCCTGGAGCTTCGTCTTCGCTCGCACGCCTTCGCCTTAGGTTCCCTCTCGCGAAATTTCCACTCAAATAAAAAAAGATAAAAAGAAAAATCCACGGTTTGGATGAAGATCAGACAGATATTCGAAACTATCCCACGTAAGCTGGTGACTCACAGCCGCTTTGCCACGCTGTCATGACACGTGGAGGAACATTAGTTTATCTCATTGGGATCCGCCAGGAACTGGGAAGAACGTTATAGCCCATCCCGGAATCTTGAATCGGTCCTTGTTACCTGACATTTCCAGGGAGTGGTTTTGTGATTGGTGGTGATTGTGAAGCTAACTTGTTTTCCTGGCTTGCCAATGATCCTGCTCATGCTCGTCAGCTAGTTAACGTGAACTGCAGAGTTGCATGATTCGGAACGACAAGATCTTACGTTCAAATGCAATTCACAATCTTCCAAATGAAGTTATTTCTTGCTTATCACTTCGTATCATCTCTGATGGAAATCTTATGCATTGACTCACAGCTCCTGAAAATCGCAAGAAAGGACGTTCATTTTCTTGGAATGCTCGCAGAGCTCCACTTTAAGTAGCAGAACAGAACTCTTCAGCTTGCAGGGAAGCAATTGTCGAGCAGGCAGCAACAGATGCCTCAACTTCTTATAATGTTCTTTCTTCCTCTTCTTTCTCTAAGTGTGTTCTAACATTGTGGTTTGTGCAGCCACAGGTCCAGCAGCTTCTTTGGCACCATGAAGGCAGCTGCAGTGGCCATCCTTCTACTGCAGCTTACACTCGCCCCATCGAGAGCAGAGCCTTCGTCCTCGTTATCCGAAGCATCTTGTGCAGAGATTGTCCCCCGCTCAAACCTCACAATGTGCCTCACTGCGTACGCGAGCCAGGGCACCACCTGCGCCATCATGTCGCCCTGCATGCACAAGGATCCGTCACAGCTATGGATCCGGAGATCAAACGCCGGCTACGTTGATTCTCATGGCCTCGACGCGTTTGAGCTCATCAATACCGGGTCCCAGCTTGCATTTCAGCATTACGTAGATGCGTTTATCACTTTGGGTACAGTGGGAGAACAACCCGGAGAACAACCTGATCTAAACTCGTCACTGTGGACTAGGCAGGCTGTGTCGCATAACTACTACACGCTGCGGAGCTACGACCAACCGAACCTCGTTGTAACATGGGTTTCGAGTGAACTCCCCTGTATGGGTTCTTACAGCCATGGCGAGATTAACCAGGAATGGGCTTTCATAAACTCTGTATGCTAAATTCTCGCATTGAACTTAAGCGGATCATATGTCATATTGCATAGTACCTGTATTCCAGAACTATCAGAACTTCAGCAGGAGGTTCTGCTAGTTGGAGTGCCATTGTTTATTATAAAAGTATGTGTTGGAACACTGTTAAATCATACTTCTAAATGTTACAACCTGAGATGAAATGTTTCCAGAAAGTTATGGCTATGATGAGCTTGCTAACGCGTTGGATTAACATCTCTCTGACTTCAGTCATAGTTGTCAGAATCTGCTCTTTTGATTCAGTCACAGAAAGCTTGCCCCCGCCAGCTTTGCAAATACAATTATATTTCTTTTTCATTCAATAACAACAAGGTACCACACTATCGACATGAAATAGCTGCCGTTCGTTTTCGAATCAGCTTGGTTTGAAGGAAAGCAAGCGTTCGAAGTACTAGACCTATCGTATTTAAACTTCTTGACATATAATCGCATTCTTATGTTCGTTTCGCAGGCATAGTCAGTGATTCGAAACTCCACGAACGCCATGAATGCAGCAGCAGCAGCAGCAGCGATCATCCTTGTGTTGCAGTTCGCAGCACCAGCAATGGAAACGGAGGCGTCGGAATTGCCGTCTTACTGCGCAGCGCAGCTCGTCCCCCGCGCAAACCTCACCATGTGCGTCACGGGGCTGAGCCAGGGCGTCGTTGTCATGTCGCGCTGCATCCGCGACGATCCACAGCAGCTGTGGAGCCGGAGCTCACGCGCCGGCTACCGCGATCCTGATGGCCGCGACGCGTTTGTCATCGTCAACTTATGGTCCCGGCTTGCGCTCCAGCACGGGCACGAATCCGGCAGCGAGATCAGTTGCGGCTCCGTGCAGCGCGTAAACTCGTCGCTGTGGACGATGGCATCGGCGTCTCGCAGCTATGTGACGCTGCGGAGCTATGATAACCCGGAGCTGGTCCTGGATATAGCTCACGGGGATTGGACCCATGGCGGTGTGAGAGAAAACAGTTTTCTAATCGCTCATCCTTACAACCACCAGGAGAACGAGCAATGGGCTTTCATAAACTCTGTATGCTAGACAAATCAGTACAATAAGATTCAAGTGAAATCTCGATTGACTTAATAGAAAACCAAGAGATTGATCTATGCCAGATTCCTGGGATGTTGATTGAGTCGGTCCTCATCCTCGTCTAGAGCATCCTTTGCTGCAAAACTCTGTTTTTTCTCAGAGTCTAAGTTTCGTACACACCTGCGTCGACAAGTATCTCCGAAATCCTCGAAACAACCCACGCATTTGCTGTCACCGAGTGCATTGGCTGCATTGTATATACGAGCAGAAAAGAAAAAAAAATCTTTCAGTCCACTTTCTGGAAGGAGAGTTAAAAGAAATCAAGAATGGCAATACACAAGAAGCTGCTGATCACTTTCAAAAACTTTAAAATACCGAGAAAGGGCATCCGCTCGTCCGGAATGCCCAGCTTTTTATAACAAAACCAAGAAACTGCATCTTTACATTCTCTACTTGAATATATAGCAGTAGGGAAGTTCTCCTCTGATCAACTTTGGCTATGGAGTGAGGCAATCGATCAGCAATATCGTTGTGCAGTACGTTACTTCTTCCAGACTTTTAGTTTTCCATCGAAACATGGCAATGCTTCCATGGCGATGGTCTCCATCCAAATTGTATGCTGTTCAAAGTTCTTCCTTTTCCTGCAGGCAAACAGTGATTCGATCACCCTTCATGGAGAAGAAAACCGCCGCGAATCTTGTGCCACTGCTGCTGCTGCTTGTAGCAATATCAGTCAGACTCTCCAAGAATCGAGCAGAGGCGTCGTCGTCGGCCTCGGGGCCTTACTGTGCGGCGCAGCTCGTCTCCAGCGCAAACCTCACACTGTGCGTCACGGCCTCCAGCCGCGTGGTGGTCATGTCGCGCTGTGCCGACGGGCATTCCTCGCAGATGTGGATCCGGAGACCACAACCCCGCGAGGGCCACAGCGCGACTCTCATCGTCAATTACTCGTCCCGGCTTGCGCTCCAGCACCATGCGGCGGGCAACAGGATCACTTGCGGCTCGAGCTCGCAGGGCCTAAACTCGTCGCTCTGGATGATGGACGGGGTCGGGGAGAGATACCTCGCGCTGCGGACATACCAGAACTCGGAGATGGTCTTGGATATCTATCACGGCGATCACACCCATGGCGGCGTGAGAGAGAATAGCTTTCTCATCACTCATCCCTACGACCACCGTGACAACCAGCAGTGGAGATTCATAAACCCTGCGTGTTAGACATTCCAGTCAAGGATAAGTCAACATAGTCAATGTAAAGTCAAACAAAGAATGGCGCTTTCGTTTAAAATTTTTTGAAGGCCATACGTAAACCCTAAGTCTCCAAGTCTTCCACCGCCCAAATTCTTGCCATTCTCCTTCTCCAGCGCGCGATGAGGAGCGCGATCAGCAGCGACGCAGCGGTGATCGCCGAGAAGGCGCCGATCGCCGTGTTGGCGACGACCCTCAGCGCCTTGCGGGAGGAGGAGGATCCGCGTTGGATGACGGGAGGTAGTGTTAGGGTTCTAGAGGACTTGATCTTGAGGAACATCACCGACGCGTATCCGTGGCGCAGGGGCTCGATCGCGACTGTGTAGAGGGCGCTGACGCGGTAGCAGGCGCTGGCTTGTTCTTGGGTTGCAAACTGGTGGAAGAATGCCGCGACGCAGGTACAATCCGAGAGGCAGGATTTCTGGCAATCCGTGGCGGAGAGATTGGAGGTCCCTTGCATGAAGTGGAGCGGCAGATAATCGTAGCCGCGAGCTTCCACGAACTGGTGAGGAACAGCAGCGCTACCGTTGCATCGATCCTCCATGGACGAGACTTCCTCCGGGACAGAGCACGGGTTTTTCCCATTGGTCACTGGCTTCAGCTTGAGAGTGGATGGATCAAAATCGAGGCAGGCGCAGGTTTTCTGCAGGATAACTCCATACTTTCCACACTCACCAATGCTCATTCTACTACCGACGACGATGGAATCGCGCCTTCGAAAGCTCTGCCAGAAGCGCACCTCGCCATCGTGTTGGAGCTTGAGGAAAGATCCCGGGAAGCAGAATGGCGCTGAGCTCAAGCTCTTGAATCTTAGCGGAGCGTCTAGCTTGCTATATGCGAAGAGAGTGCAGCCTTCGAGCACCAGGGACGCTACTTCATGGCTTCCCAGGTCCCAGATCATGTAAGTTTGTGGCGTTCCAGGGGCCTGAGCGAATCCAACGAGAGCGTGAGGCTGGAGCTCGAGATAAAAGCTTCCAGGGCTTTTGTTGGTGGGAGAGGCACTGGAGACGATCCTGGTTCCAAGCTTTAGTACCTGGTTGACGAGCAGCGAGTCCGTGGGGTGGTCGAAGCTCTGCCAGACTATCTCGAACTTCTCGCGGTGGAGAACGAGGTTCCCGGTTACATAGAGCACCATAGCCACGACTCCTTGGCCGGAGGTGTTGGAAGACCATACCTGGAGAGATCCCTGGCTCAGGACTAAGTTTCCATCGTCTCCAAATGCGAGGGTCGCATTGGCGGAGACTGGGAAGTCGCGGCTGGCTTGCCAGAGGCTGGTGACGGTGGTAGAACAGCTGCAATTTACGTCCTTGAAGTCGGGCTTCCAGATCGACAGGTAGAAGGATGGAGGGAGTGAAGGAGGGGCGCAAGTTTTCGTGAAGCCAAAGCTGTAGTTGGAGGCCTGGATGATCGCCGGTTGGGGATTAATCGATGGATCGATCGTCCACTTCGAGTTGACAGGGACTTCAACAACTTGGAAAGGCTGAGACGCTGACGATGTGGAGAGCAAGAAGAGGATCAGAGGCAGCAGAACCATGGCCAGGGATCTGGAATAAAAGAAGAAAAAACGAACTTGCAAAGACAAAGATCGTTGAATAGCCTGAAAACGAACACTTTGGACGAGAAGAACAACGAACACCATTGTCCCTTTCGTGGACGAGAAGAACAATGTGAAAAAGGAACACCATTGTCGAGCAATGCTTCGATTAAACCGCCACGTGTTTGTGCCACGTGGGTTTGCATTAAGTGCCACGCTGGCCTGGGCGTTTTAGGGTTTATAGCATTTTGGAAGAAATGGGCGAGATCGTGGAGGACGTGCCGCTGCCGCTGCTGTTCCAGCGCGCGCAGGCGCTTCACACGCGGAGCACTTCGTCCCAGCTCGATCCGGTATGTGTAGCGCCTCCTCCGCTGGAACGTTCTCGTGATGCCTCGCATTTTCTTGTCTAGGACGAGCTCAACAAGGGAATTAGGTTGCTGCTACAATGCCAGGAGATGGTGGACAAGCTCGCGATCTTCTCCAGCAACGAGAAGAAGGAGGATGTTAGCACTTCCGACCTAAAGTATTTGCTGGTAAGAATTTTTGCTGCTCTCCTTGTTTTTGTTCTCTTAGCTTTGCGCTTTGATCGAAGGTGGAGTATTATCTAGGCGAGCTGACTGAGAGGACTCCAGCTACGGAACGTATCGATGTTGTTAGAGCTGCAATCAATCATCTTAAGGTGATCTTTCATTTGTTTTCTTGGTTTGACAATGATTTTTGAGATGTTTTAGACCTTTGTTAGATCCTGCGAGCTTCTGGATCTTGTACCCGAGGGTGAATTGGTGGCATTGACACGCGACACTCCTGTTGATCCTGCAACGCGAAGAGCTGAGAAGGTCTTTTCCTTTTCCTTTAAAAAATTTTCTTTTTTCTAGCAAAGGCATTTGGATTTTTTCGCAGTCTCTTAACTTCGCTTGTGTAGATAACACGATTCAAGAGGCAGCGAGCTGCAGAATCTAAGCTGCAGGAGATTAATGAAAGGAAGGAACGACGGAGACGTTCCATGCAAGCAGCTGGGAAACAAGTTGTTGATTACGGCGAGGAAGATATTCCAGATGGAGACGACGAGGAGGAGCGAGAAGTACGTTTTCTTTTCGTTTTTCCTCGTCCACACCAGCGAATTAACGTCTTGATTTCTCTTTGCAGGCTTGGTTTGTCCAATTATCTTTGGCAGTGTCTAAGGTAATTCACTCGTGTGTGTAGACTGTGGCAAATGAGCTTTTACTTGCAGGCGGTGGATCTTTTAGAAATGCTTCAACGGGAGGAAACAATGCTATTAGCTGTGAGAAAGGAAAACGAGGTTTGTGCGAGTTCCGGTTTCGTCTCGTATTAACCACCTTTTCCCTGCAGAACGGAGGTGAGTTTGCTCAAGCCGTTCTTGACGAGAGACACGCTAAAGCGGAGGCCTGGCATCGTGAGTCCGCCACCAAGTCGAAGGTGTTGAGACCAGCGCAACCGATAACCTGTGCAACTTTCGCCCAGGATGTGATTGAAGGGAGAGCAAATATTTCCGACGGTCACCAGCACAGCCATCAACCTCTGTTCGGCCCGGCCAGTCTGGTTGGCAGCAGCATAACAACTGAGAGGGAACGACTTGCAGCGCAGGTCTTCCAACCCAGTCACAGGTTTCTAGTTTCTTCACCTCCTTCGTTTTTCGTTTTTCGTTTTTGTTCTGTTGGCTCAGTCCCGGTTTGGCGGTGGTGCAGCTTGCCGAGCATGAGCATTGAGCAGGCGGGGCTGAAAGAGATGGAGATGATGCGGAAGTGGCAAGAGGGGAACCAGCAGCTGCAGCAGGAGTCCAAGTCGACCTGGCTCGAGGAGGAGAGCAAGGACGGGAGTGACGATGAGGCAGAGGAGAGCAAGCAGCGAGCGTGGGACGACTGGAAGGATGAAAATCCTCGTGGCTCTGGCAACAAGAAGTTGACGCCTTGCGGGTGAAAGATGCGTGTCTTGTTTCTTTTTCTTCTTTATTCCAACGCATAGAATAACATCGGGATATTCGTTATTGGCAGCTATGGATAACTTTGCATGGTATAGCTGCAGCAAGAACTTCGAGGGTTTATGTTTGCGTGAGCATCCAGTAGAATGGAAAGATGATATTGTTGCACAAGCAACGCCAGAAGTGGGAGTGCTCGCGCGCAGTCGAGCAGGAAGAACAATGTTGAGTGAGTGATTGCTTTGTCACCGATTGCGTGTTTCAACCTGCAGGAATCCAGAGCAGCTCGGCTTGAGCGATCATCGGCTCTTGCTTCTCTCTCGGGAGAGTTTCATGGAGTCGCCTTGCAAGGCGTTGCGTGCTGCACTCCTTCTGGCTTACCTCAAGGATGACGGCACTCGCGTGGACGACGACGACGAGAAGTTTCTCTTCACTTTTATACGATCGTGGATAGAGAGGATCCATGTTGTTGTCGTGCGGAACTTGAACGTCGAGGTCATCGTATGCTCATCTAATCAAAGAACAATATTGTGGAAGAAGGGCCACCCTTTGAAGGATATAGTGTAAGTTCGTTGCCTTCTATATTTTCTTCTTCCTTCCGAAAAGTTTTTTCTTCTTTTTTCTTGCTTCAGGAGGCCGAAGCTGTCCTGGAAGATGATCGGCCGGGAGACGATGCGGCTTGTAATTTTTGCAGTGATGACTATCACAAGAGAGCTCTGGAGCTGTGGTTACTGTCCAGGCGTAGAATGGATGTGGATTAAAAGAAATCAGGAAGTGATGACATTTCAAGTTGATAAAAGAAAGAACTTTTTTTGCAAAGCCACTGAGAGATACGTTGGAATGTGGGATTCTTTTAGGGTTTATTGCGCTGTTCTTGTTCCTCTCCATTCAAGTGTGATATTGTGCGCACAAGGAGCTCTTCTTCCCAGCTCGATCCGGTATGTGTAGCGCCTCCTCCGCTGGAGCGTTCTTGCGTGATCCTCGCATTTTCCTGTCTAGGATGAGGAATTAGGTTGCCGCCACAATGCCAAAGCGTTGAATTGAAGCACTTGCTTGGAACTTTTTTTTTTTTTTCCCTCGTTATTTTAGTTGATTGAAGTTGGAGTATTAGGCGAGCTAACGCCTAATACTCAGATCTTGTATTCTTTTCTTCTTTTGTTTTGGGAAGTCTTTAGTTTTTTGGGGCCTTTGTAAGATCCTGTGAGCTTCTGGATCTCATACTGGAGGGTGAATTGGTGGCATCGACACGCTACTCTGATCCGACGAGCTGAAAAGTTTTCTTTCTTTCTTTTAAAATCTTTTTTTTCCCATCGTGTTTTCGTCGTCGTAATCAACAACTTGTGTTCCAGCTGCTTGCATGGAACGCCTCCGTCGTTCCTTCCTCTCATTAATCTCCTGCAGCTTAGATTTTGCAGCTCGTTGCTCTTGAATCGTGCTACCTACAAAAACAAAGTTATGACACTACGGACAAACGAAGATATTCCAGATGAAGAGAAGTAAGCTCTCTTTCTTTTTTCACGCCAGGAATCAACGTCTTGGTTTCCTGTCCAATTATCTTTGGCAGTGTGCAAGGTAAATGCACTTGTGTGCAGGCGGTGGATCTCTTAGAAATGCTTCAAAGGGAGGAAACAATGCGGAAGGAAAACAACGAGGTTTGTGCGTGTGTGTTCCGGTTTCGTCTCGTATCAGCTACTTTTTTTTTGCGCAGGATTTGCTCAAGCCGTTCTTGATGAGAGACACGTCAAAGCCGAGGCCGGAGGCCATCACCAAGTTAAAGGTGTTGAGACCAGTCACCTGTGCAACTTTTGCCCGGGATGCAATTGAAGGGAGAGCAAATATTTCGGACGGTGCCAACCAACCTCTGTTTTGGCCCGGCCAGTCTGGATGGCAGCAGCATAACAGAGCGACTTGCAGCGCAGATCTTCCAACCCAGTCACAGGTTTCTAGCTTCTTCACCTTCTTCGTTTTACGTTTTCTCCTTTTTTATCGATGGCTAAATCCCGGTTGGTGGTGGTGCAGTTTGCCAACCATGAGCACTGAGCAGGCGGGGCTGAAAGAGACGGAGGTGATGCGGAAGTTGCAAGAGAGAAACCAGCAGTTATTCCAAGTCGACCTGGGCTCAAGGACGGGAGTGACGATGAGGCAGCGATGGAAGGATGAAAATCCTCGTGGCTCTGGCAACAAGAAGTTGACGCCTTGCGGGTAAAAAAAGCGTGTGTTTTCCCCCCCTGCTTCTTACTTTGATTAAAGCTTGTCTTGCTTTCCAACAAAGATGCTCGATCTGTAGGGGACTGTGTACTTGCGCCATGAGTGAGATTGAACTGCTCACCTGTCCTCGTACACTGCGGATTTGATATGGTTGCAGCAGCAGCAGCAGCCAGAAAGATTTCAAGGTTCGTTTCTATACAAATCGCTTTGTTTTTGTGATGGTTTTCTTTGTGCAGTGCACATGCTTGCGAACATGCTCAGGCCGGAAATCTCGATATAGCTGGTTGTGTCTTTAAACAAAAGCCGCCTGGGCCGCCTGGCCACCTCACTCGGCTCCGCATTTGATCCCATCTCTCCCTGTTCTCGTGAATGATGGGAAAAAGAGTGCTGCTAAAAGCCAAAGGAAGCAAAACAGCATCACAGCAAGGCAAAGTCGGAGAGAGAGAGGAGCGGTCTGACACACGCTCCCGGGTACGCCAAATGCACATTCTCTTCTTTTACTTTATTTCCGCCTTCCTTCTTTTTAACTGGAAGCAAGGACGATGTGTGCAGCAAGCAAGGATGGGGATGTCACGCTTTCCTCCTCACCGGTTTTAACTAAAGCTCGCTTCCAACTCTTTCAATCACAGGCCAAGTCTTTGGGAAGAGAACGGTTAGTTATCAGCTCTTGAAAGTTTTTTTTTTTTTTTTTCTTGTTTATGTCTTAAGCTCGCTCTTTCAGATCAAAAGATGGGGATGTCACGCTTTCCTCCTCACTGGTTTTAACTAAAGCTCTCTTCCAAATCTTTCAATCACAGGCAGGTCTTTGGGAAGAGATGGTTAGTTATCAGCTCTTGAAGGTTTCCTTTTGTTTTTGTTCGTTTCTTAACTTAAGCTCTCTCGCTTGCTCTTTCAGATCAAAGGATGGGGATGTCACGCTTTCCTCCTCACCGGTTTTAAGTAAAGCTCTCTTCCAGCTCTTTCAATCAAAGGCAAGTCTTTGGGAAGAGATGGTTAGTTATCATTTTATGTTTGTTTTTAACTTAAGCTCTCTCGCTTGCTCTTTCAGATCGGGGAACACATGCCGGATGGGGATGTGTTTGGCATCATCTACTTCTATTTTCTTCGGCTTCTGGTAAAATCCGTTGCCAGTCTTTGCCCGCTTAAGTTCGCTGCTCTGGGATGGCCTGGTCTCGTCTGGCCAAGTTGGCCGACAAACCATGTGCTGTGCCATGTGCCCACCATTGCCATGGCTGGCGAGCAGCAGGGGGAGAAGCAGTAGAAACAGGAACAAAAGAATGGGAGGGAAAGAGATGAGAAGGAGAAGAGAAAGGAAGAATAGGGAGGAGAACACGGGCAGTATAGAAGTTTAGTAGTATCCTAGGTGCGCTAGGAGGAATATCGACGAGCTGGAATAGCAGCAGGCAGGACAAAAGGGATGAAGTGGTCGAGGCTCAAAGCTCCGGGTAGGGAATGCTGAAGGAAGCAAGCGGATTGAATTGGTTTCCGTTTAGGATAGGGTGACAGCAGCATCGTTTGTAGCTGGGATAGGCAGGCAGCGGAGAGTGAAGAAAGATCAAGCAACGAGCACGGGGAAGTGGTCTCACTATGGCTGAAGTCATTTTGCAGTTGCTCTTCCAGTCGCTGCTTGACATCGTGAACGATATCAGCATGTACAGGGAGTACATAAAATCGCACCGGAAGGAGTCCGTGAGCCTCGCCAGGAGAATTAAGCTGCTAGGCCCCTTGTTTGAGGAAGTCAGGGATCTCAAGGAGCCGCTGCCCGAGGGAGCGCTCGCGTCGTTCCAGGCGCTCAAGAGCGCGCTAGAGTTCTCCAAGCAGCTGCTGCTCCAGTGTCACAGCGGGAGCAAGCTCTATCTGGTAACAGAAACAATTTGCTCTTGGATGTGAAAGGAGCTGACGTTTGCAGGCTTTTGGAATCAGGTGCTAGAGGGAGAAGCCGTGTCCAGTGCGTTTTGCTCGGCGGTCGTCAATCTCGGGCAGGCTCTGGACGAACTTCCTTACAACTCCTTGTTCCTGTCGGACGAAGTTCACGAGCAGGCACGCAAAATCTCTCCTTGATCGTCTCAAAGTGGCTGACAAACTGCTGCTGTAATGTACAGGTTGTGCTTGTGCATTCGCAATTGCGTCGAGCCAAAGGCAGACAAAGCTCTCTGGATTCACAGCTTTCGGAAGATGCAGTGACCGTCTTGGGCGGAAACCGAGACAGTTGCAAGCTGGCTCTGGAGAGACTGGCTGGGAAGTTGCGCCTGAGAACAATGTCCGAATTGCAACAGGAGTCACAGGCACTGCAAGCCATGTTTGCTGGTACGAAGCGTGACGAGAACATCGACAAGGTATACGCGTTGCTGGGAAAACTACAGGAGCTTGCACTGTCCAAGAACCCGGAGGCAGCCATGGTGGAGACACCCGAAGCTCCTGCGGAGAAGCCGGCTCCTCCGGCCATTCCAGAGGACTTCCAGTGTCCAATCTCACTGGAGCTGATGAAGGATCCAGTCATCGTCGCCACGGGACAGGTTAGTGGTGTTTTCTCGTGAGACAAAAGCTCCGAGCCGAGCCTTATTCTTTCACCTTGTTCTTACACACTTTTGCTGGTGGCTGGCAGACTTACGAGCGAGCATCGATCCAAAAGTGGCTAGATGCCGGACACAAGACATGCCCGAAGACGAGACAACCTCTCACGCATCTGGTACTGACGCCAAACTACGTACTGCGGAGCCTCATTGCTCACTGGTGCGAGACACACGGCCTGGAGCCACCGAAAGGATACGGCAGCAGCAGGCCGAGCGGGAAGCTCAGCAGCAGCCATGGGATAGACGTACCGCATGCAACGGACTTAGTGGTTGTAGAGGCCTTGGTCCAGCGCCTCGCAACCGGCCAGCTCGAGGAGAAGCGAGCAGCAGCGGGGGAGCTACGCTTGCTCGCAAAGAGAAGCATAGAAAACAGGATCAGCATCGCCGAGGCCGGAGGGATTCCACTCCTGGTGGAGCTGCTCTCGACGCAGGACAAGCGCACGCAAGAGCACGCGGTCACGGCGCTGCTCAACCTGTCCATCCACGACCAGAACAAGGGACTGATCGTTCTAGCCGGGGCCATCGAGCCGATAGTGGAAGTTCTACGTGGTGGCAGCATGGAGGCCAGGGAGAACGCGGCGGCGACGCTGTTTAGTCTCTCCGTGGCGGACGAGAACAAGGTGACGATAGGAGCGTCTGGGGCGATACCGACGCTGGTGGATCTCTTCAACAGCGGGAGCTTGCGGGGGAAGAAGGACGCGGCCACCGCGCTCTTCAACTTGTCGATATACCAAGGCAACAAGGCGAGAGCTGTCCGGGCGGGGATAGTTCCGGCGCTCATGAGAGAGCTGCTGGACACTCGGGCCGGGATGGTGGACGAGAGTTTGGCGATCCTGGCCATTTTGGTGACGCACCACGAGGGGAGGGTGGCGGTCGGGAATGAGTCGCCGGTGCCCGTGCTGGTGGAGCTCATCAGCTCCGGCTCGGCCAGGACGAAGGAGAATGCTGCCGCGGTGCTGCTAGCATTGTGTTCTAACGATTCAGCTCACGTCGTGGCGGCGCACCAGCTCGGGGCGTATCTCCCGCTGGCGGAGCTGGCGGTGAATGGGACGATGCGAGCGCGGCGAAAGGCCGGGAGTTTGCTCGAGCATCTCTGCAAGCAAGATGAAATGGCCGAAGTGGACAACGTCTTGTAGCGAGTGCTCTCACGCAGCAGCGCAGCGGTGAAGAGAGGGAAGTTCTCGGTTTTTTTTTTCTTGGTTCTTCTCTTCTTTTTTCGCGTTGGGTGGTGTAAGTTCTTCCCTTGCTCCTCCGTTTTTCTTTTTTTTCTTCGTTCCCAATTTTCTTCAGGATTTCACGATGCTGAAGCTTTAACCATTCGACCTGGTGGTTGCCGAGACAATGGCGAGCCGAAAAAAAAATAACAAACAAGGCCAATCGGACAACCAACCAGCCAACAAACAAAACATTCTTTGGTTTTCTCTCTCTTTCTTTTTCCTCCATTTTTTTCTCGCTGAAAGCAGCGAGAGATGTGTTGTGCTGTACAGCAAAAAAGGAAACTTGGCATTGAATAAAACTTCGCGCGATGATGGAATAAACAACACTAAAGAAAAGAGCAAAGGAAACCTTTGTGTGTTCCAATCATTTGCGTGACAACTGTTTGTTCATCCCATTCATTCATCCGTCCGGTATGGCTGGCCGGCACTAACCATGGAAAAATATTATATCGATCTTTAGCCACCAATGTCGCGTCATGAAAGCTCTCCCTAGCTAGCATATCTTTTTGGTCGAAGTCTCCAGCTCCTGGAACACTTAAGGCTGTCCGTGTTGATCGCCGAAATGGTGAAAGAAAGTCCTGTGACAAGTACAGCAGTAGTATTCCTCTCCACAACGAGAAACTTAAAGAACTCTCTCTCTCTCTCTCTCCATACCTCTAAGTTGGATCCAGCAACCTGTGATAAGTAGTTCTCTTTGGTGAAGAAACGTGGTCCATACCTCTAGTTGGATACAGCAAATTCACTTTGCCTTTGCTTTTGCCTTTTCGGTTGTCAAGGGACGCGGATGTAAGTTCGAGGGCGATGTTGGTTCTCGGTCAATTCTATGAGATGTCAATGAAGAGCGCTGCTGCTGCCCGTGCTTGCCACTGTCCCTTGTCAAGCTGGTCTCGGTCTCTTTGCTTCCTTCCCGAATCACAACTTGACTGCAGTACGTGGGATCCACATTTCCTGGCGACTGGAAGCTCGTTGGTTGCAACTGCACTGCATCAAAAGTACTGTTAGAGAAAAACAGAAGAGAAAATGAAGAACACGAGATGAAAGCACGAACCTGCGGAAAATGACGCCTGTAAGCCTGAAGAGTCTCTGAGGACAGGCCAAAGCAATGAAGGAACTCGAAAAACTTGGACTGGGAGAATAGAGAAACGCGCTGCCAGAGAAGATACGTCAAGTCTTTCGCCTGTCCCTTCAATTCACCCAGTTTCCGGTCAATTTCCGGTTCGTAGCTCGTCACAAACGGCTTAATAAACGTAGTTTGTCCCCTGAAAGTATAAATTTCGCTCCTTACAGTACGAAAACAAAAGAATGTAGCAAACTTTAGTCTTGGAATACCACAAGGAAACTATAAAACGAAGCTTTGCTTCATCGTACATCGGAAGCCTACAGCAAGCAAAGACACCTCACTGCTTGCTATTCTAGCTAGCTCTGGATCTTACCAGGAAAATCGGTTGTTCTTTCGACAAACGTCACCGCCGCAATGAGCACCCTACAAAACGAGCTAGTTATAGCTGCGACAACAAGAAACAAAGTTTCAACAGTTACCAGCATTGGCACGAAAATGTATTTTCTTCCTCCTTGTCTGCTTTTATCTTCTCGATGCTCTTGAAACACTGGATAACAATCCTGAAAAAACAAGCCGGATATGAAGGAAGTCACAAACTCCGAACACCTACGTGAGAGTTCTGATGATGAAAGACAAGCTCTATGCCTTGTTCTGATGAACACCCCAAAGCCCGAGCTTTCTCCTTCTATGGCCTGTCCTCCCCGTGAGAATCCGACATTGGTCCCCTAAAGAAAAAATCCGACATTGGTCCCCTAAAGAAAAAATCACGATACACAACTTATGCGGGTAACAACGAAAAATACGCATACTTTGCATACTTTGCAAGCGTCAGCAAACTTACGGAAGTCAGGATAGATCTCTGCTTCCGCGTCCAGATCGCCCAGGTGTGTGTGAGCTCGGTTTGCCTGAAACCAAAATATAAAAACTGCTGAAAGTTGTCAAAGCAATACCTTGTAAAATCGATCCTCCCATTGTGCAACCATTCCCAGATGCTGATTATTCAAGACCGGAGCTTCTCGACGTGGATTGTGGCCGGCTCCTAGCGTACAAAAGATAAATGAAGGTGTTGTCTTCGTAAGTTCAAGATATGCACCTGAATGTTCATGATAAAATTGCCGTCCCCATCGATATCAACAACAGGGATACCATGCGACGCAGCAGCCCCACCAGGAGCGGCAGGGAGCCCAAATCTCATTGCTCTGAGACCCGGAACACAAAGAAAGAGTAAAAAACTTACCAGAGAGGTTTTTAATCTAGTCTCCAAACTCTCACCTCCAGAAGGCAGCCATCGACGAGGCACCTCGTGTTTCATTGCGCAGCCCCACATCTGATGCTGCTTGAGTGGAATGTCCTCATTTGGCGATGGAGCGCGTCACCTCCACGATCTTTCTTCGCGGTTCGAGCAAACGATCCATAGAGCAAACCCTTAGCCCTACGTCATTGGCTTACCTTTTATCCTTTGTCCAATGCAAGATGACCCCATTTCACGCACAATGGAAATCCGTTCTTCAGTTCTTTTTTACACTCGCGATATCCTTATTCTCTTCAGCATGTTCATTGTGGTTATCCGGGTAATTTGTCTTAATCAATGTATTGTATTTTAGCATCTCGAGCAATGAAATGATATACCTTTGCTCCAGACTCTAGCAGCAAGTAAGGTAACCATCATCATTGCGAATGCAGGGCCTAGTCAAAGAAGACATTGGTGGCAGCCATTGTGATCCCATTGAATGCAACAAGGTCTAAGGACAAAGCTGGAGGAGCAATCAAGCTTGCCCGAGTAGTAGACTCCCACACACTGGTCCACATCTGGAGCGCCTCACAACTTTGCCAGCCACCGTCCAATTTTGTGGACATGATATGGCCGTGGAAGCCAATCTTGGTGCAAGATGGAGAGAACTAGCACGAAGTGGCCTGCAAAATTTCACCAAAAATACTCTAGAAAGTATAATTAGATTCTTCAAGTTGGAGATGAACTCATGGGAGCATGCACTCAGTTTAGTTTAGATTATAGTTATAGTTTTATTCTCAAGATATTTAAATACACATACTCGGCAACGAAAATTTTCTTGATCTCAACTACTAAGTATTGTGGCCCAATGTATAGCTATTAACCTTGTCTCCTGCATGGAACTTTAGATGTTTGCTAAGAGTGATGGCTAACCTATCCCAAGCCATAAGAAACTTGAAATGTGGCTGCTCCTACTCACAACTATGGTGCTTAGCTATGCTTGACCCTACTTTGTTATGGTGCATGGCTATAGAGCAGCCGAGCTGGAGTTGCATGGCCGTGCTTAGGCAGCTATGGCTGAGAGATGGAGCTGGTACAAGCAAGAAATCAAAATTTTCAGGAATCAAGAGCTTTACCTTGTATGAGAGAGGGAAATCTTCACGGACTGGCCACAATCCCTTGCAAATGTAGTGATTTGCCAAGCAAATCTGCCACATTGTTCCCAATAGTGCCATCATTGCAAGATCAGCCATCTCATCCATGTGAGTATATCCAGTGGGTTGGTAACCACCATGCCACACTCCTTGCACTTTTTGAGGTTGACTTGTCCATCCCCATGCTGAACAATCACACGATCTCCAATTGCAAGGGCAGAGCTAGAGCTGGGAAGTTGTGGCTAAGAGTTATAGTTGGGAGACCATTGCCAAGCTGGACATGGCTGTGCTAGAGTTGGGCGGCCATGGCCATGCTGGAGCTAGAGCTAGAAAGTTGTAGTTAAGAGTTGGAGTTGGGTGGCCATAGTTGAGTTGGCCATGGCTATGCTAGAGCTGGAGCTGGGAAGCCATGGTTGAGAGCTAGAGCTGGGAAGCCATGGCCGAGCTAGTGCTAAAGTTGGGCAGCCTTGCTGTGGTGTTGGAGCTGGATTGACTTGGGTATAGCCATGGTATGGCACTGCTAAGAGAGTGTTCTAGCTAGATCTAAGTGTTGGCTAGAAGCTAGAGAGGAGCGTATTGGTCAAGATGGATAGAGATCTATTGCATAACCCTAATGACAAATGACAAAGTGTTGTATTTATACTATTTGAAGATTAGATATTAAAATGTTCTATAGCAAACTCAAAAATAAAAGTAGTAATTTTTAAAATTTCTTGAGAGAATGTGATATTTACAAATTGTCCATCTTCAAAGTCAGGAAATCTTTATTCTTTTGGGATCACTTCACAAAAATCATTTTAAATCTCTAATCTAACAGATGTATAAAAAACACTACATAATATTTATATTTTATAACAGTATTCTTTTTTATGTTTTATTAGTTTCTTAACAGCCTAGGGAAAATATAAGTTATAAATTTTTTCTGATGCATTATTTTTTATTTATTTTACCTATTTTGATGAGAATATATACTCTTCAAGATTTAAATGCACATTTTCTCCTTAAAATTATATATATATATATATATATATATATATATATATATATATATATATATATATATATATATATATATATATATATATATATATATATATATATATATATATATATATATATATATATATATATATATATATATATATATATATATATATATATATATATATATATATATATATATATATATATATATATATATATATATATATATATATATATATATATATATATATATATATATATATATATATATATATATATATATATATATATATATATATATATATATATATATATATATATATATATATATATATATATATATTCTACCCTTGAGTTTTGGATTGAGTGCTACTAAATTTCTTTTGCCACTATCACTATTAAGGAGCTTTTTATTCCCTTGAGAGTGAAGCCATAATAATAAATCAATATTATATTGTTTGTAGGATACAGTAATTTTATCTATTGTTATTATTTAATCATTAATCATTTAGCCAAATATATGTAATAAATTTGTGTATAATATACATGAAATTATTTTAGATCGACTTATGTTATACGTCTAAGTTATATCTATTTTAATAAAATATATTAAACAACTTTTTTTTGTTTTTTCGCTAAAGCAAAAGAAATAAATATTTGTCATAGAAAATGGCAGATAAGCACGTTTGCCCACTTGCTGCTAGATCCTTATACCATTCAACTTTCACTAATTCGTGGAGTTTGTGAAAAAGTGAGTTTGTATACAAATTTAATTGGAGCTTTGTGCTTGCGATAAACTCGCTAGAAATCTGCAAGAACTCAAAAATTTTCAAGTCGATCGAGAAATTATTGAGGATGTCCAATAAGGCACGTAAACTCGTGTGTGTGTGCCAGGCCTTTGAAAGTGAAATGATAGACGACGATGAAGATCAAAGGTAAAAGTTTGAGACCTCTCGTCACTCACACTTACGTAGGTGGCGGTTCAAATAAACAACTCATCACCGCGACAAAAGAACTTACATATAAGAGCGACAGAAGAACTGCGTGAACAATCGCAAGCTCGCTACGGGACAAATCCCGATCACTGGAAATGGAACAAATCTCCACAGCCGCAACCTTGGTATCAATTGACATCGAGCAATTCAAATGGAATAGTCCTCGTGAAAATCACCTCTTCTCTTTTCCTTGTTGTCAATCTAGGGCGGTGTTGTGGAGCTCGAGCTTGGATGGCGCCTGGCGGCAGCAACGCTGCTGGCGGTGCTCGGGGCGTCGCTGGGGAGCGTCGGCGGCGTTGGCGGCGGGGGCATCTTCGTGCCGACGCTCATGCTCGTCTGTGGATTCGATGCAAAGACCGCGCCGGCGCTCTCCAAATGTGAGTTTTTTCTTCTTTTCGTGTGTGTTCTTGGATTGGATTGGATTAGATTGGAATGGATTGGACTGGGACTCCAGGGAGAAGAGGATTTTCAAGAACAAGAGAATTTCTTTCTTGATTTGGTGATCTCTTTTTTTGTGGATGTGTGTCCTCCAGGTATGATCTTTGCACAATGTGCTTCCACTGTAGCTTACAATCTCAGGCTGAGATCGTCGCAAACAAACTCGTCGCTCATCGACTATAACTTGGCTCTCCTGTTCCAGCCAATGCTTCTCTTGGGGATTAGCGTCGGTGTGACTTTCAATGTGCTCTTTCCGAATTGGCTCATCACGCTGCTCTTGATCGTCGTCTCTCTCGGTGAGTGCTGGAAGTTTTTCGTGTCTGTCTACGTACAAACTCTTCTTTCTCTTTTGTTTCTCCAGCTATGGCGTCCAGAGCTTTTTCCAAAGGCCTCGAGACCTGGAAGAAGGAGACAAACGAGAAGAGATTGATTTTGGAAGGATCTCTAACACCCGGGCCAGCGAATTTCACCACCTTGGTCCGAACCATAGAATTGTTTATCTTTTTTGTGCTCTCATCGATCTTGACTTTTGCATTGGAAGGATTCTTTGTGGACTACTGTGGAGTGGAAAAAACTGTCTCTTCTCTTCGCGGTTTGGTGCTTGATCACAGGATTACAAGTCTTAAAGGTGCTCTTTCGATCCTTTCATATTTTGTTTTTTGCTTTCTCACAGTTTCTTACACAAAGTTTTTGATCAGGCATACACCGCAAATTGCAGCACAGCCTTCTGGATCTATAACATCTTACAAGTAAGAAAACAAAAAGGAGAAACGTTATTGCGCAAGATCTTCTATCGCTTTCGCTTTTTTCTTTGTTTCCAGGCTCCCGTGACGCTTGCGGTGACTGTCACTCAGGCATTGAGAATGCGTGAACACAGCTCCTACAAGCTACGAGAAAGTTTGCTCGACGAGTCAAGCGAGAGTTCTTCCGCCTCTCTAAAAGCCGCGGGCCGAGCTCTGGACGTCTTTCGCTACGTGTTTTTTGGCGTCCTGGCCGGATCGATCGCCGGCTTGCTTGGAGTCGGAGGTGGCGCGACGCTAGGCCCGATCATGCTCGAGTTTGGAGTTCCTCCACAGGTCGATATCAATTTTTTTCTTCCAGGATCTCCATTTCTTACTGTTGGAACAGACAGCATCAGCCACGGCGACTTTGGCCATGCTGTTCTCGTCATCGCTGTCCGTGGTGGAGTTCTATTTCCTCGGCCGTATCAAAGTGTCATATGGTAATGTTTTCTCGATCGATCGATTTTCCAAAGTTGATTCTTCTTTCTCCAGCTCTCTACTTTGGAGCGATTTGCATCGTCTCCGCGTTTTTAAGCCAGAAGCTTGTCCAAAAGCTACTCAACCTCCTGGGAAGAACTTCAGTCATCACATTCACTCTCGTGTTCGTCATCGTCGTGAGCGTCATATCTCTTGGTCAGTGCAAGCAGTTAGATCCTTTACTCCGTCATTCTCTTCTCATTCCATTTATGTTCTTCGTTTCCTTCTCTCTTGTGTGAAGGCGGTGTGGGAATAGTGGATTCCATCCAAGAGCTCAAGCGCGGTAAGTATATGGGGTTTGGAAGTCTGTGCGCATGAAATTCTATTGCGCTATAATCAAGTTCTTGGCGAAAGCTCTTCTTTGCGCCTCAAAGAGAGCAGAGAACTCTATCGAAATCCTCATTCTTCGAGAAAGTTTCATTAACTTTGTTACGAGAATATGCTTTCGAGGGTTTTAGGGTTCTTCCATGGCGAGGCGATGGGCGGGCGCCTGGAAGCAATGCAGGGCCATGGCGACCTCGGCAGCTCCTCCGGCCGCTCCCGATGCCGCAGCAGTGACGCGCGCTGCGCTGATCCCTTACAGCGAAGGGGCGATCAGATGGGGGGGTAAGAAATACGAAGGGCCCGTGCTGGGGAAGATGAATCTCCTCAAGGGGGAGTATAAGAAGCAGGTCAAGGAGATCCGCAAGGAATTCCAGAAGGAGGTGGAGAAGAAGAGGATCGCCAAGGAGCGGTCGGATGTGGCGGAGCGAGAGAAGGCCTTGCAGCATCGCGAGCAAGAGTGTATTTTGCGGTGGCAGAGGAAAGAGGAGAAGCGGCTCAAGGCGCAGGAGAGGAAAGAGTCCTTGCGCGCTATTATCGTGAGTTCTCTCTTCTTCTTCCTTGGATGTTCTTTCGTGTGTCTTCGATTTTCTCCTGTGGTTTGAGGATGGATAGTGTTTTTGGGAGGATTGATGATCTTGGATGGATTGTTTTCGTGCTTCTTGGATGTTCTCTTGGATTGAAAGAGTGAGGATGGATAGAGTTTTTTGGAGGGAGGATTGATGATCTTGGGTGGATTTTTACAGGACAAGGAAAAAAGGATCAAAGCTGCGAGCCACGCTAGGCAAGTCGCCGAGCACCAAAAGGCCAGGGACGAGAGGCTGGAAGCTCTGCGCGTGTCGAGCTCGTCGTGGATCGAAGAGAAGGATTTGGAGGCGAGGATCAACGAAGCCTTCGTGGATCCCATCCCGCTGCTCAGAGTCGGCAAACCACTGGAAGCATACGACTCTTTCGCAACTCAAGTGCCCAGGTGTGCCATCTCTCACTCAAATTCTCTCTTTTCTCCCTGAAGTTCTAAGTTTTTTCCTTCTTTGCAGTCCCAAGCGACCCGAGGATCCACTGCTCCGAGACGACGATGACGAGCTTCTGAGCGCATTTGGCAAGAAATCTTCTTCCAGGATCACTGGACGTGACATTCTCGCCTCGGCCGCAAGAGCCACGACCAAGACGCCATTCTGATGGAAAGTCTTTAAAAAACTCGCTCGCCGGAATCGAACGCTCGACCCTTTAAAGCCTAACCAAACTAAAACCTAATCGCGGGGTTAGCCAAGAACCCTAGCTCGAGCGAGGATGGGCCGGGGATGCGCGACCGCGCTGGCGCTGGTGCTGTTCTTCCTGGCCATCACCGCCGGCGAGGACGATCGCGTTTCGGATCTATTGCGGCGCCAGGCAGGTTCGAAAGATGGGATTATCGAGCTGGACGATACCGGGATCCGGCATTTGGCCGCGTCGGCCAATCGGCCCTACGCGCTGCTCGTCTTCTTCGACGCGCACCACCTCCGCGAGCGATCGGGCCTGAAGCTGGACGAGCTGCGTGGCGAATTCTCCCTCCTGGCCAGATCCTACATCAAGAACAACGCGGGCGGCAGCGGCGAGTCCAAGATCTTCTTCTGCGCGCTGGAATTCCAGCGCGCGCAGGCCAGCTTCGCGATGTTTGGCGTGAATGCGCTGCCGCACGGGCGCTTCCTCGCGCCGGGCTCGGGGCCGCTCAACGCGTCCGAGTCCATGATGGAGCTCAACGACATGGTGAGATCCGCGGAGGGGATGGCCGCGTACGTGGAGAGCAAGATCAGGCACAAGGTTGGGGCGATCGATCGGCCGCCGCTGGTGTCGAGGAACCAGCTCCTGCTCGTCGCCGCCGCGGCCATCGTCGCCGCTCCATACGTGCTCAAGAAGCTCCTCATCGAAGGCAAGGACACTCCATTCCACAACTCCAAGCTCTGGTGCGTGGGAGCGCTCCTCGTCTACTTCTTCAGCGTCGCCGGGGGCATGCACAACATCATCCGGAAGATGCCGCTCTTCATGCCCGACCGGAACGATCCCTCCAAGATCGTCGCGTTCTACCAGGGATCTGGGATGCAGCTGGGGGCCGAGGGGTTCGCGGTGGGATTTCTCTACACGGTCGTGGGGCTGGTGGTGGCGTTCATCACTCATGTTCTCGTGAGGATCAAGAACAAGACAACGCACAGGGCGATCTTGCTGGTCGGGATGGGAGTTTGCTTTCTGGCGGTGAGATGGGTGGTGGCGCTGGATCACTGGAAGACTGGGTATGAGATCCACGGTTATCTCCCGCGGGGCTGGCTCTAGATGGAAGAACAAGAGGAAGAAAACTCTCGAGGAGGAAGAGGATCTTCACTCGCTACTTTCAGAAACTTATTAACGATTCTTCGACACTAAGAAAGCTCTGGTTCACCTAAAGATCTGTGTCTCTTGGCCATGGCTACTTGTGCCGCTGCCGCTGCTGCTGCTGCTGCTGCTAGTGGTGGTGCTTTTGGACGTGGGATTGGAAAGGCCGTGACTAGCAAGGCGATCAGCAAGGCTGGGAGAGCGCGTGTGGCTTGCAATTGCCACAAGATGTTCGTTCCAGGTGAGAGTGGTAGTGACGTAGTTTCTCTTCGATTTTTTCTTTTGTAGGAGAGTGCTTTGTAGGAAGTTTCAGATTCGAGAGAATAGCAGGATGCCAGGATTCGGAGGGCGGACTCCCGAGGGCCGTGCTGCGGACACGCTCCACAACTTCTTCACCTACATTGCTGTCAAGATCGTTGCTTCGCAGCTAGAGGTACCTTGGAAAGCTTTCGTCCCTTTGGGAAAAAATTTCTTTGCGGGTGCTCTGAAGCTTTGTGTGTTCCAGGACTACAACAAGGAGGCGTACGATGATCTCATGAAGTTCCTGGACAAGGTGCCACTCAAGGACGGAGATAAGTTTTGCTCGGCATTGATGAGGGAGTCTGGCCGTCACAAAGCACTTGGTAAGAGACTTTTTTTTTTTTTTTTCTTTATTGATTCATGGAAGTGGTTTATTAGCATTGAGAATTCTTGAGGTAAGTGAATGTTGAGATTGTTGTTATTAAAATTTTGTTGTGATGTTGTAGGTGAGAGCAGCATATGCAAATAATGATTTTGAGTGGGAAAACATGAAGGAAATGTCTTTGCAGGTATGTTTATTTCTCTATTTTTTATTTGTTATTTTGTGTTTGTTCTATGTTACAGAAAATAGACAATGGTAACACCAAACTAATGAGGGATTTTCTTGCTGAGACAACTGGAATTGAATAATATCAAATTGAATAATATCTTGAGAGCAGGAATGGTATTTTTTGAGAGTGGTCTTTTTTTTTTGAAGAAAATCTTAGATTTTAATTAATTAATAAGTAATACCATTGTATCCATCTAGAATGGCATTCTTAATCTTGGTGAATGCAATCTTATACCATAAAAGTTCTCCAAAACTAGATTTTCTTGTGACCATCAATGGTTTCCTCACCACTTGATAATGCTTTTCATTGGAACTCAAGGCATACCCTTTCTTGATTGTCCTCTTGTTGGCTTGATTCTGGATATGGCTCTCTTCCTCCTCTCCATCGTCTTCCTCCTCTAGGGATTCTTCATAAGTCTCCTCATCAGATTCATCAGAGATGCTCAACTCAACTTCAGTGTTCTTGGATGAAAGCTTGGTGGAGGATTGCTTGAATCTTGAACTTTTGCTTCTGGATTTGGTGGTGTTGCTACGATTGGGATTCCTTTGCCTCTCTGGTTTCTTGGGTGGTACAAATCTAATTCTGCCACCTTTGGTGAATTTGCGCTTGCACGAATTGCATCTATACCGTGGCTGTGAAGCTTTTTTATTGTTATTATAGCAAAATTTGGTGTCAAGGGAGTTGCATCGCGGGCACTTCGTTAATTCTTCATCTTGACATTTATTTTGTGATTGATACTTCTGTACATTGTCACTAATGAATAGAGATTAGAGGTTCCTTACAAGAAAATTCCAAATCATACATACCTTGCCAGGATCCAAACCTAACGAGTAGGGACGGACGAAAAAACCTAAATTCAGTATGGTTGATTTATTAAATCTTATCCTGTTTCCTAATTAAGCTGCAAGATTTTATTAGAATATAATTTAACTATAACATTGTTTTGTTTATAAGTATCATTCACTTATTTATGTTTGATAATAAAATTTAAAAACGTATAAATTAACATGACAATATTCCTCTCTTTTTTTTGTAGAATTTAGGGTTTTTCTCATGGCGATTGAGCAGAGGAGAAGTGAGCGATGCAGCACCTCGTCGCTGGTAAGGGGGATCCAGAGCTTGATCGCCGAATCCCACAGGCAATCCGCGCGGATCGCAGCGCAGGAAAGGGCAGCAGCGCTGTGCCGCAAGCAGATGCTTGTGGATTTCGTCTACCAGGTGAACACGATCAATGGCGAGGGCTACGACTCCATCCCCCAGACCGGGGCAGTGATTGACGCAGCCAGGAGTGGCCAGGGCGCCGTGGATCAATCGCTGGACACCATCGTCACCCTCAACTTGCACGACGCCTATGGCATGGTGGAGCGTGAGGCGAGCGAATGCTGCTCCCACCCGCCATCTCTCACGATCTCCGGGATCAAGAGGATCCACAAGGTCTTGTTCCAGAATCGCGAGGGGTGGGAGAGCGATGCCGGCCAGTTCCGGCAGAAGGACGTGTTTGTGCGCCTGGAAGATGGATCGTTCCACCAGTTTGTGGAGCCGGATCAGATCTCCGCCAAGCTCCAGCGGCTGATAGGAGCGACCAACACGAGGCTGGAAGAGATCTTCCCGATCGATCGCGGCGGCGACGACACTTTTGACGTTGGCAAGCTTCTCGAGGTGGCGGTGACGTTCTTCCTGGAATTCGAGCTCGTTCATCCATTCCGCGATGGGAATGGGCGAGTCGGGAGAGTTTTGCTCGCGTTTCTCCTGTGGAGCATCACTCCAATGGTGCCCAACAACGCCTACCTGGTCGAGAGCGAGGAGATTGTGAGCTATGGCGTGTACCGCAGCTGCTTCCAGGAGGAGGAGACGATCGAGCATGGGATCGAGAGGAGGTGTTACAGGGAAACGCGAGATCCCGGCCGGCTCATAGCCATCTTCACGGAAGGAGTGTACGTTGAATGGAAGAAATTTTTTGAGGCAGTGGGATTGGATTTGCCGAAAACCTTATAATCAAGACAGAATATTTGTTTTTGTGAGAGAGAGATTGAGCGGCCTTTATTGACTAGGAATGATATGAGTGCGCTTGTTTGTGAGAGAATTCTCTTCCAGGGCAAAGCCACTGTTGTTCTCTTCAGATCTTTCCAATTCCAATGTGGAGGCACAGCAGGAGGCTCACTAGAATTGCAAGCACAATCTTGAATGGGAGCTCTGTCATTGATGCTTGGTTCAATGCTACATCTTACCAGGTTTTTGCCTCTTTTCTTCCTTGGGATTTTCTCATGTCTTGATCATGAATCTAAAAGGTTGGGCAAGTTCTTCTCACGCTCCCCAATTCATTTGCTCAGCTGGGATTAGTCTCTGGCATTCTTTTCCAGCTCTTCTATGGAACCCTTGGGGCATGGGCTTGCTACATGACAACTTGGCTGTATATGAACTACAGGAAGAGATTTGAAAGAGAAGCTCTGTACAGTGACAAGCATGAAATTCAGGTCCCTTCTACATTATTGAATCAATCTTGATAATCTTACATGGTTTTGTCTCAGTGGTATGAAGTTTTAGATGGGCTTCTTGGTACATTTTGGAAGTACCTTGGCTTGATATTTAACACTGGCCTCCAGGTGTTGCAAAGTGCTATCACACTTATAGGAGCATCCAAGTAATATCACCTTTTTTCAAAAAAAAATTAAAATTTTCTATGCATTTTATTTTGGACAGCCTTGCCCATATCCTCAATGATCGTCTAGACAAGCGATCATGGACTGTGGTGCTCGGAGCTTGCGTTATACCCAGTATTTTGATCCCCAGAGCTCAAAACTACAGAGTATTATCTTCTGTTGGTATTGTAATGACTACTTACACTGCTTGGTACATGGTTTTAGCTTCCATTTTCCAAGGAAAGGTATTTATTTTATGACCTTCTTATCGATAGAAATCTCACACGATCATGTACAAAACAGGATGGCCCTGTGAAACACAATGCTCCACACTCCTCTCTAGACTACTTCTTGGGAGCTTCCAACATCTTATACGCGTTTGGAGGCCATGGATTGACAATGTAAGTCGGATCTCTTTACTATAACATCACCTCGTTATCTTCACCATCTTAGCGAGCTCACCCATGCCATGAAGAAGCCACAAAAATTTAAGGAGATTTACCTCTACGCGGTTCTCTACATATGGACTCTCACTTTGCCTTCGGCCATCGCGGTTTACTGGACGTATGGAGAGGAGATGCTCCAGCACTCATACGCTCTCACCAGGTTCCACAAGTCCAAGTACCGTGACGTAGCCATAGTTCTCATGATCATCCACCAGGCGAGAAGAAAGAACTTTGTTGCGAAAGAAGATAAACTTGGAAAGCTTGCCTGACCATAGTGCTCTTTGCTGCAGTTCGTCCAGTTTGGCTTCTCGGTGCTTCCGATCTATCTTACGTGGGAGAAGTTTTGCGGGATACACTCGTTGCCAGGACGATACTTGCTCAAATCCGCCGCGAGATTGCCAGTCGTGATACTGGTCTGGCTCGTCGCGCTGATGATTCCCTTCATTGGCGTTATCAATATAGTGGCGGCTGCTTTCTTCACGAGCTTTACGATCTACATTGTCCCGTGCGTGGCTTTCATGGTTTATCACAGAAGTACTTCTGCGCGAAAGGCAAGTTTAGCATTTGCAGTTCAAGCTCTCAATGTTACCTTGTGAGCAGGAGTCCAAAGAGGGGCCTCCTTTCTGGCTGCCGAGCTGGATATGGATATATGCAATCAACGTCGGTGTTGTTGTCTGGATACTTGTAATCGGTGTTGGATTCGGAGCCTGGGCTGGCGTGAGAAATCTACGAAGGAAATTCCACCTGTTTGGATTTTTTACCCGATGTTACGAATGCTGAATCGAAGACATAGTGTACGCATATATAAGAATCGTCGGCAATGATCCTTGAGCTGATAAGAACACCGATCAGAAACTCATTGAGTCGTGCCTGTGAAAACTTACAGCATAAACTAGCATTTTGGTCGATGTTTTGGCGGAGAAGGCAAAGTTTGCTTGGGGCCTTCACCGTTTAGAACGATGAATGCCATCTCCAGGCCCCAAGTAAGATGTCCGTCTAGGTGGCAATGGAACAGCCAAGTTCCTGGTCGCAGACTCATAACGTTAGAAGCCGAATGAATGGGAAGTATCATACCTGGATTGTCAGCCTTGAATCTTAAAGCTATCCAGCCTTTGATTGGAATCAACGCAGTGTTCCTGCGTGGAGGATCCACAAGGTTGAACTTGCGCTCGTCTCGAGCACCGTCAAAGTTGCCGTGCCCCTCGCCAACGATGTAGAAGTCAAAACCGTGGAGGTGAAATGGATGGCTGTCGTTTGCAAGGTTGATGGTCGTCTGGAGAACGAGCTGGACGTTGGCACCGTAAGGAATGACGCTCACTCTCGTTCCAGTCTCCGAAAAGAGATCAGAGATATCGAAAGCCTTGCCAACGTAGTCGTATGGAGCCGGCGGCTTGTCAGGAAAATCGGCCGTGAAGACACCCGGAATCCTGTTGTAATAAGCTTCTAGAATGGACGAAGTCTTCGGTGAGACGAAAGAAACGTTGTTGATGGAGCTTGATAGGCGTAGTCCTGCTGGTCCCGAGCAATTGATGCCTGGAGAGCAAGGCTTTACGTTCAAGCTGACGACGTGAAACAGGCGTCGATCTGCGAACTGAGGAACTTGTTCTGGATACTGTTTCGAGTTTAAGCTCCGCAGCAGCTTCTGGAACTTTTGCCCCAAGGCCTTGTCGTCCGGGTTCGGCAGGTTATGAAGAACTGGCATGAGCGAAAAATTCCCGTGTGGAGTAATGTACTCGATGATGCCAAGAGCTGCTGTTGGCTGGAAGAGAGCACCACCGGATCTCCAAGGCGAGGCTGCCATGTAGTAACTTCCACCGTGCTGGCTTGCCTTGACTAGAACTGATACGGTTTGCCCCGGGGTGATGAGAAACTCGGTGACTGTGAGATGCTTTGTGTAGGATGCGTCGATCTCGACGACGGTCATGGTGTGATTTGCGATTGAGAAGAAGAGGTCCTGTTCCAGTGCAGCATTGATGATTCTCAGGAGGTAAGCTTCTCCTGGTATGAAGCCGATCTTGTGCGTGTTCTCTTCGTGAGTGAATGACTTGGAATAAGAAGTCGCCGAACAGTTAAAGAGAGGCCCAGGCTTCCCGTTGATTATGAAAGCGTTGGACATGTCCGGTGCTCCGCCAGAAACTATAGCTCGCTCCTCCTCTTCGAGGAGATCGTTGACAAACCAATCTCCTGGAGAAGCGACTCGCAAAATCAAACCAAAAGTTTTAGAGAGCTTTGCTTACCAAGGATGATGGTCTCGTCTCTAAATGGCTGGGGAAATGGATACGGCCGCGGTCTTCTGGTAACAGGCTCGATGATAAACGCACCATGAACTGTGCCTCTAAGCCAAGCTGCATGAGCGTGCCAGAAAAGTGTCCCGACTTGATCGACTCTAAATCGATACGTGAACGAGTTTCTCTCTTGGATGGGACACTGAGTTATAAATGCAGGCCCGTCTTGCCAACACGAAAGCCGCTGCTGAACTCCATGCCTACGCACAGGAACACCAAAAAAAAGAAAAGAAGAAAAAAGAAAACCTTAGCTCATGTTTACAAAAACAAATGTATGTTACCAGTGAATAGTGATGTTGCTGCGTATCATATTATGAACTCGAACTATCACTTTATCGCCTTGTTGGATGCGGATGGAAGGCCCGGGAAACTGCCCATTGACAGCAACAATCCTCGTAGCTCTGCATAACTTGTTAACACTCATATATGCGACCTGTCATACACAAAAGACTGGAACGTCATTCTCCAAAGATAACCAGATATACTCACATTAAACTCAAACTTTCTCGTTCTCCCGGCTGCCTGTCGGAAGAAAAGAATGACGCACAGCAGCAAAAACCGTGTTCCAGAGCTCCTCACAAGCTCCATTTGCGTGTTTTTGCGAGCAACACCAATCCCAGCTTATAAACATATAGAGAACGATGGGAGCCGGCAACGCGGTCTTAGACAGCTTTTCCAAGATTCCTGTCCAACTAAGAACAGTGATGAGCTGCGAGCCAGACAATAAGAACGAAGAGCAAGGATCATCATCTACCTCAAAAGCTTCGCATGCCACCAGCAATCATCCATGCTGCCAGAAAAAAAGAAAAAGTTGAAAGAAAGAGATAAAGAAAAAACTCACCTTTTCTCGACCTCGATCCATCACCCATCGCGTACGCTGTGATTCAAAGCCAGCACGTAGACAGCCGTGTTCTTGGGATCCAAGCGAAGAACATTCTCCACCGCCACCGCGCCTCTCCGGCGATCCCTCCGCCCCTTGCACGACGAGAGAACGCACGTCCAGTCCAGCGCGTCCGGCACAAACGGCATGCTGCGCACCAGCTCCTCCGCATTGCCACCATAGCCCGCCCTCCCGAGAAGATCCACCATGCAGCAGTAGTGCTGCTTGCTCGGATCGATGCCAAAATCCACCACCATGGAGCAAAATCGCGCCCACCCGCGGTAGACATCGCCGCCGTGGCTGGACGCGCGCAGCGCCAGCACGAACGAGATCGCATTGGGCGCCTCCTCCATCGCCATCGCCGCGAAGAGCTCCAGGGCGACCTCCCCCTCGCCGCTCCGGGCATAACCCGCGATTAGGGTATTCCACGCCACTATGTCCACGCTGGGCATACTGCCAAACGCCCGCCTCCCCTCCGCCAAACGCCCGCTACCGACGTACGCCGCCAGGAGAGTGTTAAACGAGCAATCGTTCCGCTCGTCCATGGCGTAGAATACGTCTATCGCCTCCGCCAAACACCCCGCCTCGAGCAGGCACGCCATGAGCGTGTTCCACGACACCAAGTCTCGCTCGTACATACGGTCGAAGATCTCCCGGGCGTTCTCCGGTAGGCCGTAGTGTCTGTACGCATCTAGAATGAGATTCCACGATACCATATCACGCTCGGGCATGGAATCAAACGCGTGCTTGGCCTCCTCCAGATGCCCGGATTGGGAATATGCCAAGAGTATAGTGTTCCACGAGACGAGTATTCTCTCTTGCATGGAATCAAACACGCGCTTAGCGCCGTCAATCTTCAAGTTGTGTGCCAGTACGGCTAAGAGAGAGTTCACTGCTACGACGTTAAACTCCGGCAATCGCCGAAAGAGGTTCGTAGCATATTCCAGATGCCCGCTCTCAGCATATGCTGTTAGCATCGCGCAGTAGCACGCGAGATCCCACTCGGGCATGGAATCAAACACGCGCTTTGCCTGGAAAGATTCCCTTTCCTCTCCGTACGCCCATATCATCGTCGTACACGCAATGAGATCCCAGTCGGGCATCTTAGAGAAGACGCGCCTGGCCTGCTCAATATGCCCTGCTTGGGCATACGCCATGAGCATCGTGGTGAAAGATACCAGGTTGCGCTCTTTCATGCCATCAAGAACCCGCCGGGCCTGGTCAAGATTCCCGTTCTGCACAAGTGTCACCAGCATACAGTTCCATGAGACGAGATTCCGCTCGGGCATCGCATCAAAGACGCGCTTCGCATCCTCCAGATGCCCATTCCGGGCATATGCCTGCAGGAGCAGCACCCACGAGAAGACGTTCTTGCGCTTGATGCCGTCGAAGATTCTCCTGGCATCGCCGGGGCTGCCACACTTTCCGTACGCCTCGAGCAGCACATTGCAAAGGAAGGAATCTTCTCCGGCTTGGAGACGGTGCCTGGCGAGCGATGAAGCGGCATTTGCCGCGGGAAGCGTGGTAGAGGATCTAATGAGCTCGATGCATTGGTTCCTGTCTAAAAGGCTTGTCATTATTAATTATGCTTATCACTAAAACTAATTAGAATTAACAACATTTTCCCATACGAGTATTTATATCCTTTAGAATATCACTGTGACCTAAATATTATCTGTGCGATGGTTCCGATGGTGGCAAAGGGAAGCGATTTGGTTGTGTTTGAGGTATTGAGATCATGAACTTCTTTGTGGAATTGCATAGAACTAACGTAAACTCCAGGCTGACAATGGGCGGAGATGGTTTCGCGAGGCCAAGAATGACGAACCCTTTAAGCCCATGATGGAGGAGTTTTGCAAGCGTTTTGGGCTGGCAATGTCCGAGACAACGTTCTACGATCATGGTCTAACTGTCAGTCCAACCGAGGTAAGTTCTCCACTCCTTGTGTGTTTTATACCGAGTTCGCGTGGTTGCTTATCAGGGGATTTACTGGGGAGTGAACTTAGACGCGGGCGACGAGAGCAAGATCATGGTGGCGACCAAGAACAGGAAGGATCGGCCGCTAAGGCTGGTTTACGCATGCCAAGGGCCGAAAGTTCTAAACTCCCCACGCGATTTTCGCGAGAGTTTCACGAAGGAGACGTGGTCGACGACGCTAAAGGAGATTTATGCCCTGATGGCGCAAAATTTCCCAAGTTCCCTCTACAATTACTACTACTATATGGATAGCCAGTGGAAGGAGGTCAAGAAATCGAGCAGTGGAGGCATTCATGAAGATATTTTCGTTAAAGCGGTCAAGCGAGGCGAAAAGGTGGCGGAGAAAACGATATAAATATGTGCATACTTTTGTAAATAATTTTCTTGGCATGCGAAAAACTTAAGACTTTTAGTAACACAAATCTATCGAACGTATGAGAAGCATATTCTACACAAGAATGTATCTTGGACTTTATTTTCAAAATTTGGAGCCCTAGAAATCGGTGATGGCGTTGCTAGCTGCGAGTAGCCCCATAACGCTGCGGACGCCATCTGTTCGATTTACCACTCCCAGGCACCATTTTGGCGGTCGGAGCTCCAGGAATCGCAGCTACATTGTCTCGGCTTCTCTGGGCTTCACCACTGATCCTCGAATCCAGTAAGAAAAGCGTCTCTCTTCTTCCTCTTCTTCTAAGATATGGTTTCCTGTAAGAAAAATAGGATTGAGAGAGTCGCCGATGGATTGCTCAAGGATGTAGCAGCTTTGCTGGTTTATCAGGAGGTTTTTAGAAGCCCCCCAGCCCAGGCATTTCTTAAGCTGCTGCTGGTTCTTCGCAGGAGAGACGGTACTTTGTTTTTTCTTGTGTCTTTGTGCTTCTGGTCTATAAGATTTGTTCTTTGTCCTCCTGTGATAGATGATATAAAAATTCTGGAAGCCTATGGAGAGTTCTTCCGCCTCATGGCAACCGGCAAGCACTCGAGGTAAGTCCAACTTTCGATATGAAAGGTTCATGAAATATAGAAATCTTGCAGCTGGCAGGATTTTCTTCTCGAAGGGATTCTAAAGGCGGATGGGAATCCTTTTGCTGAAGCAGCTGCAAGCAGTGGTGATTCCAGCAGCACTTATGGAGGACGAATCCCGGCATCACTCGAAGCAGCAGCAACCGCAGATCTCGAAAGCTTACAGCGGCTTAGCCTCAATGAATCCACGATGATAAGCTGGGTAAGTTTTCTTTCTTCTACTTGTTTCTTAAGCGTCTTAGTTTCTAGGTGGCAGAGCTCGTGTCGGAAACTAAGCCTCAATGGCGCAATGCTGCATCCTCCAGCCTTGATTCCCGCACTGTTCCAAAGGTAGACGAGAAGAAGACGAATAATATTGTTGGTTTCCTGGTCACAGACGAAGGTAAAAAGCATATCACATCTTGGCCGTGTTCTAGTTCATCGACCCGCTGTCTGACGTAGAAAAGGAAGCGTCCGTGGAGGACAAGATTTTGGTTTCGCCGTCTGAGGAGAAAACCATCAAAACAGAGAGCGATTTTGTCATTTCAGGTGTGACCATGTCTTTGCTTATATGACTCTCAAACTTTGAAACAGAACGGCAACAGTGGCAAAAGAAGATCAGCGGTTTATGGAACTGGTCGGAAGCTGTTCATCTGCTGAAGGATTACCACGCTGAGAATGGTTTTGGTCGCGTTGCACTGTCTCAAGGTTCTAAAGACCGGCTGATAAGTTGCCTGCGCAATCTGAAACTCTGTCCGTGTTGATGCAGTTCTAAAGTTGCGGGGAGGAAAGCTCGTGCCGGACTTTCGATACCTTAAGCCTCTAAGTGAACCGCATCTGACAGTATGGTCCAGGCAGCAAGCAGCCTTGCGTGAAAATATATACCGGCATGTTTCACAGGGCTCTGCTCGTCATGTATTTGTGGTAAGCTCACGGCCCTTTGATTGAAGATAGTGTCGGGAGAAAACTAATTAGAAACGAATGATTTTTTTTCGTGCAGCATGGTCCCTCCGGCTCTGGAAAATCGTGGCTCGTGAAAGCTACTTTGAGCAAGCTATCCGAGGATGCACGCTTTCGGGTGGTGCTACTTCCAAGCAGCGAGTTTAAACAGCTTGCAACTATACTGGAAGAGATGAGGAAGAACAGCCACATCCGGTTTGTTTTAGTGGTAGAGGATTTGTTTCTCCGGTCAGTCGAGGAGAGCTTTGTGCTGCTCAAGGCAGCTCTGGACGAGCATTTGCAGGTACTTCCCATTTCGTTTTTTTCTGGTCTATCTATCCTTACAGAAGTTTATCTTCTCACCACTTTTTTACAGGAGTGGCCGCGTAATGTTCTCCTCTGTGCTACGAGCTCTCGTTCCGACGCAAAGATTGGCGAAACGACTGTGAAGCTCGCTGATCTATTCGGCCTCACTGTGTGCCTAGCCAAACTAAACGAACAGCAATACCGGGACTGTGTGGAAGAACTCTTGGAGCAGAGTGGTGATGCTAACAACGCAGCGAAAAGAGATGAGGTTTTGAGACAAGCGATCAAGTTTGGAGAGCAAGAAGGTTTCACCGCTAGAAGTGCATCAAAATTGATAAATATTAATAATTAATATATTGTGAACCTTTTTATGAAAAAATATTTAGTCCAATACTTAATATTAGCACTTTGACCTTAAGACAGTAGTAAATTAAATTTATTCAACAAATCTATGTTAGAATGCTGGTCAGAGTCATCATGACATTTCTTAGTGGCAGTCAACATCCTCTCCGCACTAAGCGACACGAAGAAACGCATAACTTACTGTCTCTCAAATCCTGTCGCGACGCGGTTGGATCGATCTGGAAAGAGCCCCTCATTTCTCTAGTGCTGACTCGATCACGCACAGATCACGCGCTCTCTATATAAACCCCACACAAGATCCCTCACAAACCCACACTTCCATCTCCCACTCCACACTAGCAAAAGATAGCCAACAATGGCATTTGCAAAACTCTCTCTCGCTTTGATCTCCTCTCTGCTTCTTGTTCTAAGTTCTTTGGTTGCAGCAAACCATTGCGATTGCGGTGGAAAACGAGGAGGAAGAGCTCAAGGCGGCCACAGTCACAACACCACCTCTCCATCGCCGCCCACCATCGACATTGGAGCCCTCGTCTCGAGCGACCTGTTCGACCAGCTGCTGGACAACAAGAAGGCTGTCATGGGCTGCGCGGGATCCTCCTTCTACACGCACGCATCCTTCATGGCCGCCGCCAAGGCCTTCCCGGCATTTGGGTGCACGGGTTCCCCGGAGCAGCGCAAGACGGAGATCGCCGCCTTCTTTGCCCAGACGTCGGCTCAAACCGCCGGAGGTGAGAGACCGACTTTCCACTTTCATAGCCCGCCACCTTTTCATAACTAGAGTTTCTTTGTGTGTGACTTAGGTGGGCTTCCAGGAGGGTTGCTCTCTTCTGGATACTGCATGGTGGAATCACATGATAAAAACCGATATTGCCAGCAATCGGAAGCCTGGCCTTGCGCTCCTGGCAAGAGCTACCATGGCCGAGGACCATTGCAGCTCAAATGGTATAGAATATATTGTAAACCATATGATTCTCACTTGTGATCTATAGGAACTTCAACTATGGAGCCTGTGGACGTGCTGTTGGCTTCGATGGAATAAAAAACCCCGAGATAGTCGCAAAAGATCCCGAGGTGGCGTTCAAGACCGCTCTCTGGTTCTGGATGACCCCGCAAGGCAACGCGCCCTCTTGCCACGATGTGATCCTCGGCGTGTGGAAGCCAAGCAAAGTCGATATTAGTGCCGGGAGAACTACTGGGTGTTATGGAACAGTCACTAATATCATCAATGGACGCGAAGAATGTGGGCAGGGTCCTAATGCCCATGGCAAAGTTCGAGTTGGGTTTTACAAGCGTCTCGGAGTTCTCCTGGGGGTTGACACTGGACCAAATGTGGATTGCTACAACCAGAAGCCATGGAACTAAATTAGCTCGATCGCGAGAACTTGACAATAATGTAACTTTGTGACAATGGTGTGATTAATTATAATGAATGATAATATAGTGTTTGTATAGTGATTGCTATTGACTAGCTCTATATTGAAGACATCCAAGAATGGAGCAAATTTTTGTTGTTTGTGTTGGGGCAATGCTGAATTGATGGGCTTGGCGACGCTCCTCAAGGCCTTGTCGTGAATGCTGCAAAAAAACATCTTGCTGAAGGGGGAGAGGTCGGTGGTGACATTGAAAGCCAAGCTGTGGAAACCAACCATTTGGGGGTTCTGTGCTGCAAGGATCACTGGAGAGGTGCAGAACATTCTCCTCCACCACTGGTCCTCTCCAGCTCAAAGTGGATCACCTTCCACAGCTTGGCTCTCAATGTCATCACTGACCCCTCCCCATTCAGCAAGATCATTCCTTGTGGCATTCGTGACCCGTCGCCAAGCTCGTCGATTCATCGTCGCCCAACACAGACATGCTCGCTCACATCCACAAGAATTTGCTCCAGGCATTCTCGGACGTCTTCAACACAGAGCTAGTCCACCCGAGACAATAGCAATCTCTGCACAAGCACTATATTATCATTCCATTGCCACAAAGTTACACTATTGTCAAGTTCCCGCGATTGAGCTAACTTAGTTCCAAGGCTCCTGGTTGTAGCAATCCACATTTGGTCCAGTGTCAACCCCCAGGAGAAGTCCGAGAACGCTTGTAAAACGCCATGGGCATTAGGACCCTGCCCAAATTCTTCCCGTCCATTGATGGTATTATTGACTGTTCCATAACACCCAGTAGTTCTCCCGGCACTAATATCGACTTTGCTTCCGAGGATCACATCGCGGGGTCATCCAGAACCAGAGAGCGGTGCGACCATTTCTGGATTTTTTTATTTCATCAAAACCAAGAGCATGTCCACAGGCTCCATAGTTGAAGCTCCTGTAGATCGCAAGCATTAGATCACATGGGTTACAATATATTTCTATACCATGTAAGCAGCAATGGTCCTTGGCCATGGTGGGAGCGCAACGCAAGGCTGCCGATTCCTTGCAATACCGACTTTTATCCTGTTCCACCAAGCAGACTGCAGCCCTCCTAGCAGCCCACCTGGATCACACACAAAGAAACTCAAGTAAAGGTGGCGGGCTATGAAAGTGAAAAGTTGGTCTCACCTGTTTGAGCCGATTTCTGGGCAAATAGGGCGGCGATCTGTCTTGCGCTGTTCGGGGGAACGTGCACCCAAATGCCGGTGCAGGGAAGGCCTTGGCAGCGGCCATGAAGGATGCGTGCGTGTAGAAGGAGGATCCATGCCAGCCTTCTTCTTGTCCAACATGGTGAGCGGCGCCGATTGGTGATTGTGATCACCTGGAGCTCCTCCTCCTCCTTTTCGTCCTTTTCCACCGCAATTGCAAGGAGCATGGAACTGACAATGGATCATGGCAGCAGAGAGCAGAATGAGCAGGCAGTTTGCTGCAACCAACGAACTTAGAACATGAAGAGGAGAGACGATCAAAACTAGAGAGATTTTTGGAAATGCCATCGTTGGTTTTCTTTTGCTAGTTGGAAGTGCTGGGTTTTTTTAAGGGATCTATAGAGAACGCGTCATCTGTGCGTGATCGATCAGCACTAGAGAAAAGAGGGATTCGTTCCAGGAGAGACAGTAAGGTATGCTTTTCTTCGTGTCACATAGTGTGGAGACCACCACTAAGAAGTACCATGATCTGAAGGAGGTTTACTTTTGTATCTTTAGTATTAGCTTGCCAAAATTTTATTTGCAGTGTGATCCAGCCCATAGATTGAGGGCTTTCTCCAGCTCGCATGCCTTGACTGGCCTCTTGTTGCTCATCTTGCTACTCAAAACAGTCCAATGATAACCAATGGAATTTTAGCATTCTAATCAGAACTTATAATACAATCACGTTCAAGCCAAACTATTCCCAACAAGCATCGATGCACACGTGGATCATAGCTCAAAAGTCCCAACTTTCACTCCACACAGATCATCTGCGACCTGGAGTGGAAGAGATTAAAAGTCAAGAGGGATCCCTGGAGTCTAGAGGTCATGTGTGCACATTCCCTGCAGTCACATTTGTGATATTCTGGCACAAATAATTTTAAAAACTTGCAATTGGTAACCAGAAAGTCAATCTAGACAATAGAATACTCCTATTGGGGATTCGGGTGAAGAAATCAATGAAAAGAGCACGCTAGAGAAAGAAATGACAAGAAACCTTGATCAATAGCTACACTAAACATGACGAACCACTCCAAATGCCCTGACTGGGGAACAGGACTAGCTCAATGAGGGGAGGAGCACGTACAAACAGTATTCTCACCAGGTATTCTCCATAGTGCCAGTTCTCAAGCTTGAGCGAACAGAATCCTCCTGTATCTCTCACTGTTGTAAATGTGTGATAGATGCACAGGTTGTGGCTAGCTCGTTTTGCTGCCTGAAACACCACAAAAAAACAATGTTCGACAATAAAATGATCAATGCACTCACTTTTCTACAAGGAGCTCCTTGAAATGGTTGTTCAGCTTCTTGTCAGACTTCGCATTCCCTGATCAAGGGACGGAGTTTATGACCTTCTAAGAAATCAGAAGAAGCTTAACCTCTGTAGTACTTTCTTTTGTTTTTGGCAATGTTCAGGTTATGGATTGCTTTCGTATGTTAGCTTCATTTGCCAGCTGACTCCTTCCACGGCCATATACCATACTATGAGAAGTGTGAAAAGCTGGATGGGAATGATGGCATGCTGGTCACCCAGCGGGTCATGCAGGATGGAAAATGAGTTTGATGTTTCTTGGGGCAAGGGGTGGCTTGTCCGGAGTCGCCTTCTCCTGCTCTGCGGCCCTGGGATCCGGTGTGGAGCCTTGAGTGATGCAAGGTTAGTTTCAGATTAAATTCGGCACTACAAGGAGACTTTACATCAAGAAGCGCAACCTAGGTAAGAGGTTTCGACAAAAGGTGGATTTTCCTGTTCATTGCTGTCTGTACATCACGTTTCACATGCTTTTGCTCCGCCAGCAATGTTATGCGCTGGGTGACCAGCTGGGCATGGATCTGGGCGTTAGACGCTCCCCAATCCCAGGTCCCTCTATTGTCTAGATTGTTGGTGACGACTTTCTGGTTACCGATTGCAAATATTTGTGTCATGACCTCTAGACTTCTTGATCTCTCGCAGAGGATAGGTTTAATGACGCAGGAGCTTCTCAAAGTGCTTTGGCATGGCGTATCGGCAAACACTTTTGCTGTTGGAGGTGAGATCGATGTGCAGCGTTATCCTATTCCACGGACTGTGGCAGTAGAGGGCATCACCGGTGGCGCCATCCAGCTCCCACTCTCACCCGAGGATCTTGCTAAGCTCAAGCATGTCTCACAGCCGGCACCTTTTCGCATTGGCAAGCGGACTCGTTTCGACACCAGCGTCCGCGTCTGGCAACTCCTCCAAGATCTCCTTCCCCGACAATCCAGAGTTTAAGACCGTCCACGACGTAGCGTCCGCCGCTCTCTCGAACATGGGAGTGGACGCCAGAGCCGTGGAGCTTGGCGTGAAACTCTACAAGATGTAAGGTGGGCATTTCAAGGGACACGGAAAAGGAAGATGGGATGTTTGCGACCATGGTCATCCAGCTCCCCACCCAAATGGGCCATGGGGGTGGAGCTCTCACAGTCCAGCACTTGGGCTGCTCCAAGGCTTTGAACTTCCAATCCACTAGTAGCTACTTCTACACCACCTTTTTCTGTGACTGCAAGCACAAGCTTGACGAGGTGACGAGAGGACCGAGATTGTGCTTGGTGTTTATCTTGGTGAGAAAGAACACCAGGTTCTTGGGCGTGCGTTCTTCATATCGTCACTGCCCCGCGTTCAGTCTTTGATGCAAGAATGGGCAAGCTGCAGCGAGGGTGTTAGAGCAAAGATGGTGATCCCGGTCTGCCACAAGTACTTGAGCAAGAGCTTGCGCTTTGCTGGGCTCAAGGGAGACGATCGCATGGTGGCTGCTCTTCTCCGGGGGTGTGATTTCCGGGACCTCCATCTCTGCATGCTCACCAAGCTTGTACAGGATCATGATAAAGTTGATGATGATGATGTTGGTAATGATGATCCAAGAATCACTTCCTGAAATTTAGAAGATAGCCGATCAACGACGTACTGAGATTCGTTGGTGGTAACAGTCTAGAGCCATTTGACAAGTTACATGACGAGGAAAACTTTGACAAGCAAGGGTACCTGGGGAACAAAGGTGGAACAGAGTACTATCACGTCGCAGTGCTGGTGGCCTGGCCCAAGAGTAAACGCTGTGATGCGATTCTCTCGAGTTGCTCGAGTCCCGTCCACAGCACAATTGTGGCTGGGCTCTTGAAAGACGCTGCCACTGCTGAGGATGCAAGGGAAGACTCGAGGTGGCACTAGAGAAGTGGAAGCCGGCCATAGGCAAGGTTTTGGACTTGTGCCTCGGGAACCTACAGTCTTACTCCATGTTTGATCAGGGAATTGAGAATTTGCTGGGCAACCTCAAGTCCGCGGGGTGTGAGCATGGAGCGATGGAGCTGGCCAGAAAGCTCATGCAATATGTCAAGAAATGTCCTGCCAAACTTTTAGAGAAGCTGTTAGTCGACACTCCAGCGTGCAAGGCCGAGGCTTTGGAGATCGTCTCCGAGGCCCCGCTTGAGTGCGTTGCACTGGCAGTGCATTGCAGCCATGAGTACCGCAAGACCGTGGAAGCTCGAGTGGACAAGCTAACATCAACGGATTTGGAAGCGGAGAAACTCAAGCTAAAACTTTCATCGAGGCACATGGGGCGTGCAACCATTTTCGATGTTTACAGACGGTTCCTGGCCAGTGTTGTGAAGCTGATCTCCAAGCTTGCGGCGTATGGCTCGCTAGACATTGCCGTGCAGCTCGCAAGCAAGGTGGAGAATCAGCTGCTGGTGGACGTGGAAGAGGAACTCAAAGTGTATTACAAATGCAACTACAGTCTAGTGCTAGTACTGCCGTTTCTGGTTTCATGGCGAAAATTGTCGACGAATACAGCAAAGTCTTTAGTCTGGGAGGAGAGGAAGAATAAATTTAGACTGGTGAGGACATTGACACTGATGAGGAGCGCAGCCAGTTTGCTAGGCATGAAAGAGCGGGGGGCAGTGACAGCCTTGCTTGCTGGGCTGTGTGCTTCTCACTTGCATGGGAATGCTCCTCGTCAAGGCTCACTAATTTACGATATTTATCCCACTGCGAACTTTGATTCTGCGAAAGAGCACTTTGATTCCGCGGAAGAGCTTGCTCAGGATGAGTACAATAGGGTGGCAAGCGTCCGCCATTGCAGTGTGATTCCCATGGCCAGGGATTTCGTGGAGAATGTGTTCTGGTTTGGGGATGAAGAGCTCATTGGCAGAGTGATTGGATTGCTCATGGACCAGAGACACCTAAGTTGGAAGCTATTAAGTTCTTTTTCTCCGAGCATTGTTCCCCTGGCTATGGATTCCAGTGCTGCTGCAAGGAACGCTTTGAGGAAGGTGGTGGAGGCGAGGATGGAACACCTGCGTTCTGGGCTCGAGTATGGAGGGGAGAGGATCAAGTCGAATCCTTTCAACTTTCAAGAGGGCGAGGATTGGAGGTGTGCTGCTCTACCAAGTGCTGGAAAATCCACGGAGGCTCCGTGCTCTGTACGATGTCCGGGTGGGGGAATTCATAGATCATGCTGCTGCGGAGGTCGAGAATTTGGAGCTCGTTTTGAACAAGTTAGACACAATGTATATGAATTGATCCTGATTGGATATATAGAGAGAAGCGATTACCAGTTGCCTTAAGTCCGGCCACGGTCGTCAGTCTTCTTCAATGGAACCATCCAATTCATAAATGCTGCTCGTTGTATGGCAATCTTAAGCAGCCTAGCGGACATTCACGGTGGGAATCGCTGGCCACGGAATCCTCAAAGCTTTGGCATCTTACCACGCAATGCCCACGGTGGTTCGATCTATGTGGTCGTCGGCGATTACTCTTCCGTGGATTGCTTTCGCCAGATCCAGGAGCCAGGCATTCGCAGCAGCACGATCATACACCGCCTGCTATCGGCCGCGATGATCCCACACTTCCCGCTGGTGGCAGAAAAACGTTAGCTGGTGAAGATCCATCCCAAGCCCCTTCAAGATCCATCCGCTGGAATGCCATCGCCTGCATGGATTGTCCAGTACATGCCGTGATGAGAATTGTCAATATTGGTATTCGCGATTGGAGAAGGCCGGTTTTCTGTGTCATATATTTTATATATATTACATGTTTTAATTCCTGTTTATGGAAGTCTATTCCAAATATGAACATTGTATCCCAAGAAGGGCATATTTTAGACTATCAAGTATCAAATAAACTAAAAACTTTTCCAGAAACTAGGGTGGCTGGATCACACTGCACTCCAGCTGATGTTAAAGTTTGGCTGGTCACTCACAAGTTTTCATAGCACAATGTAGAAATAGTAAATTGGATGCACTCCTTCAGTCTCTCTAATCTTGGCACTTCGTTGTGGTGGTCAACATCCTCTCCACACAATGTGACACGAAGAAAACCATACCTTACTGTCTGTCGCGACCTGGACAGAGCCCCTCTTTGCTCTAGTGCTGACTCGATCACGCACAGATCATGCGCTCTCTATATAAACCCACACAAGATCCCTCACAAACCCACACTTCCATCTCCCACTCCACACTAGCAAAAGATAGCCAACAATGGCATTTGCAAAACTCTCTCTCGCTTTGATCTTCTCTCTGCTTCTTGTTCTAAGTTCTTTGGTTGCAGCAAACCATTGCAATTGCAGTGGAAAACGAGGAGGAAGAGCTCAAGATGCTCACAGTCACAACACCACCTCTCTATTGCCACCGCTCATCGACATTGGAGCCCTCATCCCGAGCGACCTGTTCGACCAGCTGCTGGACAAGAAGAAGGCTGGCATCGGCTGCGCGGGATCCTCCTTCTATACGCACGCATCCTTCATGGCCGCCGCCAAGGCCTTCCCGGCATTTGGGTGCACGGGTTCCCCGGAGCAGCGTAAGATGGAGATTGCCGCCTTCTTTGCCCAGACGTCGGCTCAAACAGCCGGATCAGGTGAGCGACCAACTTTTCACGTTCATAGCCCGCCACCTTTACGTAACTTGAGTTTCTTTGTGTGCGATCCAGGTGGGTTGCTAGGAGGGCTGCTCTCTGGTCCATTCTGCTTGGTGGAATCACAAGATAAAAGCCGGTATTGCAAGAAATCGGCAGCCTGGCGTTGCGCTTCCGGCAAGAGCTACCATGGCCGAGGACCATTGCAGCTTAAATGGTATAACAATATATCATAAACCATGTGATCCAATGCTTGTGATCTACAGGAACTTCAACTATGGAGCCTGTGGACGTGCTCTTGGTTTCGATGGAATCAAACACCCAGAGATGGTCGCTAAAGATCCCGAGGTGGCATTCAAGACCGCTCTCTGGTTCTGGATGACCCCGCAAGGCAACACGCCCTCTTGCCACGATGTGATCCTCGGCGTGTGGAAGCCAAGAAAAGTCGATATTAGTGCCGGGAGAACTACTGGGTGTTATGGAACAGTCACTAATATCATCAATGGACGCGAAGAATGTGGGCAGGGTCCTAATGCCCATGGCAAAGTTCGAGTTGGGTTTTACAAGCGTCTCGGAGTTCTCCTGGGGGTTGACACTGGACCACATGTGGATTGCTACAACCAGGAGCCATGGAACTAAGCTAGCTCGATCCCGAGAACTTGACAATAATGTATAGCTTGTGACAATGGTGTGATTAATTATAGTGAATGATAATCGTGTTTGTATAGTAATTGCTGTTGTCTTGGGTGGACCAGCTCTGTGTTGAAGACGTCGGAGAATGCCTGGAGCAAATGCCTGTGGACGTGGTTGAGCATCGCTGTGTTGGACGACGCTGGATCGACGAGCTTGGCGACGCTCCCCACGGCTTTGTCGCGAATGCCGCAAGGAACGATCTTGCTGAAGGGGGAGAGGTCGGTGGTGACGTTGAGCGCCAGGCCGTGGAAGGTGATCCACTTTGAGACACGGACTCCGATCGCCGCGAGTTTCTCCTCTCCTGGTGGAAGACGTAAAGGAAAAGAATGAAAACTTGGAGAAAGGTTGCGTTATACCAATCCAGACGCCTGTGAAGCCATCGACGCGAGAAGCTCTGAGAGAGTACGCCGACCAGAGCGCCCGTATGACCACTTCTTCCAGAGCTCGGAGGTACCAGTGGAGATCGAGCTTGTAGTTCCTCAAGTTTAGAATGGGGTACATGACAAGCTGCAAAGGAGAAAGAAGAGGGTTTATCTTCGACGAGCTCTTTTCGAAGGACGATCGCTCGTACCTGGCCTGGTCCATGGTAAGTTACCTCTCCACCTCTCTCAGTAACGTGAAGCTCGTGAGGAGGATCGTCCGTGGCAAAGTTGAGGAACTTGGAAGAGCTCCCAGTCCCCATTGTGTAGACGGGAGTGTGTTGGAGCAAGATCACGGTGTCGAGCGCTGGGCTGCCTTGATCTTGGCTGAGAGCTTTCGCATAATCGGCCACGATGCTTTTCTGCCACCTCCAAGCATCTGTGTAAGGGACGAGCTGGTCATAAAGATCATAGCACTGGCACCTAAAATGAAAGGAATTTCACAAAAGAGCTTCCCTTTAAAAAAATCACTTCACCTCCGGCGTTCCTTCATAAGCGGTGAACGTTCTTCCGCGGATTGCGCAAGAACTCCAGGCTTGGTTTTGATCGAGGCATAGCTAACACTGTTGCTGCAAGAAAGAGAGGTAATCTTGTGTGATAATCAAGGCTTGATCCTTACCTCGCCTTGACGATCGGAAGCGGCAAGATTGCTGGCGAAAGAGCGCTGGCCTCCATCGCCGATGGATCGATTGCCGCCTCGCCTCTTGGAAATTCCAGCGGCAGCTGGATCAAACAAAAATGTGGCCTAGCAAAATAAAAACCCTAGCTAATGCCCGCGGGGGGCATATCACAATGGCGTCTTCGTTGGGCGCCCAAGCGCATGCCCATGGCTATGGCCAGGCGCAAGCTCACGGCTATGGCGATGCCCGCAGCGCCAGATTCTTCAGGAATGCAGGTGATTTGTCTCCATCCTCTTGCCGATTTAGAGCAGCCATGGCCACGGCAAGCGCGTCGATATTGGCATCGCCGGCCATTCCAAGATCCAAGCCGGCAGCATCGCAAATCTCTAGGCTCCAAACGCAGCTGCGAAAGAAGGAGATCAGCGCCGTGGAGATCGTCACGGAGTATCTGGATCGATTGCGGGAGAAGGAGCCGGATGTGAAGAGCTTCCTCCATATTTCCAGCAGCGCATTGGATGAGGCGGCGGAGATTGACGGCAGGCTAGCCAGAGGCGATGATCCTGGGCCTCTTGCAGGTATTCCCATCGCAATCAAGGATAATCTGTGCACGCAAGGCATGCCTTCTACTGGAGGCTCCCGGATTTTGGATGGATACAGGCCTCCATACGATGCCACGGCAGTGAAAAGGCTCAAAGAATCCGGGGCAGTGCTCATAGGAAAGACGAACCTCGACGAGTTTGGCATGGGGAGCTCCACCGAAAGCTCGGCTTACCAAGTAAGTTGTTCGTCATAGTTTGCAACAAGTTTTCTTATGTTCTCATTCACAGGTAACTTCCAATCCTTGGGACTTGTCTCGCGTTCCTGGAGGATCGTCAGGAGGATCAGCAGCCGCGGTGGCGGCGGGACAGTGTGCTTGCGCTCTGGGAAGTGATACTGGAGGTAGCATAAGGCAGCCAGCGTCTTTTTGCGGGGTTGTTGGATTAAAACCAACTTATGGTCGGGTTTCTCGCTTCGGTTTGATGGCCTATGCTTCCTCGCTCGACGTGGTTGGATGCCTTGGCACCTCAGTTGACGATGTTTCGTTACTTCTGAATGCTATAGCAGGTCACGATCCGGCTGATGCTACTTCCAGCTCCAAGGTGAGTCTTGTGCTGTGATTCCTGTTGGAACTAACGGGTTTACAGTTGTGCAGGTAGTTCCGAACTACTTGAAAGCATTAGTGCCAGCCAAAGAACTTCCGGGAAACCCTTTGGCGGGGATGAAGTTTGGGATCATAAAAGAGACAATAGGTGAAGGCGTCGAGCCCGCGGTAGCTCAAGTGGTGAAAAACGCTGTTGTTCATCTTGAGAAGCTTGGTGCTGTGGTTCAAGAGGTAACGAGCTATGTGTCCTGCGGCTAATCTCTGTGTATTACTGCCAGGTTTCTTTGCCTACCTTCTCCCTTGGTTTACCTGCATATTACGTACTGGCAGCTTCAGAAGCATCATCCAATCTATCACGTTATGACGGTATAAGGTACCAAATTTACAAGTTATTTAATCTCCTGGTTAACGATATTTGTCTTGTAGATATGGCCCTCGAGTTGTTGCAGACGAGCTTAATGCAATGTATGGTGCTTCTCGTGGACAAGGATTTGGGGCAGAGGCAAGTTAGACTTGTTACTATGAAAACTTTTCCTGACTGTTTTCCGGATTTCATCAGGTGAAAAGACGCATTTTGATGGGAACCTATGCGTTGTCAGCTGGCTATTATGATGCATTTTATAAACGCGCACAACAGGTAAGTATCGTAGATCCTGCCCTTTTTTATTCATTGTCAATTGTTATGCCAGGTGCGAACTTTGATTCAACAAGACTTCAAGAAAGCTTTGGAGGATGGTCACATACTTTTATCACCCGTGGCTCCTAGCCCAGCTTTCAAAATCGGTTAGACACTTGCTGGGGTTTTGGTGTTGGTCTTTTGTCATCTCATTGTCTTGGCATGGCAGGAGAGAAAGTACTGGACCCCTTGTCGATGTATCTGGGAGATCTTATGACGGTGATGCTACGTCCTGCAGTTCCATGACTTTTGAGTTTTAAATTCTTTCTGTGCACAGGTTAATGTGAACATGGCTGGCCTACCTGCATTGTCGTTGCCCTGCGGTCTGATCGAGGACGAGGGCTCTAAGCTTCCAGTGGGATTGCAACTGATTGGCAACGCGTTCGAGGAGGTCAGTGCTACATGACAATGATATTACATATGCATGTCACATAAACATATCTGTAGGAGGAGTTGCTGCGGGTAGGACACATTTTTGAGCAGACCGTTCCGACATGGTGATTGTGTTAGCTAACGCAGCGCTGAACAGACATAGGTGACAGTGTGAGTTGAAAGTTCCGCTCTTGCTTAAAATATCGATGCTGTAGCTTGCTTGGTTTTAACGTCTTTGGTGCTTCCAGGCTACGAAAGATCAACATCTATACTATAGGGCTGCTATAGAAGCCCTCCGAGTGGGAGTATGCATAATTTTGCTACGTGCTGGTGGAGCACGAATCATATTTGTCAGTGTTTATGCTTGGGGTCTGTGGCACAAAGAGCAAGAAAGTCAGCCGGCGGCATCGAAAAACAGGTATTTTTTCTACTCGGTGAGTTTGGGGTTTGGTAGGGTGCTCTGGAATCTGGGTATGGCCGTGTCCGATCGGCAAGGGAGTTCTACTTTTAGGCACCCACATTAAGCAGCCATAGAAAAGGGAAAAAACAAAGGAAAAAAAAAAAAGAGAAAAAATGGTGAAGTTGATTCAAGGGGAACCAGGGGAGTCGGAAGAAGGCTATGGAAATGCGTTGTCGCAGCGCCTGGAGAAGGTTCAGTTCAAGACGCTAAAGCCACTGCTGTGGAAGTCACTGACGCAGGAACCGTTCCTCTCCGACCTCTCGCAGATGGGTCTTTCCTGCTTCTTCCAGTCCAAGTTTGTCCGGGGGGACGAGGCGCTGTGCCGAGAGTTTCTATGCAGCTACAAGAAGCATGGATCAGGGTATGTGAGGCAGGAAGTTGTCCAGACGGGCCCGAAGATCGTCCAGGTGGTTCTCAAGCTCCCTCATGGCGGGAAGGCAGTCAAGGAGGTTCCCAAGCTCACCTCTGAAGAGCTCTACAGCATGTACAACGGGCCAACCGTCAAGGTGAAGCACAACGGCTTTAGCGTCAAGGCGCTGTCCGATCCCCACTTCAAGGAGTTTGTGAGCTTCATGGTGGACAGGATGAGCTGCAAGGTGAACTGCACGTACGTGAGTGCGGAGATTTTGTACGCGGCCAAGTATGTCTGGGAGACCAAGGCCGTGCTAGACTGGGCCGGGTATATGAGTCACAGGATCCAAGCTCAGTGTGAGAAAGTCCGGGGAACGTCCCAGAGCGCGTTCGAGTACACACAGTATCTCACTCAGATCATACACTATCAGCTGGGAATGGCGAGGGACGACGAGTTGCTCGTAGATACCGGATTGGGAATGGAGTCGCCTCCCGTCGTCCATGCTCTGAAAGTCCAACGCCCAAAGGATCAAGCGATGGGATTGGAGCTAGCTACCTCTGGTCGTGAGGGGGATGGAAGCACCGTCCAGCAGCAGCACTCTGGAGTAAATGGTGGAGAGAAACGGCCGAGGAAACAGCACGAAGCAAAAGGTGCCGCTAAGAAGCAAAAGAGTAATGCTCGTGAAGGGCCCGAGTATGCTCTAAACCTGCTAGAGAAAGTGACTGACTGGATTAGAAGTAATGGCTCCGAGCAACAAAACCGTGGGACTGAGCAGCAGGCTGAGAAGAGAGTTACTCAGCTGGAATCGGAGCTAGATGAGATCAAGCGTCGCTGCGAAGCCGAGCACCAGCAACAGGTGCAATGGGAGGTGCAGCTTAATCTCGTCCAGCAGGAAAAGAGTGTGTTGCAGGACCAAGTGCAAGCTCTGGTCGCTCAGCAGGCAGCTTTGAGGCAGCGGCTGGAGGTGTCCGAAAGGGAGAGGCTCCAGCTCCAGGCCTACTTGTCTCGGGCTATAAACGGGAAGAAAGACGATAGCTTCTTCAGGGATCAGCCGAAATAGAGCTCCCTTGAAGCATCGGGAGTTTGCGTGTGCCACCAGACCTGGCTTCCGGTAAGTCTAGCTGGTTAACTAGCTTTTTCTTTTGCGTCTCTCATACATACCTTGCATTGCGCAGACTATGGTTGCTGCTCCACGTAAAAAGGAAGTTCGTCCAAGCATTTCTAGCCCATGCAGGAACACTGATCACGATTTCGAGGTAATGTAGCGTTTGCTTTCGTTAAGGAGCACGTTACAGCTTTGACAATCTTCTCTTGGAACGCAGAGGATGGGGAGTTCTCGTGTACCAGACCTGGCTTCCGGTAAGTATAGCTGGCTATCTAGTTTTGTCTCTCATACATACCTTGGATTGCGCAGACGGTTGCGTTCTATGTTGCTGCTCCACGTAAAAAAGAATTGCGTGGAGGAACACTGGTCTAACAACGTGAATGAATCCTTTCGAGGTAAAGTAGCGTCTGCTTTGTTACAACTTTGACAGCCTTCCCTTGGAATGCAGAGAACTTCGCAGTTAAAACATCTACGACTGGAACCGAGAGGTATGTCTCTTCTTTTACAACGAAACGCAGGACCTCTTGAGACGAAGGCAAATCGAAGAAGAAGAAGGGGCCTTTGGTTGATAAACCCAAGTTTTCTCTATAGGGTTCTTGGAGGCATGACATCGCCCCCGAATCTGGCAAAGTTTCTCAAGCCGTATGTGCTCAAGGTGCAGCTCTTCAGCCGGCACATGACCGCTCATGTGATCCACCGCATCACCACGCGCACGGTGGCAATGTGCGACTCGAGAGAGGCCCAGCTGCGGGAAGAGATGGCCCAGCTCGAGTCCGTGGCCCGGGCCGCCAGGGTGGGCGAGCTTCTAGCGTCCAGGCTCAAGCTCAAGGAGGTGAAAGAGGTGGTTTTCCAGATGGAGGAGGAGATGAGAAAGGTGGAGGAGGCTAACAAGCAGCGGATGCTCAGGGCCTTTTCGAGCAAGCTCGTCGAGGGCGGTGTAGATTTCGTGTAGAGGTTCTAGAGGTGGACGGGCGATGCGAGAGGGGGACAAGGGAGATTTCTTGCTCAGCAAAATCTTCTATGGAGATGGGAAAGGAGAGAAGGTTTTTTTTTTTTGTTTTCTCGGCCCTCGTCGCGTTTTGGGTCTCCTCGATGCGTTTTGGGTCTCCTCGATCGATCGCTGCCTGCATTTTGAGAAATTGGAAGAGAGGAAGAAGAGAAAAGAGAGAGAAGTTCCACCACTGTAAAATAATAACTCCTTGCATTGCATGAAGATCAAAGCTTTCGGTCGTTTGCTTTTATGGCTGCTCTACTCTCCTTTGTTTCCCATGGAAACTCTCCTTCTATAAGACACAAAAGAAAAACTCGTTTGTGATTTCGCTGGTTTTGTGTCAAGCAAAACAAACTGAAAACTCCAATGACAACATGAGCGTCAATTTTACTTTGTTCTTTGCTACCCGGGTTCTCACTTTCGGAGCCAACTTTTCTGGAAGTTTTCTATGACCTTTTCCTCAGCCACTCGTCGATGGAGTCGGGATCCAGCGTCGACGGCGTCGGCAGCTCAATGAAGGACGACAGCGACGACTCCTCGGAGCTCTCGGAACCACTCTCGGAAGAGAGCGACGAAGACGACGTCGTCGAAGAAGAGCTCGAAGAACTCGAAGGAGAAGCCGACGAAGAATCATCCTCACCACTCTCGAAGGCCTTGTTCCTCAAATGCCGGGGGGACCGCAACCGGACTCTACGTCCACTCTTCTCATTCTCCGCGGAGCTCTGCGACGTGGTGGCGGTGGTGGTGGCCGCGGCTACGTGCGACTCGGACGACGAGCTCGCGGACCAGGAGCGCGGCACGTCCTTGGCAGCGTCGGAGCTCGAGGATCCAACGCTGGGCTTCCGGCTGGCGGCACACTCGGCTGGCTTGGCCGGAGGAGCCTTTGGCGGGTTATGGTGGTGGATCCTCGACAGTGGCAAGTGGAACATCGGCCGGGGCGGCGGCGCGGTGGCGGGTCTCTTGCGCAGGAAGTTCTTCTTCTTCGTCGCCAGCGTCTCCGCGAGGACGTCCGGGCTCATGTTCTGCGGGGACAGCTTGAAGGGAGCGCTGGCCGGTCGGACGGGCCATGGCCGCGGAGGTGACGCCACCACCTCACCATCTTTCTCGTCCCTGGCTGCTGCTTTCACTGCCTTAACGTCCAGGTTGCTCTTCATGAGCTTGGCCACCGCGGAGTAGTTCCGCCACCTTTGCTGCTTGGGCGATGGAGTCGTCGTCGCCGTGGTGGTGCTCGTCTTCGTCGGCTTGTCTCTCTCCTTGGGCAGCACCTCGTCGATGAGAGCTCGGATCATCGAGAACTCCTCTCGGCTTCCACTGGCGGAGACCGACGGCCTGGCGAGCAGAGCTTGCTCCCTCCGGCGGTGGCCAGGAGCCGACTTGCACCGCCTGCTCAAGCTCGAGCCTTTGGATCCAAATACCTTCTCCGGGTGGTGGTGGACTTCTTGCGGCCGTCTCTCGCGCTCTCGCCGCTTGTGGAGGAAGTCGGCTACCATGGACCTGGAGATCGGCCTCTCCCGCGGCAGCGGTGGCCTCTTCCTGTGCACCAGAGTCGAGACGAGCCATTCCTGGAGGGGCCTCTCCCTGAAGACTGTGGGCCTCTTGCGAGGCAGGCAGTCGGAGAGGAGCGTCCCGTACATGAAAGGCTCTCGCTGGGTGATGTTCCTGTGCACCAAGTCGGGCTGGAGCCTCCTCCGTGCTGGCCTGTAAAACTTTCCATCTTCCAGCATCCTGCGCTAGATTGCTTTGCTCTGGTAGGAGAAAACAAGAAAGGAAAACCATACAACCAACTTAACTGATTCGTTTTGTGATGTGTCACTGAAGAAGCATCGACCGCTCTACAAAAAACGAGAGATTGAATAACGGTGTGTCGAAATGTGATCATTGTGATGATGTTTCCTCCCAGTATCTACAGCGTCCCCTTTGATTCACCTGTATTTCATGCTTCCCGTGTCGAAGCCAGGCATCTCAAACGCGGACGAAAACTGTTCCACCTTTCGCTTGAGCTCCACCACATCTTTGTTGCTTTGAACTACGCTGCTGCTCGCCAGCTTGGGATCCTTCTGCGACTTGCAGTCTCTCTGCAAACTCTGCGCAATAGTCACAGCGTTGCTGAGAAGCTCGGCGATGGTCTCAAAGTCTTTTTCAACGCATCCTCTCGAGGTCATGGCTGGGGAACCTGGGAAAAAAGATACATTACGTTATGCTCGAGAGCCATACAACTCATACCAATGCGAATTCCTCCAGGACCTCTTACGGAGCTGTCGCCATAAACAGTACACTTGTTCACGGTAATGTGACATAACTCCGTGACTTTCTCAAACCATGCGCCTGGAAAAGAAACGAAGAAAACGGGAGAGTCAGTTACAAGAACTGCTCTGAACGTCGTTACTTACCCGTGATGCCGAGAGGCCGTAAATCCCAAATCAACAAATGATTATCCGTCCCGCCAGTAACAAGCTTGAAATTACGCCTGACCATAGCATCAGCTAAAGCCTTGGTATTCTGGAGCACTTGTCGTATGTAGTCCTTGTACTCTTTGCTAGCAACCTGCTTCAACGCGACAGCCAGGCCTGCGATATGGTTGTTGTGAGGTCCCCCTTGCAGGGACCGAAAAATCGTAAAGTTGATCTTTTCCTCGTAGTCATACGAGCTCTCCTCGGCAGTGCTGCCATTCTTGCGAGGCCTCGCTCCTTTCCTGAAAAACACCATTCCTCCTCGCGGGCCTCTTAGAATCTTGTGTGTTGTGGAAGTCACTATATCGCAGTACTCAAAGGGACTTACACACTCCTGCAAAAAAAGCAGCTATCGTAAGATACAAGGAAGAAAGAAAAGATATAAAAGTGAGTGAGAGAAAGAGAAGTAGTGTACCTGAGCAGCAACAAGTCCACTGACATGAGCCATGTCACACATAAGAATAGCACCATACTTGTCCGCGAGATGGCGAAAATTCTCGTACTTCCACTCCCGGGGATAGGCACTCCCTCCACACACGAGAATTGCCGGTCTGTAAGCGCTCACCAGTCTCTCCAGATTCTCGTAGTCGATGAGCCCCGTCTGGGGGTCGACACTGTAAGCCAGCGTCTCGAAATGGATGGAAGTCGCCGAAACCTTCTTCCTCCCGGCGATGGTGTAGCCATGGCTTGGGTGGCCACCGGAGAGAACGTCCAGTCCCATGATCCGGTCCTTGGGTTGCAAGAGCGCCGTGAACACCGCAAAGTTGGCGGACGTGCACGAGTAAGGCTGGACGTTCACTCCCCAGCTCTTGGAGTTGAGGTGGAAAGCTTCCAGAGCTCGGTTGCAGCACAGCGCCTCGATCTGGTCGATATACTCGTTGCCACCATAGCAGCGAGCTCCCGGATAGCCTTCGCTATACTTGTTCGTGAGATGGCTTCCAAGAGCTTCCAGCACCGCCTGGGACGTGTAGTTCTCGGACGCTATCAGCTCGATCCCCTTCCACTGCCTGGACTTTTCGTGCTCCATCAAGTCCCAGAGCTTGGGATCCAGCACCGAGAGTGGCTGGTTCCCCCACTCTCTCGTGCTCTTGCGCGCCGCCTTGGCACCATCTTCTTCGCAACCGTGGTGGGAGCTCTGGACGGAGCTTACCGAATGCTCCGGGCATGGTGTCTCCGGGAGCTGCATCAAACCTGGCTGGAGACCCCGGGGATGACGAGCTAAAGATCTTGCCAGTGGCTTGAAAGCGGTAGCGGTGATCTGGTTGGAAGGCACAAGCTCCTCCTTGCTTCTCTTTGCTCTTGCTACCAGTGAACCCTCGAGGACAGTGTGCTGCCTTTTACCCCCCAATCCATGCTGCTGCCAGCTCTGGAACACGCTGCAATCCCCGCGGTTCTTCGCAGCTACGGGAGCGTGGATTCTTCCATTCTCGCCGGAGAATTCTTGCTGCAAAGCTGGCTTGGAATCCTCATCACTCATCGGCCCCAAAAATCAAGGTGTGGCAAGGAATCAACAACAGCACCAACTCGATTGCGCCGCCGCCATGGATGAATGCCTAGGAAGCGATCGAAAACTTACAGGGTAGAGAATCGCCTTGGCCTCGAAGCGTGGAGCCCTAGATACATACATCCCCCCTGGTCCAAATAACAGAAGAAAGAAAGAAAGAAAAGAAAGAGAATATTCGTTTCCACTTTCAAGAGCCCTAAAATGATTTAGGGCTTAGTCAAGATTCTGACACAGTGATTGGGACGACAAGTTGGCACGTATATTAAGCTAAGTATTTTGGGGCTTGGGACAGGCCACAGAATTGGATCTTGCGCGATGCTATCATTTGATAAGGTATATCCGACCACACCAAACCTCCCGTTAGATTTTATATAACTAGATTCAAGAGCAAATTCTATATCAACCTTCCTGAAGCCTCTAGTCGTGGCATCGTGCCAGTAGAAGTTGGAAGTTTGATCAAGAGCACTTGGTTTGTCCAAGGTAATAAAAAATGCTCTGAGTTTTCCTTTTCAAGCTCTCTTCTTTCAACTTTTTTCTTTTGACCAGTTCTCTAATAGATTGATGGGTAACTATGTAACATTGGCAGGATTTTTGTCTCTGACACATGCCATTTTCAGCAAGAGGATTTTCTTAGATCGAATTGGTTTGCTTATTTAAATTAAATATATATATTTTTATTACCATATCTCAATGAAATCCACGCTGTACTTATATTATAGTAACAAAAATAAATAAAATTTAAAGTAAGTAAATAAGGAAACCAGCGTTGTATGGTTTAACATTTAGAACATGGTTAAAGAAAATAATTTGCTCCTTTAACAGGTTAGAAACTATTGACTTACTTTGATTATGAAAAACTAATTTGGCCTTACCACGTATTTGACCACGATGTGGATCCAGAGGATGCTTGCTGTCCAAATTGGCGCAGACATCGCCACTGATCTGGTGAGTTCTGTAGATCGTGATCTAGGAGCGACAGCAGCAATAGTGGTCAAGATCTGCTATGATCAGTGGTATATAACTTTAATTTTCGTCAAGGTGACGGAATCGTTATGTGTTTTGAATCGCAATGGCTATCTGTATTACCTATGTATTATTACATTTAGTTAAGGTAATATATGATCTCAATCACTTTTCTTCTCAAATTAAGATCCATCTTCTTGCGTGATGATCGATCATTAAACCCACAATCCAACGACATTTACAATGTAGTGAAAAGTGGGGTGAGTGAACATCTTGCCAAAGTAGAAACCAAGTTCTGTCACTTGGACATTGAGTTCAACATTGAGGATAGGCAACAATGGTGTATAGTTTAGTATAATTAATGAAACAAACTAACGCCTATCAAAACCGTATATGCTTAAAGTGTGGCAGATTAACCTTTACATTGAAAAATATTCTAGGATATCTTCGTTTTTGCGGAGCTGGGAATGTAGTTGGCCCACTCTTTGAAGGAGCCCTGCAAGTAAGTAACGGTCCGGGAACAGGAGGAGCGCCATTTGTCATGTGTAAGAAATCCTTAAACCGCTCTGACGGCGAAATTGCCTTGTTTGATCGCATCTCCTGAAAGTGTTGGCACCCAATTAGGCCCCAGCATGACGGCTCGGGCTTGGCCAGCCGGCAGCGCTCTAGTGATCCTTCTGCTCGTCTCGACGATCCTACTCTATTTTGTGCCCTCCAGGTTCCGGAAGGGCTCTCTCCTCCTCCAGAGCGGAAAGGAAGTCAATTCCCCCCAATTTTCCCAGCCATCCGGTCCTTCAACAGGCTTCGATCTCTTGCGTTTGTCTGAAAATGGGACAAGGAGCTGTCACAACGTGAGCACGGCATTCGGGTACCTGTTTGGAGTTCCCAGGCCGGAGGAGAGCAGCGGGATCATCACCTTGTCCACGGATCAGGTTCACAGGTTTTGGATCGTTTCATTCGCCGCCGATGGAAGCAAGAGGTGCTTTGGAGGAGATTTCTATGAGACAGATCTCTCAGGTACGAGGCAACTTGTCGTTTATAACAACTTGTTGTTTTTCGTTCTTCGTTCCTGAGAAATCTGCAAGTAGGTCCAAAGTGGAAGTCACGACCACCAACAACGGACTTTGGAGACGGCTCATACCTCGTGGAGCTCAAGGTTGATGGAGATTTTGCCGGGATTTACAGCTTCAAGGCCATCCTTCTCTTCGCAAATTTGCATGGAATGGATTCACACCCGGAGAGATGGTTCCGCGGTCAGGAACAGTTCGTTCTCCAGATCAACTTCACGTCCAGCGGCGAGCATCACCGCTCAAGGCCACTCCCAGTTTGCACAAGCAACGACTTGAAATCGTCAGCACCAACAAAGTGGTGGGGGCAATGGACGAGATCACTGACTTCAAACGAGAAATCCTGCGAGCTAGACCACGATGGACGATACCTCTGCCTGGACGGCGACGAGAAGTACTGCGAGACAACGTCCTCACGCTGCACAGGAACTCTGGCAAGCCTGGAAAGCAATGGATGGGTCTACTCCACTGGAACCTGCGAGTTCCATCTCTGGAACCAGTCTGAGGCGTGGCAGTGCTTGGACGGGAAGAAGATCTTCTTCTGGGGGGACTCAAACCACCAGGACACCATTCGCAACCTCATGAACTTCGTGCTGGGATTTCACCAAGGCCTGCTTCCACGGACTTTCAGCACCACTGTCGCCAATCCTTCCAATTCTTCGCAGAAGATGGAAGTCGTGAGCGTTTTCAATGGCCACCCGGATCCATCGAGAGACGACCGCGGTCTAGAATCACTCTACGAACAGCAGTATCGCGAGTTTGTGGAGGACGAGTTCTTCCGCGATGGGTCTCCCGACGCGGTCATCCTCAACTCGGGCCTCCACGACGGGATTCGATGGAACAGCGCGGCGGAATTCGCCGCCGCCGCCGACTACGCCACGGCCTTCTGGAAGGAGCTCGTCAACGGCACAGGCACGAGAGTGATCTTCCGCTCCACCGTCACGCCCGCAGGCGCGTCGAGAGGAATGCAATCCAACCCCGCCAAGATGGAAGCCTTCAATGCGATACTCGGGGAGAAGATCCGGCGCGCCATGGATCATGCAAGATTTGTGGATGCCTACGACATGACCTTTCCCTGGCACTACGATCACTGCTGCAGCGATGGAGGGCACTATGGGCGGCCGCCATCGCTCTCGTCCTGGCATGGCGGCATCGGCCACCGCTACTTCGTCGATCTAATGCTCGTCCACATCCTCCTCACGGCTATTTGCCCCAGTTAGTTCAAAAGCATTTTTTGGAGGGATTTGACACGTTTGGAACCCTAAAACAAATGTTCTCCATGAAATCCATGAAAGAAGACGATGCGTGGCCGTCATGCGATCGTGCACTTGATCGCAAGCTCTTTCGATTCATGCGCGTGAGAGAAAGAAAAAATGCGATTGCTCATCCAGTTTTCTGGAAACGATTATCCATGCATCCGGTGTTCGCTCCGCCGCATCCAAGGTGCTACCATCCATTCTATTCTTTACCTTTGCCAATTTCTTTCTATTCCTTTCCAGGCTGCTATCCAATTTGGAAAGGGACCAAGAGGCTCTAGTCTCATTTGTGGTTGCACAATTCATCATAGAAGACTTGAATCGGCTCTAACAGCGCCGATGTTTCTTTTTCACTATGCTACAATCCTGTTACTTTTCTCCGTCTGTAGCTTACTGTGTCCTACAGAATTTGCAGCTCATATGGCTGTTGTGACCACAACTTTCAGACTTCTTGCAGATCAAGATAGCTATCTTTTCCGATGAGTTAAATTATGTTTCGGGTGGCTCAAAAGCAGAATAACATGAGATTTTATGCTGTAAGTTTGACTTGCGTGTTTTAATCTTTTCTTTTGTCTTAAGTGCAAAGTCGAGAGGAAGGTCGTGGTTACTGACAGGTATCTCATCTCTACCATCAATCAAAGGCTCTGGTGTAGATGGAGATTTCGCCCCCTGGACAAGCTGGTTCAACTGCGGCATTAGTGTAACTTCCTTCTGGTTGTAAGTTTTCTGTAACATCTCATAGTGTTCAAACTAACCTGCACTTTGTGGTGAAAATGGAGGTGGGGTGGCTCAAGCTTATGGTGTCGAAGGAAAATCGATGTTTATATTGGCACTTCGAGCAAAGCATTTGGTTGTCATTGCTACCAGTTCTGACATGATTTTTCAGGCACTTGCTCTTCTCTCAATCGTTTCTCAAGCCCAAGTGGAAGTTGCTGATGGAACCTAGAGGCCGCTTTTTTGTTGACTTCGCTCACTCTTCCTGTGGTGGCAGCGGCTCATGGTAAAGCTGTAAGCTTAGAACGTATCGTTTTTTTGTTTATGGATTTTGCTGTATGGCAGCTGCTCTCGTGGTTGCTAGTGAAGAAAAAATGGCGGCGTCAAGGACTGTGGAGCAGAGTAAAACAAATTGCTAGTTTGACATGACTAGACATATGAAGTCTAATCGTTTCGGTGGTCATTAGCAGCGAGAAAGATGCACTCTTGGCAAGCAAGTAAGAACCATGACAATTGTTTTTGTTAGTCCTCTTGTTGCAAAGTCCTAATGACTTCGCTTACAACTTGTATTCGTTCTGTAAGGAAGTTCTCAAAGGCCAGTTTTTATGTCCTGCCAATTAGACCGCCAGATACTTCAGGTAACCACATTTTCTCATAGCTAGAAGTCACTCCTTGCTCAATTCTAAAATTCATATTTTACTTAGTTTTTTTATAAAAATGAACTATATGAACTTTGAATAGAAATTTTTGCTTTAATTATGTTTAGCCCAAACAATTTAAGAACATATTTATTGAGGGATGCCAGTATAGACTGTTATCAAGCACAGAACTTTCTTGCGTATAGTTGTCCCTTCTATAATATTACAGGAAAGCAAAATTATTTTGGAAAGCTTGTCGGCACCAATATGCGGTCCTTGATCTCTTCAAACGACTTGACTTCTTTTTTCCATAGCCTGCAAGTAAACTCGTCAGAGGACATGCCGCTTAGAAGGCCCTTTCCTTTCACAGGCTCTCACCATGCATCGATTCCAACAGCATTCGCTCCTTGCTTGTCCGCCACGGGGTCATCTCCAACATGAACTGTGTCTCTGGCTTGCACCCCGAGCTCATCTGCATGCCTCGAAGAATTAAGAGATTGAGATTTTCCAGTGTCAATCTTAGCATTGAGAGAGTACCCAGTGCGGTCAGAAATATTTCCTTCGCTGGTTTCTCGTGACCAATTTCAGAAGAGATAACAAGAGCATCAAACCTGCAAACCAGCCGTAAGGCCGTAGGAAGAAAAAGCTTCTCTTACACATCGGATATGTTCAGCTCTGCCAGAATGGGACGAAGGCGAGAATCAAAGTTGGAAACGACGGCAAGCTGTACTGGAGGCCAAAAAGCACGTGAGAAATCGCAAGATCTTCCTAGGGAAAACAAAATCAACTTGCCTCCTGCACCTCGCAGGTCCTTCAATGCGCGCTCTGCACCATCGACAAGCTTCCATGCATCACCTCTTCCAAAATACTGACAAGAACATAGATGATCCACTAAAAAGTAACCTTGCTCACCTGATAGAGTTCTTCAAAGTAGTCATCATTATCACAGCCTGTTGCGGTGGCAACCGCATACTTCCAAAACCTCCGACCATCACCCTGGACTCAAAGCTCAACCCACAAAAAAAAAAATGTAACTACGGACGAACCTCGTAGCGAAGTCTTTCCGGCCATGGTTCACTGAATGCTTTCTTAAAACCCTTTTTGATTGCATCGGCATCAGCCTGAATTCCTGGGGAGGGTAAAAGTCAGCGCATGTCAATAGAAAATGTGATAGACCCTACTCACCGTACTTGGAGCCGAATGAAGCGTACACTTGCGGCACTGGCTGAGATGTTTCCAGCAGCGTTCCACCCACATCGACCAAAAGGGCTCTATAAGCCGGAGGTGAATCTGGATGAGAGGTAAGTGTCGGATGCAAACATAAAAGAACGAAGGATTTTCTTACTTTTGCCTGGGCTTGAGCACGATACGGGACGAACCCACTGCCGCCGCTTGTGCCGATTGCAAAGACCCACCTTCCACCTTGGGCTTACTCCAAAGCTCGCCATCTTGGAAACGTTCATACGCCGGAGAGGAGCAACATCAATGCCAAACGAAGGAAAAAGGTAAAAAACACAGACCTCTGTCGGATATAAACCCAAACGAGCAATGTAAATCTCAGAAGAGCAAAGAGAAGTAGAAGACAACCGAAGATCTGAACTCCCAAATCTCACAACTCTTGAGGAGTCAACAAGTAGACCATAAATTGATAGATGCCATTTGCTGCTTCTTCCTCCGAAGCAACACACAGACTTCGTTGCTCATAACTCTGAAAAGAGAAGAAAAAGAAAGCTAGAAATCACGAGGCAGCAGGAGCAACTTCAGTTAGAATTCCCGAACCTGTTACTGCTGCCACCATCGGAGGGACTTCTAGCGCGGCTGGCTTCTTGAGAGCAGCCGAAAGCTCCGTGAAGTATGGCATGTCCGCTGGCTCCTTGACGCCGTCGCTCACGTCCTTGTACGCAGCGGTCAGCTTGTCCCACTTCTCCCTGCATTGTTTGCCGTCCCTGGGGATCCCCTGAGCCATGAGAACCTCCGAAAGCTCCTCCCACACTGCTGCTCGCCTCGTCCCACTCGAGAACTGCGCTTCCATGTCACCCCGGAGCTTTATCAGCTGGAGGACCTCGGCCCGCTTCCAGTTCTTGCTCCGCTTTTTCGCTCCGCCACCCGCGAATCCTTCCGGCTTTGGCTGGGAATTCGAGAGCCCGTTGTTAAGTTGCTGGAACTGCCCGGCGGCGGCGAAGAGACCAGCACTGTCGTTGTTGCCAACCAGCTTTTGAGTGAGGAAGATCATCGCGTTGTTGAACGCAGCCCTCTGAGCTCGGTCCTCGGATCTCCACTGCTCCTCGCGCTCCTGCCGTATTTGCTCTCGCATTTGCTCCCGCCGCTCCATGGAATCCAGGAGGTCCCGGAAGAACCTCTGCTGCTTCGCCACCACCGCTTCCACCAAGCTCTGGACCACCGCAACGTCGGCGACAGGGACGTACTTGGGCAACTTGCGTTTCTTCCTCGCTCGCCCAGACCCGCCACCACCTTGGGAGCTCGCACCAACATTTCCTCCAGATCCATCCAGCACCTCGTCCTCGTCAACGTTGAGGGCGTCCTCGCGCTGCTCGTGGTTTGCAAATCCCTGTTCTTGAGGGTGATCGAACTGCTGGTGTTGGTGGCGATGATCTTCATCCATCCTGCCAGCATTGGAATTCCTCGGCCCCGCCATTCTCCCGGACAAGACCGGGTGGAGAACATCGTAGAGCAAGAAGTCCTCCTTGGGCTTGTTCCCATCCCTGACCTCCTTGTAGCTCGCGCCCAGCTTCTCCCACTTGTCCCTACACTGCTGCCCGTCCCTGGAGATCCCCTCGCGGTTCAAGGCCTCGGCGATCTCGTCCCACAGCTCCATCTTCTTGCCGCCGCCGCAGAAGCGCGCCTCGTAATCCGCGCGGAGCCCGATGAGCTTGAGCATCTCCAATCGCGTCCAGTTCTTGGAGCGGCTCTTCTTGCTGCCCGGCTGCTCGCTGCTGCTGTTGTGCGCGGCGTTGCCCTTGCTCTTGTCATTCTCCTCGTTCTTGGCGCAGGGTTCCACCGGGATCAAGGACCGCGGCACGGCGATCGACGCGCCCTGCGCCGACGAGCTGCAAACCCCGGCGGGAGCTTCCGGATCGATCCCCAGGCCGGGAGCGGTAGCGGCAGCGGCAGGGATCGAGAAGAGCGAGTCGTGCGACGGTGCTGGGAAGGATTGGAGCAGCGAGAGAGCGAACAATGGGATGGATTGGGATGAGCAACAACCTGTCTCGACCGCCGACGAAGCCTCGTCCTCGTCGCGCCATTCCTCCTCGTCGTCCTGCTCCATCGCTTCCTCCATTCGGGGCATATTCCCGGATTTTAGGGCTCTATCCGGATACACGAAAATAACAAATTCAAATTTCTCGTAAGAGCTTAGCTAAATGTAGCGCGAAGGGAATCCGCGAGATTTGATTCCTTCACACACAATCACGGGAAAAAAGAGGACCGACCGAGGGAAGAAAGAATTTCTCCCGCCATTAAAGGGACACTGGGCCATTGAATGCCACCACCGAAATTGAAAAGGCCATGGAATATACGCCGAGATGCCTTCTTCTTCTCCGCCATTAAGATCGTACAACTGGCTGGCGCTCTCGAGCGTGCCGCGCGCTTCCTTCCTGGCTGTATTTTGGGGGGTACTGTCTCCACTACGGTCTATAGTATTCATACTGTTTGGAGAGAGTACGCTCCGAAGCGCGCGGCATTCATTACTATGAAATGGTCACCTGGTCAGCGCCTGCGTGTGCGGCGTCGCGTGGTCGTAGTTTCTCGTGTTCTCCAACACTACAAGGTTTTAAAAAGCACTTGTTTTGATTTATTAAACCAAACAACACACGGCGGCGATACAGTCTGTCGTGCCGCCCACCGCGTTGACTATGGGAGATTCCACCGCGCGGTCGGTGGATATTCCCCCGCGCTTGACCGATAACGGACTCATCATGTGACCCGGTGCTGCTAGCTAGATTTAGCAGAAGCTTCTCACCACCACCACACATTTGCCCTAGAAGAACTAGTTTCTTTCTTCTTTCTTGCTGATCGCTTGTCAGCGGGGAAGTTCATACGGGACGAAGATTCTCGCGGGAATCTAAAACGATGCTTGGTTTGATCCGGTGCGGGGAGGATTCCGAGGCCGCGGGAAGGAGCAAAGATTTTTGTGTCGATTGATCGCTTGAAAGGAGAGTAGAGAGGGAAGAGAGTGAAGAAGACTCGGAAAGGAAGGCGCTCTTGTTGTTGCTGGGTCGATTCTTTCGTTGAGCGACATTAAATTCCACGCGAGAGGCAAGAGGAAAGAAGAGGAGTAGAGGCGGATAGCGAAAGAGCGAGAGGAGCGATCATAAGTTTTGTGGCGGACAGCCATGAGGTCGTTTCGAGAGCTTGTGGGGCTCGAGGATTTCGTAGCGGTGTGGTTTTTGCTAGTCCAGGCCAATTCATGGGCTCGCCGCTGGAGGAAATCCATGGCGGCCACCAGGGGAGCAGCAGCGCCATCGCCACCGCCGCCCAAGCACCACCAGCACGACGCAGCGGCGGCGCCGCCCACATTCGCGGACTCGATCGAGAATTGCTGCCTGGATGGCCGTGACGCCGCCAGCGTGGTGTCCGATCTCCACGGCACGCTCCTCCGCTCCGCCAATTCCTTCCCCTACTTCTTCCTCGTCGCCTTCGAGGCCGGCGGCGGCTTCCCGCGCGCGCTCCTCCTCCTGGTGATGTACCCGCTCATCCTCGCCGCCGGGGCGCTCGTCTCCACATCCCTGGCCACGCGCCTCTCGATCTTCATCGCCGTGTGTGGCGCCCGCGAATCGGCCGTGGCCACCGTCGCGCACGCCGTTCTTCCCAAATTCTTCCTCGAGGACATGCATCCGGATGCCTACCGCGTGTTCATGGCGTGCCCGCGCCGGATCGTCGTCACCGCCACGCCCCGGATGCTCGCGGAGCCCTTCCTGCGCGAATTCCTGGGCGTGGAGCGCGTCGTCGGCCCCGAGTTGGAGGTGACTCGCGGCGGGATTTGCACGGGGTTCGTGCGCGGCGGCGACGGCTCCAGCGAAGAACAGGCATTCAGGGACTGCTTCGCGGATCAGAGGCCCGGGATTGGGCTGTGCAGCAGCGATCGCGCGCCGGAATCGCGCTTCCTGCCCCTCTGCAAGGTAACGATCGATATTTTTTTCAAACGGTTCTAATGGTGTTTTTCCCCAAATTTCTTCCTTCCTCTTCCAGGAGGCCTATCTCGTGCCCAGCTCCAAGGCGGTGGATCCCGTGCCGCGCAGCCTCTACCCCAAGCCGCTCGTCTTCCACGACGGCCGATTCGCCATCCGCCCCACGCCGCTGGCGGCGCTCGCGATCTTCCTGTGGCTGCCCTTCGGCTTCCTCCTCGCCATCCCGCGCATGCTCGTCGCGGTGCTCAGCCCCAGCGTCCCCCTGGCGGGATTCCTCGAGGCGCTGCTGGGGCTCCAGATCCGAATGCGCGGCAGCCCGCCGGCGGCGGCGCGGATCCACGGCCACGGCGTCCTCTTCGTCGCCACGCACCGGATGCTGGTGGATCCGCTCTTCCTCTCGGTGTGCGCCAGCCGGCGCGTCACGGCGGTCACCTACAGCATCAGCCGCGTCTCGGAGCTGCTGGCGCCGATCAAGACGATGCGGCTGACGCGATCGCGCAGCCAGGACGCGCGCGCCATCCGGGCGCTGCTCGCGCAAGGCGATCTCGTGATGTGCCCCGAGGGCACGACGTGCCGCGAGCCCTACTTGCTGCGATTCAGCTCCCTCTTCGCGGAGCTCACGGACATCATCGTGCCGGTGGCGGTGGCGGTGCGCTTCCAGTTCTTCCATGGATCCACGGCGCGGGGGTGGAAGGCGCTGGATCCGCTCTTCTTCCTGCTCAATCCCTTCCCGGCCTACACTATCGAGTTCCTGGATCGCGTGCCCGACGAGTGGACGGTCTCGTCCGGCAAGAGGACGAGCATCGAGGTGGCCAACTTCGTCCAGGAGAAGCTGGCGAGGGCTCTTGGCTACGAGTGCACGAATTTCACGAGGAGGGACAAGTACCGGATGCTGGCTGGGAACGATGGGATCGTCAAGGGTGAGCGATCGACCCACGAGAAGATCCATGCAAAGGTGGCGGGGGGGAGATTTCTAGGGCTTTTTCAATGCCGGCAAGGTGGCAAGATCTAGAGTGTTATTGGTTTTGTCTTTTTTTCCTCTTCTAGGGACACGGCTCGATAAGCGCTTTGTACATTACATTCTTCTTACGTCAAGAACAAAAAGGAGTCCCTTATACATGGTGACGAGATCTTTGATTTGATTGATCCAAACTTTATATATGATTTCTCCCTCCCAGTTCCCAATCTTCGTTTGTTGTTGTTTATACGTTGTTTCGTCTCACCAAATAGATCCTGGCGAATCAGGATTTCACGCCTTGCTCGTCTCGCTCCACATCGCGCATGACTTTGGATTTGCAACAATCCCAATCCATGCCGATGTGTCAACCAAACGAGAGCTCCACAATCGCAATAGTTTTCCAACCAATCCAAACTTTATATCCTTGGGACCCTCGCGCGGATCAATCAAGCAGTAGACTTCACGGATCGCGACAAACAACCTAAACTCTTTTACCCTAACCCTAACTACCACCCATTTCGAAAACGGGCGCCTTTACCGAAATGTCTGCCAACTTTTAAAGGCCGGGCATATGCAATGGTTATGGAAGTGATGGAGACTCGAGTGTACGAGATCTGGAATTGACACCCCAAAAAGTTCTTTAAAACCAATCCTGTCACAAAGCCTCCCTTGAACTTTTCTTCATGAATTCGCTCATCGGTTTGCTCTTGCTTTCCATCCTGGCTATGGCGGACGTGATCCATTCTTCTTCTTTTTCTTCTTTGTCTTCTTCGTTCCTGGATCCGCAAAACGCTGCAAGAGCTCGAGTCGGGGTCGCCCCCCTCGTCTGGGACGATCGCCTCGCGGCCTTCGCGCTCGCCTGGGCGAACTCGAGGAGGATCTTTGGAGCCTGCTCGCTCCAGCACTCGCGAGGCCCCTACGGCGAGAACATCTTCTGGGGGAGTGGCGGCGCTGGGCGGAGCTGGAATCCATCCGACGCTGTCGAGTCGTGGATGAGCGAGCGGCGGTGGTATGACTATGGCACAAACTCTTGCCTTGGCGGCCGCGGTGCCTGCGGCCACTACACCCAGGTGGTGTCGAGGTTCTCGCGCCGGGTTGGCTGTGCTCGAGTCCAGTGTGGCCGTGGAGACGTGTTCATGGCGTGCGACTATTTCCCTCCTGGAAACAATGGCCAGAGACCATTTTAACCAAAATGTATCAGTACAAAGTTGAAGTGGTAGTAAGCGTAGCGTGTTTTCTTCTTTCCCAAGTCGTAAAGCTCGATGGAGTGATGGATGATGGATCAGTCAATACGTTGCTCCCGGGTTGTAGCCTCGGAGGCTCGCTTTACTGCCGCTCTGATCGTAGCCGCTGTGGATAAATTCTGGGAAGCCATAGCCGGCCATTCCGTAAGAGCCAGTGAGAAGGAGCGGGCACTCACGGGAGTAATGGCCCTCTTGGCCGCAAGTGAAACACGGACGGCCTCTCGCGTAGTTGCTGTTTCGGCAGTCACGAGAGAAGTGGCCGATCTGTTGAAAACGATATATCAACTTGAGTATCGAAAGACAAGGAAGAAAACTTTTACCTCGCCACAGGTAAAGCACTGGGTTAGATTCGCTCGTCCCCTATAGCCGCCACTCCAGCTCTCGTAGTTCGATGATCCTAGCCGGACTCTGGAGGAGAAGCTGATGAATCCGTCTTGAGGTTGCTCTGCGAAGACTAGATCGCCGCGCTGCTTCTTGTCGTAAGAGCGTCGGATGCCTCCGGACTGAGCAGTCTGAACGGCGAGTCTCTGGAGTTGATCCCATCTCTTTAAGTGCTTTCGAAGATCAAAACAAGCTTGCCTCGAATGAGTTGAGTAGACCCTCGAGCTTCCGTTGCTTGATGATCACGTCCTCCTTGAGAGTCTTGAGCTTGACCGGATCGACCTCGGCTTCCAGCTCCCGGCGAGCAGAAGCAAGCTCGGCTTCGGCCGCTCTTTTCTCCTCGCGTTGCGGTTCAGTTAGTATGATCTAAAGCATAAAAAAAAGACATTAGGTGCCACAAAGATAGATAAAAAACCAAGTTCTTCGAAGTTCCTGGGAAAAGCGCAAAAGAAAAAAAGAAACTTACGCTGCCTTTCCATTCCTTCTGTGCTTGCTCCTTGAAAACGTCCTCCTCCTTCTTTCCTTGGCGCTCCGCTAGGACTTGTTCCCTTGGACGAGCAGCTCCAAACGGGCTGGGCTACACACAGTCTTAAACGAATCCTCTTTTAGACAATGCAAATGTAAACAAACACAGACAGAGAGAGAGAGAGAGAGAGAGAGAGGATCAATTCAAACGGACCTTGTTGGCGTATTTCGCTCCCATCCCAGCAAGATCCGCCACGGAGCTCCTGGGCTGCAAGTTTAGCTTCGGCCTGACCACCGAGCTCTCGATCTCCGCGGCGTAACTCATCCCCACTGAAAGCGCCAAGATCAGGGCACGGCCGATGGATCGATCGATGCGAAAGAAAGCGGCGCACTTACACAAATGGATGGACCGATCGATCGATGCCCACTCCCGCGCTGCCCCGCCGCTTGCCCTTCCCGCCTTGATCAATGGCAGCCAGAATTTCAAACCGGAAAATCCAAACAAACGCCACAGCCACGTGGCCCTCTCCCGCCCGGGTGGCCGGCTCCATGTCGGCCTCATCGGCCACATCACGCAGCTCCGGTACGGCCCCGTACGTCCGACGTGGCATTTTTTCTTTTGTAACTGGGCTTACTTCACAAGCCCTACCTAGAGCTTGTTTGGCGGGCGACGACGACGGCGGCGCTTGGGGGCTTGGTTCCTGTTCCTCACGGCGGCATCCAGGTACGCCCACATTGCTTTCCATGGATTCGCGAGATCGAGCAAGGCGCTAGCGCGAGAGAGAGGGAGAGGAAAGGAATTCGGGGTAGGGTTTGGATGAGAGAGGGGAAGGCATGGAGATTTCGAGCTCGTGAGCGGTAGCTAGAGCAGCAGGGTTAGGGTAAGAGGGGCGGGGGGGAAATCCGCAGGCACAGTGTGTGACTGGAAAGAATTTTGGCTGGAAGACTGTCAGTGATGGCTGCATTCACTGCAGGTTTACGAGGAACACGGGATCCTAGCGACATGACCGACTTCACGGCTAACTGGCACTTTGGGAGCGACAGAAGGGGTGTGTCCCCTTCACCCTCTTTGCCTTTGGAGTTTCTTTTCCATCTTTATTTTTTTTCCTCCTCTTTTTTTCTTCTTGCCGATCGTTTCGTTTTTCTTAGCCTTTGTCTCTAGATTTTTCCTGTTTCTGTGAGACTGTAGAGAGGTTAGGCCGCTTCAGAGCTCGTTCTTTTTTTTTTTCTTCTTTATGTTTTCTTTTTTCTTTTTGCTACTTTTGTACTCATGAGTTTTTTATTTTTTTGGTTTTTTTTTTGGCTTTGGTTTTTGCAGAGGATCTTACACCCTCGAAAAGCAGTTATGGCACATCAAGAACTGCTGCTGGAGGTTTACGCGACCTCGGTGGCTACAGCTCCAGGGACCTCGCGTATGAGGACCTGGCTGCCCATGCTGCTTACGATAGTCTTGGTGCCGGCTCTTCGCTTTTGAGAAATGGGGTATGCAGAAACTGGATTCCTTCGTCATGTCTGAACATTCTTTTTCGTTTTTCTTTGTCACAGCTTTACCAGGGATTAACTACATCCGAGCTTGTTAGTTTGACCACTGGAACCGGTGGTCTCGGCGTATTAGGGGCATCCGGTTTGGGGGGTGTCCTCGACGATCAGACCCTCCTCAGTCAAGGAGCACGGCTGGGTGCTTATGATTTTGCGTTAGGAAGACTCGGGTTACCAGGGCCGCAGGACCAAGATGTTCTTCGTGGCGGACCTGATATTTTACCCCCCGAAGCCTCAGCTACACTTTTTGTCGATGGGCTTCCTATAGATTGCACTCGACGTGAAGCCGCACGTGAGTAAACTTTTTCTTCCGTTTGTTCTCATTCTCTTCTTCTCCTCTTTTTGGTTTTACTGAGTCGCTTCTGTTCTCAGATATCTTCCGTCCATTCATTGGTTTCAAGGAAGTGCGAGTGGTGCACAAAGATGCTAAACGAGTGTGTGAGCTTTTGTTTGGGCCCGTGCACGAGTCTAACGTTTTGTTTTCTGTGTTTCAGGCGGTAGGAGAGAAGATCGTGCTATGTTTTGTGGAGTTCGCCGATCCCAGGTGCGCAGCGACGGCTTTAGAAGCATTACAAGGTTCGTCTCAGCAGATGAAATCTCTTGATGAATCGGTGTGTGACCACTCGAGATTCGTTTTACGCAGGCTATAAGTTCGACGAGAACGACCCCGACTCTTACGTCCTGCGCTTGACGTTTGCGCGATATCCAGGGCCTAGAGGCGCGGGTGCTCGAGACAGGTCCCCTTATCGCGGCCGGGACCGGTCACCACGACGGGATCGAAGGCACTAAAGCGGCAGAGTTAAAAGAAGCGAGACAAAAACAAAAAAGACCGAATCGAGTCGAGGAGGATCAAGGGGAAGAAAAGCAGAGGTAAAAAAAACGCAAAAAAAAAAAAAAAAAAACAGAAAAACAACAAAAAAACTGACAAGATCAAGGATCAAGCAAGGTAGGAGGAGGAAACTTTTATAGGTGGGGGAGAAGCGCGTGGTAAAAAAAAAGGTGCGCAAAGAATTTGCTCGGCCGAGTTTACTAACAACATCACAAGCAAGCAGCCTGTTGAGAAAGCAAGGCCAGTTTGGGAGAAAGATTTTTTATACATACTGGAACGCTGAGCGAAGAACCGAGGCACACTAGTACTCTACTACTACTACTACTATACACACGCTACCGTGTATCTATTTCCTGGAAGAAGAAAATGGCCCTCTCCAAGGAGGTGCTGGCTCTGGGCTAGACGCTATTATCATCATCGTGCTTTTGGATTTCGCGATTTAGAAATCGTTGTCACAGTTCAAACAATGGAACTCTCTTCTCTTTTTTTTTTGTCCTTTTGTTTTTCTTCCGTGCATTGTCTCGATAATTCTTAGCTTACTCGCCTGGATGATCGCTCTTCTCCAAGACCCATGGAGCTTCTCACGTCGCGGATTCCTCTGGGATCTGGAACAAGGAGAGCAAGTGAGAATCTTTGGACTGGCAAGACGAAGTTACCGAAGAACTGCGTGAAAATCCGGGAGAAGAAGCCGAGGTTGAGAGCTACGTTCTGGGCGATTTGCGGAGGTAGAGGCCTGAGGAGCGTCTCAATGCTGAAAGTCCTCCGGAGGAACTGTCATGAGAGATTGAGAGCTTGATGAAATCTCTTGTCCATTGTCTCTCCTTCTCACCTGGAAATTCCTGCTGAAAGCAAGGCGGAGCTCCGGATCAATCTCGTCCATGAGCCCGTCCTTGGCGGCGGCGTCGTCGTCCATTCCAGCTCCTCGCTTTGGCGCGTACATCATCGCTGTATTGCCGTGCTCGTGCGTCGCCCGCATTCCCAGCTTCTCGTACTTGTTGCGCTGTGGCGGCGGCTGGCGCCATGGCGGGACGCTATCTTCCTTCTTCCCCATTCTGTTCTTCGAACTCTTCTACCCTAATTTTCTATCTGGATGAGAAAGAAAAGAATTAAGGCAGCCTGTGTGGCGTTTTCTACCACTTGTGCGCCTGTAGCTCAGTGGATAGAGCGTCTGTTTCCGGAGCAGAAAGTCACAGGTTCGATCCCTGTCTGGCGCGATTGCTTTCCTCTCTCTCTATTTTTTTCTTCTACCCTTAAACCCTAAATTATTATGTGCTGCTTCTTCTCGAGAAATGCGGCGCTTGAAGGGGCATTCTTCGTCAATTCTTTGCTGCGCTGCCGCCTCCGGTGATGGATCGGCAGCTGGATTGGTGTCCGGCGGCGAGGTAAGGTTGTCTTCTTTGTGTTGCGATCGAATTTTCTCTGGAATTGTCCTCTCCAGGACGGGCGCGTGTGCGTCTTTGATTTGCGTGGTAGCAACGAGGCCAGTCAGAAATATTCCTTCTTCGATGGACTGCCTGTGCCGTCTGTGTGCTACAATCCAGGTGCTGTTAAATTCTTTCTAGTCCCTCGTCTTGTATAATTGACTTTTCTTTTTTTGTTCTCGCAGTGGATATGAACCTCGTTTACGCGGCAGCGGGATCATCCATTTATTGTTTCGACCTTCGGCTGGTACGACGAATGTTTCTTCGTAACTCCATTCTTGACTGACCTCTTGTTTTGTTTCTTTCTCTTCATTTCATGGAAGGGTTCCTCGGCAGACGTCATAGCAAAGCACACGATCAATGCAGATGATATCAATCAGGTCGAGCGTGAATTCTCAAATTCACGTTTCAAAGTCTGATCTACGCTTTTATTTTCAGCTGGCGGTCAATCGAAAGGCTACGTTTTTGGCAGCCTCGGATGATAGCGGAGAGACCAAGGTTTGTTCTTCGAAGTTTATTTGCATTCACAGACTTGACCTTTTCAAGTTTATAGATCTTGGACCTTAAGAACAACAGGACGTTCAAAGCTTTGCGAGGTCATACAAATGTATCTATTGGAGACGATTTCTTTCTGCAGCGTGGTTTCTTCACACACTCTTGTCACGTAGATCTGTAGCGCAGTGCAGTTTCATCCCCAGAGGCCGTGGGAAGGTAAAGCAGCTTAGTTTTGTAAACTTTTGCTATAACTGGATTATACAGTGGTAACGGGAGGACTGGACTCGAAGATGATCAAGTGGGACTTCAACCGAGGAAAACAGCTTGCTGCTCTTGATCTTGGTGAGTGCTGATCAGTTTCTGGCTGGCTTGAAGAGGTTTGCTTTGGTTTTCCAGGATGTGTATCAGATGCATCCAAGCAGATCTTCAATCCTCCATTCGTGCATGCATTAGCATGCCCACAGCGGGAAATCTCCGGTGAGCTCGGAAGGACTGTGGCTGTTGCGCGCGGCGATGGCGGGACAGATGTTTACGATCTTAATGGCCCAGCGAAAAGGGATCCATCGCAGGGTCTCGCCAGAAAATGCAGCCTAGACGTGGATCAAGGAGGCCATACGGCACCAGTGTCTCATGTGTAAGTCCCTACGTTTTCTTCTCTTATTTTTCATGTTGTTTAACGATTCTCCGTTGCAGGAACTTTGCAAGTTTTGACGAGTCTGGAAGGACAGTAATCTCAGGTGGTAACGATTCAAGCATTAAAATCTGGAACTGGACCGCTTGCGAGCTCAAGCTTTCACTCAATCACAATAGAAAGGTACGAGACTTTCGGAAAATACAGTTCCTTGAAAATGTGATTCCAGGTGAACTGGATGACAACAAGAGCGAGCTCATCAGACAATCTTATCGTTGCTGACACTTCCAAGTTCTTAAGAGTTTACAGCGTCCCTGTGTAAGGTTGAGCCGTCCCTTCTTTCAATCTTAGATCATGGTAAAGTTGATACATTTGGTTTACAACATTTACACTCACTGTAGTCGCCGAAGATCATGAACTTTCGACTCCAGAAAGAAGACGCAGAAGTAACTAGGGTTCTTGCATTCTACAATGAGAACCGTTTGGTTCGTATTCGCGGCACTGCTACTCGTCCAGGTATGTTCGTTTTACTTTCAGTACCTCCCTATTTCTCAAGCGTAGTGTTCTCAGGCGATCTCCATCAAGCTCAAGGAGACATCAGACACCCTGGAAGACGAACTGGGGTAAGAAAAAATATGAGAAAAAAAACTTAACTCACCTCTCATCTTGGTTTCTCCAGCTACAAGTTCAACGACTCCACGTTACTCCAGGACGCGCTCACGCACTCGTCCTACTCTCGCCACAACAATGGCCCCCTGCATTTGCTAGGCGTGAGCATCATCCGGGCCAGCGTTTACAAGCATTACCTCGCGAAGAACCGAGATGCCACCAAAGAAGAGCTCGAGGCCATGTCATCCAGCCTCTCCAGCACCACGGCCTGTGCACGCCGCGCCTCTGGCCTCGGCCTCGACAAGCTCATCAGGGCCGACGCTCCGGTCGATCGAAAGTCGGACAAAGTCTTGGCTGTGGCGTTTCATGCGCTGTTTGGAGCCATCGCGATGGATGGCAGCGCGGACCAAGCCATGTCTGTCTTCTGGAAGATCAAGAGCTCAGCGGTGATATAAGCTGTTCCTCTGATTTCCTTTCTTAGCTGAAAGGAAGAACAGTGAGTTCTCAGTATCCTCTTTCTTAGCAGTGTCTCTTGTGTGAAAGCCTGAAAGGAAGAACAGTGAGTTCTCTGAGTATACAAGTTTCAAGCTCTTCTACCAGTTTGTCGACGTGGTTTTGATGCCTGTGCTTCCGTAGATGTTTCCCATCAAGGAGTAAGCCGCAGCGCTTGCCTGGTCCAGCTCCACTAGAGAATCGAAGGCCACTTTCGCCACCACCATGTTGTTCCATTTGGCACACGCGGCCAGCAGAGTCCTCCAAGCAACGGCATTGGCTTCGAACGGCATGTTGCGGAGCATCTCTAGCGCGGCCTCCAGCTCGTTTGCACGACCATAGATGTCGATCATGCACACGTAGTGTTCCAGAGTAGCTCTCACCCGGTACCTCGGGAGCATGAGCTCAAAGTACTTCTTCCCCTTCTCCACGAAACCGGCATGGCTGCACGCGCTGAGGAGACACACGAACGTAATCTCGTCCGCTTGAAAGCCTTCCCGCTGCATCGCGTGGAAGAACTCGATCACTCTCTTGCTGTCTCCCTGGCGGCTGTAGCCTGCTATGAGACTTGTCCAGGTCGGTGGATCCAGTCGGGGAAGCGCATCAAACAGCTGCTGTGCCTCGACCGCTCGTCCACATTTCCCGTACGCATCCACCAGTGATGTCTCCAAAAACTCGTCGTTCTCTAGACCGCCTTTGAGCTTGTCCGCATGAATGGCTTTCACAGATGCCAAGGCCACGGAGCTGCCACAGGTCTGGAGTGCGGCAACAAAGGTCTGAGCATCTGGAGAGCATCCGGCGCCTCGCATATATCGGAACAACTCCAGAGCCACATCTCCTTCTCCAGTTTCTGCATAACCAGAAATCAGAGCGGTCCAAGAGACAACGTCATGCAGAGGTAACCTGTCGAAAACGCGGCGAGCGTCGGCCATGCTCCCACAGCTCGCGTAAAGGTCGATCAAGGAGCCAGCCACAAACATGTCCGTATCCAAACCGCTGGCGGCAGCTCGAGAGTGTAAAGCCATGCTTCTTTCCAAAGACTCAACTTTTATCCTCCTCCCATCCAGCTGCAGGCTGCTCTCACCTTCTGCCAATCCAATGCAGGCCTTCAACACGTAAACATAAGTTAGAGCATCCGGTAAGAAACCTTTGAGTTGCATACCTGTAAAAAGCTCGAGGACCAGTGTCAGATCGCCGCTTTCCACGTACCCTGCCATTAAGGCGTTCCACGACACGACAGTAGGCTGTAGCATCCTGTCAAAGACTATCCTGGCATCCAGTATGCTCCCACACTTGACGTACATATCTATCATGCTGTTGGAGACAAAGCTGTTTGAGTCGCAGGCATGTCTTTTAGCTTGATGGTGCATAGCCATGCCTTTCTCCACAGATTGGACTTTGACAACCTTTCCGTCGATCAGCGTGCCGGCTTCTTTCTCTGCCAAACATATACACCCGTTTAGAGCAGCAACAAAAGCAAAGGAATCCGGAACACAACCTTGAGCCTGCATCTGCTCGAAGAGCTTGAGGACGAGCTCGCCATCTCCGTGCTCGCCATAGCCGATCATCATTGCAGTCCACGAGACAGTGTCGTGGCGAGGCATGCTGTTGAAAACCATGCAAGCGTTGTCCATACTCCCACACTTGGCATACATGTTTACCAGGGTGCTGGCAACGCAAATATCACGGTCCCAGCCGCTCTTGGACGCTCTGGCGTGAACAAAGATGCCTCTCTCCAGAGCGGACGTCTTGACGAAGATCCCATCGATTTGCCTGGCACTCTCTTTCGCTGCCAAGCTCGTGCATGCCTTCAACGCAGCGACAAAGATCGAGGCATCTGCGCTGGAGAAGTCGTCGTCCAAGTCGACGATACGTTGGAAGAGTTCTAGAGCCGACTCCCCCTGGCCGTTCTCGGCATAGCCCAGCATCACAGAAGTCCACGAAACCACACTGTGAGCCGGCATCCTGTCAAAGACCTGTCGGGAATTCTCCATGCTTCCACACTTTGCGTACATGTCCACGAGAGAGTTGGCCACAAACGCGTCCATCACTGCTCCAGAATGGACTCTACTTCCCTTCTCTAATGCCCGGACTTTCACCAGCTTTCCATTCACTAGCGTTCCCTGTTCCTTCCCTGCCAGAGAGCTACAAGCCTTCACCGCCGCGAGAAATGTTCTTGCATTTGGACGGGCATCGCCCCCGCAATCCTTCATTCTCTCCAGCAATTCCAGAGCCAGTTCTTCTTCGTCGTTCTCGGCACACCCGAGCGCCAAAACGTTCCACGAGATCACGTCTGGCGCTGGAATCCCCTCGAAAATCCTGCGAGCGTCGCCCATCCTCCCGCATTTCGCGTACATGCTGATCAGTGTGTTTGCCACACACAAATCCAGCCCCCGCTCCGGCTCGATCTCGCCATGGATCAGCGTACCCGTCTCGAGCTCCCGCGCATTGCCGCACGCCTTCAATGCCGCTAGCAAGATCGATCTCTTGCTGCCATCGCCGCGAAGAGCCCGTTGCGCCCGCACTAGAATCTCCTCCCACGCGCCTCGATGCAGCACGAATCCAGAGCGATGTGGACACTTTCGCATAGAACGGATAAACCCTAATCGAAGAGCCCTAAAAAAGAAAATGCCCGGGCTGTTTAAAATACTATACGGTCGCTTTAATCGGCATTCAATGGAGGCTACGGCTGTTTGTTGCCCTAGCGTTATTTCCAGCCGTCGATCTCTTTCCCGCCCAGCCCGACGATGGAAATATTTCACACTCTCACTCTTCCAGGAGGGCGCAGCAGAGGGCAGGCGTGGCGCAGCGCGGAAAACGATGGCGGCATTTGATGCGATGGCGCCAATGGCGCGGCTGGAGGCGCTGGACGAAGATCAGGTCAGGGTAGCCATCGCATCGCAGCGCATTGGATACCAGGTCGTTTGATTCGGGTTTGACGATTCGGTGAGGAGGAAGCACGGCAGAGGGATTAGGGTATAGGGTTTTGGAGAGAGCGAGCGATCAAGAACGAACGGGCATTGCTACGCTGAGCTCATCCTCCTGGCACAGAACAGGTACCAAAACTTGGTTTTGTCTCTTCCTTTATGGCTCATTCTCTCCGCTATTATGAATGGGGCAAACAAAGGCCAGGGCAAAGCATACAAGCCGAGTCAAAGCAGAGGCGCTGGCTTGTGAATGGATTTACTGTTTCTTCGGTGCTGGCCTTTAAACTTCCACAGCATAGGAATAGAGGAATAGAGGAATGCTGCTGGGCTCTCTCGCTGATGATCGGAGGTAGAGTTTGTTAAGCAGTGACTACCATCGCAGGGGCTCAAGTTGGAGTTGTACTGGATAGTATTCTGGAACTGGAACACGGCAGGGAAAGTTTTTTCCTTCTTTTTCTGGGGAGGTGGGAGCCATGGCTACCGTAGCAGCGACAGAAATCGAGACTACTGAGGAGCTGGGAGGAACAGGAGCAGGCAACGATATCAAGCTTTGCAAGAAAGTCATTTACCATACTTTGGCAAGCGGCAAGTCCGGTCCTCTCGACCCAAGCGCTGCAGCAGCGAGCAGGGAAAAAATCGATGTGAAGAGAAAACCGTTTGTGGAGCAGCATTGTGGCAGCCGGGGACAGCTTATCAGCATTCTTCGCTTGGACAGCGATCACCAGCATCCGGCTGATCGATCGGTTTGCAAGAAACTGAAGAACTTTGCCTTTGCTTATGCGACTCAGTGGACGAGAGGTCTCGACTTCCGGATCATTTTCGCGTCGCATTTAATCTTCTGGACGAGCTTGCTGCCGGCTATCGCGTTTGGGAGCTGGCTGCAAGTGGAAACTCATGGCAGTCTCGGCATCACGGAAGTTCTCGTCTCGACATGTTTCTGCGGACTGGCTGTGGGTATCCTTGGTACGCAGCCACTGATGGTCGTCGGAGTGAGTGTTCCATCGATAATTTTCATGGTCGCTGCTTCTCGGACTGCCGAGCGACTTTCGCTAGATTTTCTTCCCTGGCTGGCCTGGATCGGACTGTGGTGCGCACTGCTGCTGTTCTTCCTCGCTACCAGCGGTGCTTGTCGGCTCACAGCACATCTTACATTTTTTAGTTGGGAGATTCTGAGGCTTTTCGTCGGGTTCAGCCTGCTCTGGATCGGGGTTACGGAGATAGTTCGGTTCTTTTCTGCTGCTCACTCACTGGAGGCTTCGATACTCTCACTCTGGCTTGCTACCTGTACTCTCGTCTTGGCGGTGGTACTGAGTGGAGCTCAATCCTGGCGGTGCCTCAATGGACAAGCTCGTGAGCTCATCCAGAATTATGGTCCCGCTTTAACATTTCTCGTCTTCACAGGTATGTAATTTTTTGTTTCTTTTTCCTTTCAATTTCTCACTCACTCATTTCGTTGCTCCGTTGGTTGTAGTTCTTCCACTCCTCCCAAAGTTTCAGCACATTCAATTCGAGCGAGTGGACATGCCGGACTTTCTCTGTCGAACCGACAATCTTACAAGGCTAGGAACTCTAGTCCGGCTGAAGAGTGTTCCAATGTGGGCTATTCTTCTCGCATTCATCCCAGGAGCTCTCCTGGCTTGCATGATCTTTGTAGATCACAACGCGGGTTCCGTGGTGTTAAAGGTGAGCCTCTGTTACGTCTGTTCGCTTTGGTAAAGCGTGTTTTGCCCCTGGCAGCATGCAAATGGCTACGTTCTTCCGGAAAAGACGCCAGGGAGTTGGGACCTCTTCATTATAGCCGTGCTTGTTTGCTCCTGCAGTATTTTTGGGATTCCTTTCTGCTATGGTCTTTCTGCACAGGTATGTAGCCTTTTCTTTCCTCGTTTATCATCAGAAACCACACATGCTATTCTGCTTTTAGTACAGAGTATTGCACACAAGCGTGCTTTAATTTTTCACGTCAACGTTCGTGATGAAGAAGGCCAGCAAAAGTCTAAAGAGGTCATCAAGTCGCAGCGCATCTCTGTGATGATCGTTTCTATGCTGTGTGGGATACCGTTTGTCCCTGGGATCGATCTTTTACTAGAAAAAATTCCACTTGGAGTGATTGCGGGGATGTTTCTCGAGGTAGGCATGTTTCGTGCTATTTTTTCTTCTTTTTACGCGCTTGTTTGTGATCTCCAGATGGCATACTCGTGTTTGAAAGAACTAAAGGCTATCAAGAGGCTCAAAGTGTTTTTTACTGTTTCTGACAGTCGTAATCGGTCTTCGCTCTGTCAAAGAAGGATCTACTGCACAACCCAGATGTTTTGCGCATTGGTCATCTTCACAACAAGCAGGACTCCAGCAGCTTTGGTCTATCCAATATTCGTTCTGCTCGTGATCGGCTTTCGTCACTACGCCTTACTGAGTATTTTTACGGCATGCGGCCTGGCTGCACTCGATTCGCCTCTCAGCTCGGGTGGAACGATTTTGGAATATCAAGAGTCTACGAAAGCAGAGGTGCAGCCTAGCTCAGCTCTAGTTCGAACTAAAGCCGTGGAGATTGAAAGCAGTAGCTCACCGCAGTCTCGGGGAAGTCCGTCGATGCTCATTATGCCGAGTAGCAGGAGGCTGAAAGAAAGATCTCGCAGACGTAACAAAAGAAAGAGGCAGACAACAGGATCAGCGGCGAGAACTGAAGATGATCGTGACGATGGCTCCAGAGAGATGAACCAAGTGCGGTCCTTCTCCCAGCAGGCTTCCAGTTTCGACCATTCACGGGCCGGTCAAGCTGCCGAGTTCAACAAGGACAGTACTCGTGCTTTTGGACGTTCCAAGAGAAGAGCTCTAAACATTGAGCTGCATTCCAACCTCTTATACGACCACGGCTGGCAGAATTCATTGACTTTGCTACATCAAGATGCTGATCTGGGGGACGTCCACTCTGTCACACAAAGCCCAGCGACTTACGAGTCTCCTCATCGACCTTCTCCTGCAAGTTCGCAGCTGAATGGCCATCACAATCACCAGCAGAGCTTGGAGTGTGTCAAGACGAACTCTGACGGCGGTGCCGGGGCTGGGTGCGGCAGTAATTCAAGTCACTCATCGTCTCACTCTAGGAAGAGGAAGACGGTACCTTTGGCGAGTGCTGGCTTCAGCACGACAGAAAATCCATGTTTTATGCAAGATCGGGACGACAGCAACTTAGTGCCGACAACAGGCCGAGAAACTGTGCAACAGAACTAAGGTAAGGTGTCTTTTCGCGTTCAGTTTTCCTTGCTCATTTTTGTTTCTTCATGGCAGGATCTGATTTGACTGAGACGGCTGGCAATCTTGTACTTGTACAGTACAGATTGTCCAATGCCAAGGTGTAGACTTTGGTGCCGGCTGAAGTGGTGGTTCTGCTGCTGCTGCTGCTGCTGCACGGACTCGGGTGACACTTTTCCCGCACAAAAAGATGAATGCCAATTCAATTCTCGTGATTGTATCACAAACGCGGCGTTTGCTAACCAACTTTCTTTCTTTTTTTCAACTTTTTGCTTTTAGCACAGAAGCTCGTCTATCAATGCAAGTTGTACCTCGAAGTTTCCTGATGGCAAGCTCTTCCAACAGCAATAGCTATCGCGAGCTTGAGGTGATTGTTTTTTCATCTGCATCGTTGCAGGGAGTAAATGTTACCCTCGTGCAGGATGGCGATGATGGAGAAGAGGACGATCGCCAGAGCCTTTTACTCCTCAGTTGGAACTCTACTACCATTCATCTTGCAGAGTTTGCAACGTTACCGTTTCTTTTTCTGCAACTCCCTCAGATCATTCTCAACGCTCGGAACTTGATTGCTGGGAACTACGAAGCATTGTCAGCAGTGCAATGGATGGTAGCCTCGGACGTAAAGTCTCTTACAGGTACTGAGATACAGTATTTGTTGCAGGGACAATTGACGAGCTTGCTGGGAAATCTCTCGCTACTTTCATATTTTGCTGGACGACGTGAGCGAGGTGCCATGGCTGTTCAAGCGGTTGGCGTGCTTACGACTTTGGTGGTTTTGATCCAACTTGGAATAGCAGGCGCAATGCCTTCCCTGGCTTTGGCTGGAACAGTGATCGCAGTGGCCTTTGGTTTGCTGCTCAACCTTTTAAACTACCTGCTGCTTCTACGTGAATGGTTGTGGAAGATCTGGGAAGCAGTGATCAGTGTTGGTGGCGCGACCGTTCTCTTGCAGGTACTCTTCCTCTTGTTTTTTTTTTTTTTTTTTTGTTCTTTTTGCTTGATAATGCTGTTACAGGTGATGTGGTCTACGTTCGAACCTCACATTCCACACACCATTCTTCCAGCCGTGATAACTGGTATCGCAACACTCACTTTAGTGGCAATGGTAACACGAAGCTTATCTGCAATAATTTCAATGTCTTCCATTCTGCAGGATGCTATCGGTTTCTTGCCTCAGAAATGGTCAGACTTCTTGGTTGCTCTTTCGGCATGGACTGCAACCTTGCTCTTCATGTGGACGCCGGTGGCTCAAATGGTACTGTAAAATGTAAAACACATCTCTGGAGTATTGACAGGCTTTTTGATGAACTATGCAGTTCCAGAATTTTATCGACCCCGAGAACATCAAGGGCTTGTCACCCTTAACAATTCTGCTGGCCATGATTGGCAATGGACTTCTCGTCCCTCGGGCTCTATTCACCAGAGATCTCATGTGGTTAGCATTCGCTATTCGTTCTGTTTTTTTTTCTTTTTTTTTTCTCTCTTGCGGAGTTTTCGTTTGATTTCCAGGTTCACAGGTGCGGCTTGGGGGACTTTGTTTCAAGGTTGGGGACTACTTCTAACGCTTTGGATGTGAGAAGTTTGCTCTCTTTCTTTTCTCTTTTCGTTAACGCTTCTCGTGATGTCTTTCTTGGTTGGTTGCAGAGCTCGTGCTTTGAGTGGTACAGTTTTTGGGACAGTCACGGGATTACTCACAACATGGCTGGGTAAATTTCTTCTTTTCTTTCGTTTTACAATTGTAAGGTTTATATTTCAAAGCAGGATATGTGATGCAAAAAGACTCCACCGCATATGCATTGAAGTGCTCGCTGTGTCCCTTGCTGGAGCTGTGCCTTGGTAAAAGAATGCCAATTTAAACAAAGAAGCGGGTGTGTGACTGTATGGAAATTGATATTAAATTTAACATCCTGTGTAAAAGAAAAATATATTCTACGCCATTATAATTACTTTGATTATGGATTTAATAAATTATAAACATGTTTATCTATAATAATAAACATTAAGAGCCCAACAAATAAATAACCCTAGTATTGTATTTTAATTCTAAAATACATTTATCTAGTTTTATTCAGTGTGTGGTAGCTTCAAATGATCCAACTCGGAGCATGAAATGTCATATATACATACCTCTTAGATAAGTTAAACCTCACCCAACCACTCTTGTGGTAATAAAATTATTTTAAATATCAAGAGTAATATTTCTAATTCTCAGCCACAAATATGAATTGTCCAGTCTTAACATATGGCAAGCTCTCTCTATCTCTAGGTGCATATAACTGGACAATAACCACTATATGACAAAACCCGATGCCTCAAGTTAAAATAAATGCTGTCTAAATTGAAATACTATACATTAATTTGGGACATTATTATACCTTATATGGCTAAATATTGTATAGCAGTTTCTTTATTTCCATTTATTTCTTCATATAGCTATGCATTTTTACAGGTGAGTGAGAAGTTTTAAAATTTTAGCTATTAATATGGATTTTTTTATTAGTGTAAATATGGGCTAGGCATAAAAACTGGTTGTGAGAATAATGCAGGAACAGATGCAAATATTGATATTTCACTTATATTTTCTTCTGGAACAATACTAAAATTTATAGATATTGATGATGATTCTAATAATTTTGAAACATGTCATAGTGATTTCTTTTCTTATACTAGAGAATGTCCTTTACAAAATGAAAAGTTATGTGAAATAAAAATACATCGAGATAATGATGGGCTATATCCTAATTGGCTTCTTGATAACCTTCTAATTTTTGTAAACCAGAATTTAATTGCAAGTATAGACATCAAAGCATGGATCAATAATGAGAAAATAATTAATTTATGTAATGATGAACTAGTATGATCATATAAGTACTATAATGACGTTTTAATATTTTTCACATTAATTCATTTACATAACCTTTATATTATTGTTACAAGCATGATATTTTCATTTACTAGATCAAAAAGACTCAAAAATTTTGAGTGCAAGCTTGGGCATTTGACACATATCACAGAGTTCCTATGCTCAATTTAGCTTTATTTTAGCTAACATTATTTGTATATATTAAGGTTTCCTATAATTTCTTCTCTCTTTTTCTTTTGTGTTTCTTTCACTTTTCCTTGTACTGATTCTTTCATGGTATGATCGATTAGCCGGATGGAATCGTCTTGAGATTCAGAAGTTAATCACCTCCAGCTTGCAACCATCACAAAACAAGAGCTCAATGAAATAAGTAACCTCGAAGTAACGGTTTACACATTTAAGCAATCAAATGTAGCTTAAATATACCCCCTGCCCAAACACTTTGTCAACAAGGAAATCACACACAAGTAAATGCTACGGTTACCTTTGTTCCGATCAACGGCGAGCTCTCCAATCTGTTGCCATGTCATCCCACGCTTTGAAACAGCCTCCACCTCTAGAAAATTCAACAAGTAGAAATCAATCAGCACATATATATACAGAAAACTCTTCTCTTCACCTGCGAACGTTCCACAGGCCGCAGGTCTAATACCAAAGCTGGCCTCTGAATACTTGCTGGCACAACTTTGCTTCAACTTCTCATTGGGCGTGTTAGCATTTGGGACGGCTGCGAAGTCGGGCACCCAAACAAGGAGCTCCATTGTACGCAACAAACGTTTCCCAACCAGCTCCCATGTCATGCGTTGGGAATCAAATACGACAACCTGCATCCCTACGCTTAAAACGTAAGATTGCCATTTGTACAGCATATCCTGCTGTCAAACAAAGACATGAAGTTGTGCAAGTGTTTGGGTAATGTTGAGACTTTCCTCCAGCTCCATTCTTTACCACTCGTCCTGTCCAGCACCAAAACCACCTCGTTGCAGCGAGTAACCCAATCTCACCGCCAATTTCGAGCATGTACGGGTAAGAAGACGGAAGTGTGTCCATGTCCCAGGCCCACAACCACTTTGCTTCGCTAAGAGCTCCCAGATCATCAACCTCCAGCAGCACAACTGCACTGTGCTGCTCACAACACCCGAGACCGTATTGCACTCCTTGTATGTGCAGCGTGTTGGAGGACAACGTCCAGATGGTTTGATAGGAAGGAAGTGTCCAAATCCCCACTTTGGAGTCGAATAAATAGGGGTCAATGGCAATCCTGAAGAACATCGAACCTTCACTCATGTACGGGATCAGCATGAACGACCGTCGACACTGTACTGAAGATTTAAGTGGAGGTGCGGTCGTCACCCATTGGTGCGTTAGCGGGTTCCCAACTAAGAAACGTGTCTCGGATGTCTCGTTGATGATGCACACGACAAGAATAGTTCTGAACCTTCCGGTGTAAGCCAAGAGTTCCAACCCTGAGGTAAATCTTCCTGTAGTAGCGAGTTCGCTGTTTTAAAAGTTGTGCGTTAATTCCTTGCTGCAGCAATAAGAATGTATGTCGGCTGTTTCGGGCCCATAATACTTTGAATCATGTAGTAGGGAAGGCCATTGTTTGCAAACCAAATGCAACCGCACCATGTCTTCAACTGGTAACCAAGATAGTATATGCATCTGAAGTTCCAATAGTAAGCTTCCCCAGGTTTTCCCGCTGTACACACACCGACAAAAGAAGAGAGATTAAAGGAAAGAAATTCAACAACACGTACCTTGAGCGAAGTAGGGCCTTCATTTAGTTTCTTCTGTATGGAGAAGACAATCAATCATGTTGCCAGGACAGAGGCGCCAACAAAAATACAGAAAATGCTCACCGAACCAAAGCGCAATCACACTCTTCCCTTTACACACTGTCAAATCCCTTTTCCAGCTGAAGAACCCTAGCAGCATTTGGTTGGAAGTAAATTAGATCCACCTGAGAATCGTAGGCAGCGAGAACACCCTAACCAATCTTTTTATCCGTGGTGGCGACGGCGACGGCGACGGCGGTGGTGCCGGCCGGGCATCGGTGCTGCTGAGAAAGTAAGACTTTTGGCTAGCAACTTGTAAGAAGAAGTTGTCCAGGGACAGGTTTAAAACGAAGAGATCTCTTTCAACAGGATGGATAAAGAGAGGAGTTTTCATGGAAAGTGAGAGAGCTTGGGAACTTACCCAGGGACGAGAGCATCTCCACCATGAAAAAACTCTTTTTTTTCTTTCAGCTTATCAGCAGGCAGGTCACCTACTTGGAGTTAGCGAGAGAGGTTGAATCTTTGAGGCTGATTTGTTGCAGGCTCTCGAAAATTTATGAAATGGATTCTAAAGTGTAATCGTGCGTCTTATTGCTCGACTTAGCAGAATTATTCAGTGTAGTTTGAAAGTTTTGGTTTCGTTGTAGTGTAATGCAAGTTTCGTTGGGATCTTGTTGCACGCAACGACTTCTTTACGCTTTTACAGATTGCATTTCTCCGTGCTTCCGTCTGTAACCACGATCCTGTGCAATTTATTCTGGGCTGCCATTCATCAACCTTCTCCTCTTTATAAAGGTCATGAGAGCCCACGCAGGGTGTCACTTATGCCCAACTATTGGGTTCCAGGGGACAACACCGCTAGTAAGTCGGACTCTTTACAAGGAAGTCTGTGGACAAGCCGCAATCATCCCGAAATATACGTAGCCTTATATCCTTTTAAAGAATTATCATGGTTTTTGGACAAGATGCTTGAGATTCCGGCCACTGGAGTTGATGTTGCGACCCGCATTGCGTCATCCTCTTGCTCGTCTCCACGATCCTGCTCTATCCAAGGTTTGTGGATGCCTACGACATGACCTTTTCCTGGCGCTACGATCACTGCTGCAGCAATGGAGACTTCGTCGATCTAATGCTCGTCCACATCCTCTGTTAACTCTTATACCACCAAAAGGTGATTTGATTACAGCCTAGGGGAAGCTTGTGAATGTAAGAACCACAAGGACTGGAGCCACGCCACTAAAGCTGGCTTGCGTATGTGATCTTCGCACGTCGAGACAACAGCAAACACTTCCTCCAAAACTTTTTCTTGGGCGGCTGGTGATGGAAGAGACGCTAGTATGAGCTTGGAGAGCTTCTGCATCAAGTGTGGAAGAACCTGGAAGAGCGATTGAAGAAACTTCGTCAAGCACTGGAAAACTTAGAAGAGAACCTGTATGTCGACGATGAGGAGGAGGTGAAGAAGCAGAGCTCGAATAGCAGCCACGGCTTCGTCGCTAGCAGCTCCAGCGCCGAGGAGGCCAATCAAGAGTTGCGTTTTGGAGACGAGTTGATCGATACAATGGCGGATGGTTACGCTTCCAGCGGGCAAGCAACGGACGATCTCCACTACTCCAGCGACGAGTCCTTCCAGTGGAGTGAAGTCTGGATATCCCTGTACAACTCAAGCGTCAGAAGAAAAAATAGGAAGAGCAAAGAAAATACCTCCATTGCTCTGTTGATATAAAACACTCCAAGCTGCTCCGCCAGAGATCCTTCGCGTGCTGAATCTGCCCTCCGGGACAAAAAGCTTGCGAATAACTGGTGGGCTGCTTCCGCTGCTTGTTTCGATGGATGGCAAATATACCTGAGAAATTTCCGAGTTAAGCGAAAAAACGTCAGGAAAATCAAACTCACAGGAAAAGAATTGGCACGACGCCGCTCTCAACGCTATTAGCGTCCAGCTGCTGCACGCACGAAGAGAGGATCCGAAAGTGGAACTGGATCCGACTGGTCTGAACATCGTCAAGACACCAGCTATAATCTGGATTCTCGAGAATAGAACTACCTGCACAAGTCTTTGCATGAAAAAGCACATAAGAAAAAAAAACAATAACGAAAAAAGGAAGTAGAGGTACGTACCAGGCCAGGAGATTACACGCTCATACGAAGGGAGCAACTCGACAAGCTGCGATGAAGCTCTGTGGCTTCCGGAAACCAGCAGAGCGCACTTCTTCACAGTGTCGGTGTACTCATCGACTTGGAAACGCCTTAGGAACTCCACGCAGGAGAAAGAATCCAGAACATAGGCCGCCAGCTCTTCCCGCTC